CTTGTCTAGTCCTTGTCCACGCTCGTCCTTCTTATAGCTCGTCCTTCTTATAGCTCGTCCTTGTCCAGGTCAGTCTGAGAGATCCATCTGAGATCATTGACTCGGCAGGAGTCACAATGGCTAGAGATTAGGGTTTGTGTCTACTGGTTCAGGCTCGTCCTTGTCCAGGCTGCTCCTTGTCTGGTCCTTGTCCACGCTCGTCCTTCTTATAGCTCGTCCTTCTTATAGCTCGTCCTTGTCCAGGTCAGTCTGAGTGATCCATCTGAGATCATTGACTCGGCCTGAGTCACGATAGCACAGACGGTTGATGAGATCGTGAGAGTGCAGAGTGGTAGATACATGTTACCATCGCTGGGCGTCAAGTAGGTGCTGGACGGCGTCGATGCTTGTAGCTGAACTCTCACTCAGCCGGGAGTCGATAGACCAGGTCAACTTTTCGGGCAGTCCAGTTGCAGTCTGAGCCGATGATGAGCTAGCTATAGCATGACACAGGCGCAGGTCATAGTCCGTGACTGGTCAAAGATCGTCAGCTCGACTGTGAAGCGGTCAGCATAGTCGCTCACAGTCATACAGTATGCTTGCTCCACAGCAACTGATTGACTGTGCAAGTGGCAGTACGTTCTGATGAGGATAGTCTGACAAGCTGTAAAGTACCAGCTCGAGTGATTGGCTTGACTGCTGTCATCGATCTCATGCCCTTTCTCGTCAGTGATCATGTCGCATCAATGTCTGCTCTAGTCAAGCAGTCGCCTGGTCTGATAATGCCATCTATAGCTCGACACACTGACTCGAATGACCGTGCAAGAGAATGTCGGTGCAGTCAGAGATGCCAGCTGGACGGCTGACGGGCTGAGATGATTGCCGCTGTGATGAAGTCACTCAATGCCACATTTGCAGAAAGCGGGCTGCAAGTCGCCGATGCATATGCGCTGGTAGAGGGTCTAGTGTGTATCTGACATCGAGTGTGAGTCAGACGATGTCATTGTCAAGAGGGTGAGTCCGTGGTGGACAATCATCAGTGTGAAAGTGTAGATGCATCTGATGTCATCTTTGACACAGTCTAGTCGGAAGTCACTCTGATCATGTGCAATGTGCAGTGCAAGGCAGGCAGTTTAGAGTTGTCGAGCTGAAAGACGAGAACACATGTGGACAGCTGTTGAGAGTAGGATGACGATTGCCCAGATCTGGTAAGCAGTGCATAATCCATCGCGGGACTGTCGGTCAATGCGAGTTGGTCAGAGTCATTGCCGAGATAGACAAGTCCAAGCTAGTAGGGCGCCGATAGACCAAGTTGCCAATTTGCGGAGAGTTGGAACAGTCTGACCAGCCGCACGGCACAGATATCATATGATGCAAGCACGATAGACATCTGCTGAGTGATTTGAGATCGTTAGCTGAGATATGATAGAAGTGGCTCATGTCTATCGAGTGGCCTTGCTCGACGATGACCCGATGTGGTGTGCATATGCGATGAGTGTGGTGCATATACTGGCAGGCGAGAGNGTCTGTTCNTCNNANCGCTGCTGTTCTCACTGCGGTAGATGAGATCGTCTTGCTGACACTCCTTTAGCCTGACGTGTTGCCTCGTAGCTAGTGGCCAGTAAGAGATGATTGCTCGCTAGTGTCGCACGCTTCCGGACTATCGGCGTGGTGATGCATGATCTGACCATGTCTAAGCGTATAATCAGTGAATGTAGCTCGCAGTGTCCACAGCTGCTGTCTGCGGCATGAAGGAAGATGAGCGACGCGACTTAGCCTGATTTGGCAGCTCGTGGCAGTCGTGTCGACTGGACTTTGGAAGGTATGCGTTACTTGACGATACATGAGCGGACTGGAGGTCTGAGCGAAGAAGTTGCGAAAGGAAGGTATAGCGGAGAGCCGATCGATCTGTATGTTTGTTGTCGACGATCAGAAAGGATAGCGCCGCTTTGCCATTGGCGAGTAGTGAAATGCCAGGGGATTTCTTCAATTTGCCACGCCAAAAGTCAATGTTGCGTAATTCATGGGAAAGTTATTAATCACCCGTGTATCTGATNGGCGTGATTTATCTAGGCGCGTTNNCAGGACATTGGATTGACCACAGCGACTTTAGCGAAGACCCTCATACTCTTCACCCGGTCGTATTGCTGCATTTCATCGGTACGGCATCCAGTCGGNATCACTAATGATGCGACTCAATTTGCAATTTGAGAGATCGCCGCAAGATTCCCCGATGCAATCACGACGATGCAGAGGGACGGAGAGTCAGTCTGCGCCAAAAAAAATATCAACAAAGATGTTTTCGTACTCCGGAGCAGACTGAACTACCTTCACTCGCGATACTAGCTCAGTCAGGGAGCTCGATGCTGCCTGTGTGGCCGGCAGTACGGCTGAAGCAGTATCTTGCGACGGTCGCACACAGCAACAGTCTCCAAAACAGTATCTAGCGGACGACTGATGCATTGATTGCTCGAGCGAACGTCGTCAGCCATGGATCATTTGCTTCTGCTGAGATGCGTGTTGAATGTTGACATGATGGTCATCGCTGCATTGAATGCGCTCGTCCAAATGATATGCTCCTTCAGATCCTTGCAAGCAATAAGCCACCACTAGCATTGAAGACTCAAAGAAGGGCCTGACACAGTGTTCGATATGTGACACGGCGAGGTGTACGGCTGACAAACGGTTTGCTGCTTGTGATCACCTCTCACCATATCTTTACTGTGCATTTGGAATTATCAGCGGGATAGTCTTCAGGTCCGGCTGCTTGTCTCGGCCACTGCTGTCACTTCTTCGGACGTTCCTTTGTCTTCGATGAAGGTGCTCACTTGTTGCTGGATTGTTATAGGACAGATTCAAAATCCTTGGTGCCTTTCGGTTCCAAAGTACCATCGGGAGGATCGAAGAGATCAGAGTCTTCAATTGCTTGTAGCGGGGATTCTTCAGCTTGAGCTGCTCTTGGATGTGCATGAAGAAAAAGGGAACATGTATCAATGAGAATCTCATGCGCCAGGAAACAGATCGATGTTGTAGATTTGCTTAGCATGCATCCGCTTGACGATGATGACAGCGTGATCTGTCAGCTTGCAGTCTCCACTTTACTCGCGCGAAAGGTCTGATGGTGGCTGAGTCTAGATTGCCCGTTTCTGACCAATAATCGGTGATAGGGCATGGCTGGGACATATCGAGCAGCGACTGCAAAGACGGAATTTATCGCAGAGAAATCAAAAGGCATGTATTGAGGCTCATCATGCACATCGAATAGCAGAGATGACACTGAAGGATCAAACATGATTGCCGATAAGTACGAGACAAGTAGCGCAAGGCCTAGACAATATGCGCAAGACTGTCGTGAGAAATGTCAAATGCATGCGGTGTCGGCATGATCGTCATTCCCGCCATCAGTCTGAAGCTGGCATCTGATAGTGGCCGAGCTTGTGGAGAGACGTGAAGGCTATGATGCTAGACGACTCTATTGGTTGCAGATCTGCAGGCGCGTGATCGATCGGACAAGGCGCGCGGATCACCGAACTCGCCCGAGCAGAGATAATTAGCACGTCTGTGCTTTTTCCCCCTTGCGCGCTAGTCTCGACCAGCACGACATTACAAGTCCGATACTGTCTTGCGAGGATCCTTGATAGCACTCAGAGATCAGCATGNTCGAGGACGAGTAGTCTATGNAGGGAGATGCAGCGAACGAAGAGTCTTGGTCGACNACATTTGGCTAGTCGTGGTTGCTCCACGCTGTCATTTGGAGGCCTGCTCGCTCGTCAACGACGCTCTGGCGACCAACAGACAAGATCGACATGCCCGTTCAGACCCTTTGCGAAAGCTGTGATGATCTGGAGTTAGCTCGAGGCCAGACTCGCACACTGGCTGATTCGACGGGGAGCTCCTTTTCTATGCGACTAGCTGCGAGAGAAGGACTGCCCGTGACCATTCTGGAAATCTTGGAGAAGCTCACGAGTATCAGGGGGAGGCGCCTTCACTCGTCGAGGCGAGAATCGTGGCCGACAAGAAGACAACAGCCGCTTCAGACGCTCTAATTGGGAACATCCCGGGACCGCGGCCTCTAGGCAGGTGTGGTGACCTGTCCNCGATGAGGAACAACCGTGTGAGGCGCCTCAAGCGGACGAGCGNAAGCCGACGAGATTTGACCTGCTGTGCTCGCGGCTGTCAAGTTGAGGCGCGCTCGGTCGTTCAGACGAGAAGCTGGTCAGCAAGAAGACAACAACCGCCTCTGGATCTTGCTTTGCCTATGAACACTGGAGCCCGGAGGTAGCTTTGCAACCTATCAGCGATGGATAACTTCAGAGGAGGTATGTGCAGCGAACGAAGAGTATCTGCCCGCGCCAAGTGCTCTGCCGGATGCCGCCAGCCTTTGAGGCTTGCTCGCTCGTCGGATCTAGCTCGTGGCTCGACAGCAACACAGCCGACTTACCGGCAGCACTGACAAAAGCAACACCTTCTTTCCTCAGCGCTTACGTCTGCAATGCATCTACATTGTCTCGCTGCTTGGCGAGGCTTCTCTCTCATGAGGCAATTCAGATCATGCCTCCACGGTNAGCCTCTCGCNGCCCNAGCGATCGNCNGCTGATGTNNNAACAGCACTCCTGTCAAATTACATNTTGAGCAGTCGTGGAAGACGTGCTGGCCGTCTTTGGACTGGACGCTGTCGACTACTCATCGCTCAAAGTGCGCCGAAGAGCTATGCGAATATCAAAGAGCATCTTTCAGTCGGTTGCTGCCTCAGTCAAGGTAGCGAGCCTAGAAAATGCTCGAATATCCCCTAGTCTATCTTATTCTGGCATCTCTTGTCTCTCTTGAGTTTGCATTCCCTATTCTCCGCACAGTATCAGGTTGACTTTGTCTGTGAGTGAAACACCGACCTCTACCGGCCACGGGGCTCACGGTAGTGACTTGACATAGTCATTGAGCGAGACTCTATCTGCAGCTGATACGACAAAACGATCTAAGGATGCGCCGGGATGATGCGTCCTCCGCTGACGACTCTGCCGTTCACTTCTTAGCATGCGACACGAGCGAGCCTCCGGGTGAACATACTGAACAAGGGACGGGCTCAGCTGAGTCATAGAGGAGTCAGAACAGGTCAAGACGGGGTGACGAGCGCTCACTGTCACATCGGTGTCGCCAAGCTGAAGATCGTTTATCGTATAGTATGTAAAAAGGCCTTTTCCGAGGGGATGATACATCGTCAGATCTAGGATATCGCGTACGTTATCTGAGACTGTTGCGGCAGATCGCATTAGGCCGTGGATAGCAGGTAGCGCAGGCCTGACCAATCATGCGAATCTTTGCGCCGGCGAGAGCATCAGTGCTTGCCTCCTGCCAAGCAAGCTTGTATCCAGGACCAACGCCGCCTTCCAAACCCTGTCGAAATTTCAGAAATGCCCTTACTGAATGATAATATAGACTTGCGTTATCGTCCAGACGGATTCGGAGGTCGATGTAGGTTTTATAAAGCAAATCATGCATCTCGGTAAAGATGGTGATCGTCGTTGGTTGCCAGGGCCCGACGGGGTGACGAGCTTGCAAGCCATCTGCTTGCGGGATGACCGAGCCAGACGTGACCCCGAAAAGTCCGAGGAAGGACAATGCGAACGCAAAGACTGCGAACATGACTGCTTTGTTCGCCCGCTGTGCTAAAGCGATGAAAACGTCATGAGTTGCGACGTTGTCAGGCATCAACAGGCTGCATGACGACGGGGGCATTCCGTGTGAAACGCGTTTTGATGGATGTGCAAGCTTTCCATCGTTGGGCAACGATCCCTGCGAGTCGCAGGAGCGCTGTGTTCTACAGACTATTGCGGTCATCCACGCTGACGGGACTATCAGCCTCTACGGAGGGCTATAAGTTATTCCAGCGGACTGTGTGACGTAGCGAGACAAGCCAGAGGTGTCGGGACGTGGTCTGCGCATTTTGACAGCTTCAGCGGGTGCTAGGGAGGCGCAGAGTGGCTTGCAGGTGAATTGGATGGAACGTCGGATGGCTCACTGTCCGGATGTAGTCAAGCTTGCTGGCACTGCTGCAAAGGTTGTCTACAGCAAGATCACAGCCGCTCAGTCAGGTCGTGCATGTCGCGGACACTGATCGCAGGGACATATGGGCGGACTGACACTCGAATACTCGCCAGCATCCTTGTGATCTGCGTCTCCGCAGGCTCTGATCGACCAATGTGGAGATCTCGAGTGCCAAGATATGGCGCGCGCTCGCGGGAAGACGGGATTGACAGATCGTGCATCCACGACAGGGATGCTTCGCGTTGCCACTTTCGGACGTGCGCATCGCTAGACGTCAAGCACAATGCAGCCTAAACTTCTGCGGTCTTCTGACCGAAGAGCTTGTCAGGCAGCATGCGAGGACTGCCAGAGCAGCGCACTTCGCAGCCGTCACGCCGCCGGCATGTGCTCGCATGTGCTGGCATCATCTCACTCGCCTTTGGTCTTCTCTTGACTATATCAGGAGCGGATGATGCCCCGGAGACGAGGCCAGCTACTCCTTGGCAATGGGTCTCGGCGGGTGCGGCACTGATGCGACAAGAAATAGACATCACCGACCTGCTGGATGTGCATGCTTGGCGACTGTCAATTCCTGGGCACAGATATGCTCAAGGTAGGGCCACGCAAGTTGACATGGTCAGCTTTCTCGAGTCGCAAGTCGGTCGACCGCGCAAAGGGCGCCCAATCTGGACGGTCATCGGAGGCGGGTTCTATCTCAGAGAGGTCGTGCCTCAATTGGTGGCCTATCTGGATGCTTTGAAGCGTCCTGATCGTACAGATTCCTTCAAGCGGCCTCCAGGTCCGAAGCTCGGCGGCGAGCCTGATCAGGTCTTCCGGAAGCTTAGCGCGGCTGACACCCCTCGGCCAAGCCTCCTTGTCCTCTGTCTTGATGAGGCTTGTATGTCAACTTGCGCTCTTTCTGGTTTGATGTGTTACATATTCGACAAGATAGAAGATCTCCCGGAGCGATATCGAGAAAGCAGGCGAAACAACGAGATCGAGTATCGTTCGATCGGCTGGCAAAAGTCTCGGGCGCTCAGCGATTTGGCCCGCGCCGGCTACTCAGCAATCTGTTCCGACCTCGATGTCTTTTTCCAAGGTAACATCTTTGAGTATCTACACGACATCGACAACGGCAGGTTTGATATTCAGATGCAAGATGAAGGCGGCGATTCACTCAACATCGGCTTCTTTGCACAGCGTGGCACAGAAGCGGTCGCCGATCTATGGCAGTCCATAGCGCATCAAGTATCTGAAGACGACGCTTGGGATCAGCCGGCGGTCAACGAGTACCTGGGCGCTGCTGAACTGCGCACCGGCAATCATACCTTCTGGCCTCCTCTTAGCTCGTTCACTGGCTTGACAGGTCTCCAAGTCTATGTCATCGACAAAGCCCGCGTCTGGGGACGAACGATGGGGTGGACTCCTCCGGCCAGCGTAGTTGCGCTGCATCTCACTTGCACTGGGAAGAAGGAACTCAAAGTTTACGATGCAAAGGAGAGCGCATTCTGGCAGGATGTTGATCACTACTACACAGACCCGCCCAGGTAAGCTCGTCTCTGGTCATACCGGGACCTCGGTTGCTCACACGCTGCCAGGATTCTGACTATCGGCGCACTAGCCGGCGACGGAGAGGCGGTCTCGCGACAGCTCAAGGTCATGCTTGCCCTGGCGAATGCCACAGACCGAGCATTTGTACCCCCTTCGCAGATCTACATCACATCCGATCTCCCTGGTCTATCAGATGCCGAGTTTCACCATTTCGAGAAAGCTGGGAAATGGCCACCCACGCGAGCGCAGAGATTAGCCGATGCAGACAAGACCGATTTTGAACTGCTGAAGAAGCCTGCTGTCTATCATCGGCGTTTTGCTTCGACAGTCGATATCGTCAAACTCTTTAACCAAAGCGCTGTCACCATTTTCGAGCCGTCTTACCTTCGCAACGCATTGCATTACTCTGACGGTGATGCATCTCGCCTCAGGCAACGGCATCTCGACAGTATGCTCCTGCATAGCTACCAGCACACGCTCGAAACGCTCAGTAGCGAACCGTATCTTTCAGCACCAGTAGTCACAATTATGGATCATAACAATATCGACCGCTTCGAGGCACCAGAAGGAGCTACAGATGTACCGATGTGTCGAGCGATTGAGACGGTTCAGGGCTGTGGGACGCTCTGTTTGTAATCAGTCGGTAGCGATAGGCTACAGCTGGGTGAGGCTGGTCCCACCCGGATAAATGTTGTATGCAACGAGTGGACATTGGACATTAATAGCTGGCAAATATCACGGGCTCGGCTGCAACGGTACTCTGCGACGTTGTTTTTGATCTATCGTATGGCTGAAACGGCCTGTCACGGATGTTTTGAGCCATCTGACAGCCTCGGGATCGAGTTTCGAGCAATTGTCGAGGCAAAGGTCAAGAGAGGCTTTGCCAGACTTGTCTCTACAGGCCTGAACTAAGCTGATGAGAGGTTGATGGGTCAGCTTGCGGCATCCCGAGACGACAAGGCGTGATAGCCGTTTGCAGCTTTTTGCTAGTGCTTCGATTCCGTGGTCGTCAAAAGTCGTGCTGGGACCGATCGTCAGACATTTAAGCTGTATCTTGCCGCTAGCTAGGAGCTGAGCGAGATCACTACCCGATAGATTACCGGTGGGCAGGTCGATCTCTTCAAGGTTTAGACATTGTACCAGCAAATCGAGAGGCGGCTTGCGCTTCTTGACAGGACGGTGCGAGAACACCTTGAGTGTGGCAGGCAGACTGGTCACCGTATGTCTACCGACTCGAGCGACCTCCAAATTTGCGAGGTGTGCCAGGTCTAGATCGTAGCGTACCGTTTCTCCCTCCCGCTCTGAATCGATGTCCAACTCGAGCAGGTTCTGGAAGATGCCTGCGTCGCCGCGGGGAAGCCAGTCGGGCAGAGTCGCAAGTGGATCTACTCTGATCAGTCTGAGGTGCAGACGCCTGAGCGATTGGAAGTACACAGCGTTCACAGGGAGGTCTTCGCCGGCAAAAGCGCTTTCGAGCGTGACGTTGGTGATGCTTAACTCTCTGATGGGATGGATATCTGATCTGACAGCTTTGTGAACAGGCAGCTTGAGTGCATGCGCATCCAGGCTATAGCTGTGTTTGAGAATCACTCTTCTAGCATTAGGGAAGTAGCTGAGAAACTCGACGAGCGAATGTCTGATGCGGCCAACCTCAAGCTCGAGCCTGAGCAGGGTTGGTGCTACGTGTGATATTAGATCTCTCGTCCGTTTGACGTCTCCGCACGTGAGTGAGGCGAGAGCATTGCCGGCAAAAGTACAGAGGCTGTGGCCTCGCAGCGGGCTATTGGCGTCGAGCAGGGTGCCTAGGTCGAGATGGAGCAGAGTTTTATGGCGAAGGTGAGTCTGCCATGAGGCTGTTTTGCGTTGTCTGGCTCGTCTGTCAAGTCCTTCGAAGCTGAGTGCCTGCCAGAAAGTCGTGTCTGCCATGAGGATGTCGTGAAAGCGCCGGCAGGTAAGGAGAAGGGATCCCATACGGCGGTTGCTTTCCTTGATTGACATGGCTTCGTCTATCGCCAGGCGTAGAATCATTGAGAGACACTCGGCTGGCAGTAGGGCGAGCAGATCAGGTCCAGTCGGCTTCCATTCGGCTTCAGAGTCTAGGGTGCTGTCAGACGGTGGCGCTGGTGCGATAGTGTGATGCACTCGCTCAGCCAACATTGCTGCGATGTTCGCCTCGCCGTCCTCGTCGTGTTCAGTGAGGGCGATGTGTCGTTCAACCTCGACGGGCTCCTCTGACGGCGGATTGTGAAAGTCGTACTTGGTTTCGTTCATCAGCTCAGAGCTATGTTGAGCGCGAGAAACCGACTTCTGCTTGCTGCAGGGAGACCAAGAGGCGAGTGTCTTCCAATGCACGCTCAGAATCCCCAAGTGACTCGAAGGCGTCAACTCGTAGCGACAGTGCTTGAACATTGTAGGGATCATCAGCGAGGAGCTCGTCGAGTATGTCGAGAGCTGCAGCATTGTCCTGACACAGAAGCAAGACGGCTGCTCGCCCCATCTGGGCAGAATCTGTGTGGGATCGTTGGAAGAGAATGAGGAGGAGAGAGAGAGACAGAGAGAAAGTCACATTCGGCCAGCCGACAAACGCGCAACGTGCAAGGCGACGACAGCCGGCCCGAGTACCAAGGTGATGACGACAGAGGAGCCGAGGAGATTCCTCAAGATCCCACAGTTCTCATGCTTGCCCGTCAGAGACGTCGACGGCACAGCTCGAGTCGAGTGTACGTCATTCTGGCGAGTCTTTCTCATGTACGCCGGCTGTGATTGCATCTACCCGAGGATGATGACCTGACGTTTCGAGCGCTCGAGCACGCAGGACAAGGCAGCCTACGCTGGACCGCAGAGACACGAGAGAAGTGAGTGAGGAGGTCACACGGATTGCCACCGTCAGACCAGATGGAACAGTTGAGCTCACCAGAGAGCCAGCGTGCGTGGATCTCAAGCGAGAGAGATGCGTGCTCACGGACGGACGCAGACTGATGCCACAAGGCAAGCAATACCGCGATCACCGGCCGTTCATCTGAACATGCTCTGACAAGAGCAAGATAAAGACAATATCCTCGGCTGGCTCCTCATCGATGTTCATGCTGAAACCAGGGAACGTCATCACCGCCGTACGGTCTGAGGGGCCGCTTCCAAGTGACCAGCAAGTCGGCTTGCTTGTCGAACTCGCCAGGCGACAGAGCCATCACTATACCAAGCTCGCAATTGCTGACTTTGAAGCTCGATGCTGTCGATTTGCCCCAGGCGGCAGCCGTAAAGTTGTGTGAGCCGACGTAGAGCCAGCCCGGTGGTCGATCTGACTGGGCATGCCGAGACATGCGGAATTGTGCCAAGATCATCTTGGTGTGCATGACAACGCCAGCTCGTTTGCTAGTCGATTGGCGCATGCATTCCTTCGGGAAATGGCGATTCTCCCAGGTAGATCGATTGCAAAACAGTGTCCCGCCGCCTGCTGTGCCAAGATGCGTATTTTCGATGTTGCGAAGAGTCGGAAAGACGATGCGGAACAGCGTCCGGAGAGGTTCAAAGTTTGCAGTCTGCACCTTGGGAAACATGGTGCGGACCGGACGGCCGCAGATCGAGGAATAGAACTCGAGCAGCCATTCGTCATTGAGTGCGCCTATAGAAGAGCCTTGACATTCGAGCCGTACATCTTGATCACGAGCGGGCAGAAGATGCAAGTCTTGCAGGGCTTGGCCAAGAAGCTTGTGGCCGTTAGGCTCGCTACTGGATGAGCCGGGCGTGCTAAGGATCATGCGAGCTGATATGCCGGCCGAAAAGTCGACATCGAGCGGCAGGACTGCATTGCGTGAGTCTTCTTCGATGCAAAGAAGCCGCAGGGTCGTGTGGAGCGTCTGCGCAAACCGCGTTGGCTTTGCCAAACTGCCTTGACGAGGAAAGTCTTGTATCCAGACGGCATTCTCGATCTGTTGCCAATCATACGGGACAAGATTGGCCGTCGGTATTGCTACTCTGCAAAAGTCATCGTAGACGACCTGTCGGAGTTCTCAGCAAAACGGGCGGGCACGCGCGGGCATGCTCCAGCAAACGCACGAGGATGAGCTTGATATGCATGGCGCCAGACGTTCGGCAGACTGGAGGGCAGTGCAGCTTGATGTGCGGATGATTCGGCACAAAAGACGTCTGCTCTGAGATATCAGCAGTGGCAAGCAAATGGTGCGGATTCATACGATCGGCGCATCTGCCGGCCCGGGCAAGGCCAAAAGGACTTGCTTGCCCAATTCAGGCGGCAAGACATGGGCTACGAGCCAATCGAGATCGGTCGCGTATGAAGACATGACGAGCTTCTCGATGCGATCTTTGGGTCCGATGATGTCCTGGAGTGACAGCGCATCCTCTGTTGTGCGATGGAAAGCGTTGAATGTCGGTCTGACCGCGCTCTTCCGGAAGTAAATGCCCAGACTCGGATGGAAAGCATTCTCAAGGTGCCGATGGGCGACATTGGTAGACGTGCTTGCGGACGGGATGTTGGCTGTAGCGATAGCAGGCTCGACGAGGCCAAGAGCTTGAGCGCGCGCTTGCGCTCTCTGCAGTCTAGCCTGCTCTCGTGCGCGCGCTGTCTCGTGCGTTGGTTGAACTGCGCCACCATGGCTCGTTGAAGCTGGGAACGGTGCAGATTCGACAGGCTCGACGCTGGGGATGGGTCTGACAGACGCCTTTGCCTGCTGACGAAGGTGTTCCAATCGAACATTGTAATCTGCCCCGGCAAGTGACTCTGACACCCTCTTCGGTTCCGAAGTTTCGTGTGCAGTCTGCTGTGGATGGGACGATAAGCCGGCGGCAGGCTTGGGTCGAGCGCGCGGAAAGTCTGAAGGAACAGCAGGACCGCTGTCGATTCGTCTGATCTTAGTGGGTGGCGCTGCTTCCATCCGGCTGGCGTGTAGCTGGGCGAGGTATGCCTGTATCCTCTCGGCCTTATCAGGTACATGCTGAGGCACCGGTCGGGCTGCGATGTGTCTCGACTTGCCGAGGTCGTATTTAAAGGTAGGTGCATGGTAGATTGAGCCAGCGTACAGTCTCGCAAAGTATGCCTCGTCACTCGAGTCTGCACTCATCGATGTCTGCCCATCGTCGGGGAACTGGCCAGGCATTGATGGTTCAGGCTGCCCGGATTGAGCGAGTATGCCCTGATATTCTGCCAAGCGAGCTTGTCGAGCATTCTCTGCATCTGCCGGCGTGATGCGTGGCTTCTTAGGCCTGCCACGAGGGGGCATTCTGGCCACGGACTAGCGCCTGGAAAGCAAGTTCATCAGGCCGCCAGCTAGAGTCGAGGCTTGTGACATGTCATGATCATCGCGTGTCGGACGTCGCCGCATGTCGCGCGTCGCGCCGCGCCAGGCTCAGTAGATCACCAAAGGGCGCAGGCAGCTCTACGTTCGACAGCAGTGACGATCAGGAGGGCAATAATCATGTAGCATCTGATAGCACAACAGCGTGTGGCGGAATGGTACAAGACTCTTGTTTGATAGCAGCGCAGATTGGGCCTCGCGAGCAAGCGAAACCTACTTCTTCTTCCTTGTGGCGCGACCCTTGACTTTTGGTTTCACCTCGATGGTCTCGTTCTCCGGCGCCGGCGTCTCTGTCTTACTGCGAGAGCTTCGTCTGACGAGCTTGCCGCTCGGTTTGCTCATCGGGACCTCGCTAGCTGTCTCGGCAGTAGTGGCGTCCGGCTTGGCTACTTCGTCATCGACAGCTTCGTCTTCGATGGGCAGAATAGTCTCTGTGGTGACGTTGGCTTCTTCGTCAGCTTTACCGCCATTGGCTTGTTCAAGCTTCGGCTTCTCTTCGGCATCATCGCCTTGCTTTGCCTCGAGCGCAGCAGCAGCAGTCTCTTCGGCCGCTGCAGCCATCTCCTTCTTGGTGCGACGCTTCTTCTTTGGCTTTTCGACTACCTGACCGTCGGCATCATCATCCTCCTCCTCTTTCTTTGCTTTGCGCTTCGTCGCAGTCTGTACGATCGCATTTCTGTCAGTACGCGGTAGTCTGACAGACCGCGGCCAGCTGACCTTCTTCTTGGGGGAAGGCTTCTCATCTGCGCCTTCCTCGCCTGACTCGGCAGGCGGGGGCTCGCGAGAAAGTGAGTTGGGATTGACGTCCTCCGGAGCAACTGCGTGGCTGGGCAATCAGCAGATGCGCATAGGTTGTAGCAGTACGGAAGGACTCACTGTGGCCCTGATCGTAGGCATCTTTGATGCGAGTCTGATCCTCGGGGCGGAGGTCCTCGTAGCCGTCAAGCTCGGCAGGATCCTCAAATGCCGTCTTGAGATTGCTGATCACCTTGGGCGTGACACAGCCCCAATGGCGCCACTTGAACTAGGCAGATGGGTCTCAGTCCTCCTTGATAGTGAGACGCAGTATGGAAGCGGCGTACAGAGCCATGCTCTCTGAATTTGACCCAAGCGCCAACTCGCAGGCCACCCTTTGCAATCTTTGGCTCAGGCCCTTCTTTGCACCATTTATTGCCTGCACACCGAATGCACAAGTCAGCGCTGCTCGGCATGCCGGCCTGCCGGCCCAGAGGGCGACGTACCGTTGCAATTGGCCTGACCACGCGCCGCGTACTGTTAAGGGTACACACCGTCAGCACCGTCCAGGCTACTGCTGCGGACCAAGCAAAGAGCATGAGATGGCAGTCCACTGTGTGCGTTTGCAGCTGGAGCGGCTAGCGCAGAGCGCAGACGGGCTAGCAAGGTAGAAGGGCTAGATGAGGCGAAAGGCTTGCCTCGATGCGATAGGCACCTGACTTGCGAGATGTGCCTTCGTCGTCTGACATGGTCTCGCTACACTCGATCCTTACGTCGATTGAGGAACAAAGGGCGTCTGTAGCGGGCTTAACGAGGAAGACGCGAGCTTAAACAGCGAGGAGCACAATGTCGAACAGTCGAACAGTCGCGCGCGTTGCGTTGCGTCATCGATCTTCGAGCTCGAGCGCACCGGGAAGTTCGCCGACTGCACGAGTATATAAGCACACGACACAGTATGGCATCCGGGTTCGAAGGCAAGTCAGATGCCGACATCATCGCACAGAGTGAGGCACAGCTCAACGATCGATCCAACATTGTTCGTGAGTCGCAGCTCTTTCTTTCCGTTGCTTTGGCCTGTGTTAAAGGCGAGCAAAAGCTTCCAACAAGCTCTCCGCGGACGGCGAAGAGGCCAACGTGAGCAACAATGATCTCTCTGCTTTCCCCACCACAGATGGCATACCGCAAACATCGGTCGGCCGGACTGGTCAGACGGGCGGTGGCACGAGCAGCCAGCTCATCCCTGCCGAGGAAGGCGGCGATGGCATAGGCAGCCAGTCCACTACGTTTGAAGGTATTTTTGCGCCTGCTGCGATCGTGTGTCATCATCAGTGACGCAACCTGGGCAGGACGTGGTGGACCACAAGAGAAAGCAGAGGACATCGCAGCTGCCAACCCTGGTTCGGTTGACAAGTTCCAGTCGGGCCCGGGCTCGAGATCTGTCCAGAACGAGACGATCTCGAGCAACACGCTACCTGAAGACGGCCAACCCCAGCTGATTGATCAAAGTGCCAACCCCCTACGACGCTGATGCATGATCATCACCACGAAGGAGCAGGGAAGAAGAAACCGTATAGACAATGCATGCATCTGTAGCGTCCACGGCTTGCCTCTACTGACTCGGTCTTGACTATGAGCATGAGCCTGCAAGTCAAGCCGATGGCACGGCACACCGTCGGCGCGCGTTGTCTCGTCTCGTCACCCACCCGAGCGTTTGCGCTAAGCTCGGAGCCCTGCTCACGGCTGAGTCATGGAGCACAACAGAGACGAGGCTCAGCGGAGCCTGGCTGTGGCCGAACGAGTGAGCGAGTCATCTTCTCGTCTCGCACAACAGGCTCAATGTCAAAACGATGACAGCACCTGGCCAACGGCAAGTACGATGCTGCCTTGCGCTTCATCAAGAAGTCACAGGCGCTGTACCCCTTGCCGAGCGCAGATGCCTTGGAGAAGCTTGTACAGACCAGCATGGCGGCCGGCTCGGGTGCAGCAGGCATGAACGGTCACGCTCAGTCAGAGGGCGCAAGTGCGTCCACTTCGTCGGCAGAGACGCATCCTTCGGGTCAGGGTCTCAAGCATCGTGCCGCTCAATCTGCTTCTCCTTCATCGGCAACTGCAAAGGGGAAAGCCAAAGAAGAACAGCGGGAGTACACGGCCGAGCAAGCTGCTCTCGTCAAACGAGTGAGAATGTGCAAGCCGGCAGCGTACTATGACATACTCGCGCTCGACAAGGCCTGTACAGATACAGACATCAAGAAAGCCTATCGTCGTCTCGCACTCGGCCTGCATCCCGACAAGAACGGCTGCCCGGGCGCAGACGAAGCATTCAAGTCGGTCGGCAAGGCCTTCCAGATTTTGTCAGATAAGGACAAGCGGAGGATGTTCGACCAGTGCGGTGCCGATCCGGATGATCGATCCTCGAGAGCCGCTGCTGCTTCCGCTGGCACTCGCTTTGCAGGCGCGCGGTCAGCCAACGGATTTGGTGATGAGATCAATGCGGAGGATGTACGTCGCTCGAATGCTCCGTCGGCTCTGCCGCTGATGGGGGTGGTCTGCAGCTCTTCAATATGTTCTTCGGGGGCGCACAATCAGGTTTCGGTGGCACGGGCGTTCGCTTCGGCGGCGGCTCTCCCATGTTCTTTGGACCGGGCATGCAGACTTTCTCGACCGGTGGCATGCCTCGGAGGGCCCAGCGCGCAGGTGGGCAACAGCAGCAAGAAGAGCATGTGCCAACGCCGGCGTGGCTACAGCTCTTGCCGCTCATCCTGCTCGGCTTGTTCTCCTTGCTCACTCAGCTACCGAGCCTCTTTACCACCCAGCCGCCACCGAACCCCAGCTACGCCTTTGAGCCGTCCAGCTACCATACAGCCTGTCTAGAGACGACCCGGAGTCATTATACTTATTGCGTCAATCCGACCCAATTTGCTGTACATCCGATTTACAGTGCCATTCTCGAGCAGAATCCAGACTTGCTGCCTTTCAATATGCCGGAGCAGACCGACGGTACCGCCTTACCGGTCAGCCATCGGAACGAAATGCTTCAGAAGCAACTTATCTCGACACTACCGATTCTGACGCGGTCTATGAGCTCTTCCGCCAAAGGCGCAGAAAAGTTGCGGGTCCCAAGCAACTTGCGACGCTTCGAAGAGACCATTGAAGAAAACTACATACACATGCTTCAAGTACGATGTCAACGCGAGATGGAAGACCGTACGGAGCGTATCCAGCGTGAGAAGGGTCTCTTTGGCATTGGAGCAGACTGGGCGAAGATACGGAAGATGCAGCAAGAGCGCTCGCTTCACTGTCAGAAGCTCCGTGCTGCTGGATACAACGTCGTCTACACCATGTAGGCTGTTGTGGGGCACGCGTTGCACTCTATGTTCTCACGCCTTCGGACTGAAAAGACATGTGGGTCGGATGCTGACCTCGACGCGTACGCACAACGCCTCTCGCTTGACCTCGCTCGTGGGTTCCGTTGTCTCGCTTCTTTCACCAGTCGACGTCAGCCTTCTTCGACATCAGCTTTCTTTACTCGACTTGCAAGAAGCACATCGATAGCATTCCCACGCACCGCAAGACGCCAGCATCCGCGCCCGACTGTCATCGAACGCTTCCTCATCCGCCGCCCAGAATCCTTTGTCGTCCGCAAGATCGAGCGGAGCGACTCGTCGACATGATCTGCACAGAGTCGCCCAAGACAACTCGCCTTCAGCTCTCTATCCCTCGTACCCGTCAGCATGACCTGAAGCTGATCTCCGAGGATCGTCCCGGTAGTGAGGATCTGTCTCCTACGCCTACCTTGGTCACACATGCAAAGGGCCCCATCAGAAGAGTGCAGCGACTCCTACTATCGAGCCTTGTGTACTTTGCTCATGCGAGAAGGAGCAGGATGACGCCTTCACACCGGGTTCTCGTACACCCACGCAGCCGAGCCTTGCTGCCGCTGCCTGCGATCCTCCCGAGCTCGCAGGACCGCCTATAGAGCCATCATCCGATGCACAATCACTTCCAGTCTTGCCAGCGCTCAGTCCAATCGATTTCACGGCCACGTCGATGGCAAGCCTGTTCAAGCGTGCTGACATTGTTCAGGCGACGCCAACGGAGCGCCTTGGCAAGCCGCTTGAGGTGTCTCCCTTTTTCGGTGGCAGCATCAATCACCGGGCCGTTCAGGGCATCGATGAGAGCGAGACAAAGGCCGTTCCTCACCCCCTCACCGCCGACGCCCTTACATTGCTCGACAGCCAGTCCGCATCTGCCAAAGGCGAAAAGGGTGAAGACCTCATTCCGCATGCAATTTCGCCCAGCTCGATTGATGTCGGCTTCCCCGCCGCTGTCTCGCTCAAGTCTGAAAAGAAGTCGCTTTCGGCTGCTGCCGCCCCTTTCGTCCCCAAACCCGCCACACTCGCTACCTCTATCTCGGCGTCCTCTCTTTCCGACTATATCACGTTTGACAGTTGCGCGAGATCAAAGTATTCGTCTCACACTGAAGCAAAGCTCGCTCCGCTTGACGAGCTTCAGGATATTGTTGCTCAGCTGCCTGTCACCAAGAATCTCGCTACACGTAAGACAACAGGTAGCATGCGCTCGACTAGTCACCTGCGTACCGCCGCTCTGGATATCACTAGCCGTATGGCAGCCGTCGAAACATTCCGCGAGACGACCACCACTCCCAAGCGCGCACAGCACCAGTCCAAGCTCGTGGCTCTGCCTATCTTTGCGCCTGATCAACAGACGCTCCTCACATCTTTGGCTGCTTCGCTTACCGGAGGACAAAGCCTTCAATCGCCCTACGCCTCGCCCGTTCCAGTTGCTGTCATGTCCGTCAACAAAGCTTCGGATGTGACCCGTTCATCACTTGGCGAGCTTTCGGTCTCGAGCAATGTCGAGTCCGCTGTGCCGCCTAGCCCAGGACTCAGCGAGATCCTCGATCAGTCATGCTCTATCTGCGACGAGTCTTCCATCCTGATCACGCCCGCTTCGCTCGCTATCAAACGGGAAGAGAAGCACTATACCAGCCCGGATAAGCTCATACCGTCTCTTGTTGGTCCCGGCAACCTTCCGTATGCACGTTGTCCATCGTAAGGGTCGTTATGAATCCAGACCGCTTTGGGCTGACAATCGTCCATAGAGGCATTGACGCACTCATTCTGCCGGATGTCAAGGTCTATCCTGAATATCAAGGCGGCGGTCTGCATTTCGCCCTCGGGCGGGCTCGCTACAAGGCTTCGATAGTCCAGAAATCGATTCACGCACGCGAAGTGAAGCGTGACCAGACACAGCAGCGCGGATACGCTCAGAGACTCGCTGATGGCCTACAACTCGCATTTGCTGGTCCTGACGGCGATGCGGTGAACACTGCCAAGTCATTTCCTTCGCCACCTCCGCCGCCCAATTCGGTCGTCTCTGCGACTGGCGAAGATCAAGATGATGTCTGGCAGGCCAAAATTGAAGCATTGCGTAAGCAGCAGAACGTTGCGGCCATTCAGCTTTACGAGCAGCAGCAAAAAATCATCGCCTACAACTTTGTCCTGCTGCAATCGATGCTCAAGCCCGGCATGGCGGCAGTCGTTCCCTCAGACAGCACTGCTGACATTTCCGGCCAGCGAGTTCGCTTCGAAGTGCCTACCGAGCATGAGGACAACAAGGAGAACAGCCGTTCGTCCGCGGGCGGTCCAAACCACGTCGCATCGATGAGCAAGCCCTGTTCCATGGACTTCAAAATAGCTCAGGCATTCACCATCTATCGCGATCCTGCTGTAAGCAAGGTAGGCGGGGCTCGCGCCGATGCGTGCAATTCGGCCAAGTCGGATACTACCTTGCGTGCTATGCGCCAGCGTAATCTCAACTCGACCGAAACTCGATCGTCCCGCGCTCATTCGTGGCGTCGCAAAGAGCCAGCACAGAGCGGCGCGACGATCGATGCCGGTATCCTCGACGCAGGTAAGAACGCAGGCAAGAGCGGATCTAAGATGGGGAGATCAGGCAGCGACTCGCACACAGCCAGCGCATCGCTGCCCAGAAAGCCGCTCCAGACCATTCAGAAGCCTGGACAGGCGGCCGTGACCCGCTCAACGGTGCGCAGGGCTAGCTCGACGCTGCGCTGAGCGTGACACACGGCCAGAACTGCAATGAAAGTCTTCCGCATACGCACGACTTGTAGCCCTTTGAGCTCGTCTGCATTACTTTGTACAACGACATTTGCGGGATCAAGTCACAGCTTTGTATCGGGTGGCGAGAAGCGAGGGCGAGGTGAGTAGAGACCGGGCGGCTGCAAAGGGTAGCCGCCCATAGACAGCGTGGAAGCACCATACCGATAACGGGCAGCCATACCGGCGCCTAGATCTTCCTGCCGTAGCGCCATATTGGCTTCATTGAGCATGTCGGGACTCGTGCTAGGATTGGCGAGTGTAGAGCCGAGCATAGCTTCTCTGCGCTCCATCATGAGGTAGTGTTGCTGCATTCTGACCGTGTGGACTGCGCCTCTGAGGGATTGCAGCTCTTCCTGGATGTGGATTGTCTCGTTGGCGATGCTCATATCTTGCTTGAGCTCAAGCGCTTCGAGACCCCGCGTGACTTCGTTGAGCGTTGCGTGCATGTCACGGATAGTCGATTGCAAGGGTGCCACGGAGCGACTGCCTGCTGTAGCGTACTGTGTGCCTGCCGCTCCAATCGGTGGAGTTACATCTAGTGCAGTTGTTGGAAAGGGGAAGGCACCGTCTGCTACAGTAGTGGCGCCGGTGCGCGGAACGTAGAATCCCGCCAAGGAAGACCTGACTTCGTCAGATCTTGCCCGCAATTGGCGGTGACCTGCCTCGACGTCGTGAAGCCGCCCTCTGAGTTGCGCATTCTCTGTCGAGAGACGATCGATGTTGGCTTGGAAGACGGACAAGAACGCCTTCAGAGGCTCAAAGGGACACTCGATGAGCAGGTGCTCGGTCGTCAAGCTCGAGCGCGCTCCGATGTGTTCGCAGCCATATCGGGCATGCGGACAGGGAACGACAACATGTGGGCAGATTGAGATGTGTTCGATCAAGGCGGTCTTGTCCAAAGTCTGTGGCGGTGATCGGACAATATCGTCAGAGCGGTCTGCCGTAGCGTCTGCTGCGCGCTCGCAATGAGGACATGTCTCTCCACGGGCGGGGCAGGTTTGAGAGTGACTCTGCAGCTCGTTGCATCGTAGAGAGGCTTGACAGCCTGAGCAAGATGTCAGCCGCCAACCGCAGCCCTCTACATGCCGGTGAAGCGCATCGACGGTGCTGGCTCGGTCGAGCACTTCCGTGCAATCTGCACGTCCGCAATCTTCCCGGGCGAGTAAGCAGCCGTCTTGCTCGGAAGAGGTCAGGTGGTCGAGCAAGCGCTGCCTCTCGCCAGTCCAGGGGCAAGCCTGAGCTCTGTAGAGGCATCTGACGAGCTGCTCTTCGAGCATCTGAGTGATAAAGCGGGGGGCGGGCCTGATGGCGAATTGCTCTCTCAGTCGGGCGAGGTGTCTCGAGGGTTGCCGAGGAGGGAGATGCTTCGAGCGGTACGCAGCGGGTGAGGAACGTCCCGTTGGTGCGGCAGGTATGGCCAGCCTACAAGTCGGACAGCGAGCTGCTGCTTGTGCGACGCCATCTTCCTCGCCTGCCGGAGAGGCATTGATGGCTGGCTCGAGAGCGTTGTGCAGGCAGCGAGCACAGAAGACATGCTCACACTCGGGCGTCATCAGTGGCTCGACCCATGCTTGTCTGCTCTCGACATGTGTGTCATGAGCTCGTGTCTCTGCTTCCCTGAGCCTGCACTGACCTGCAGATCGGGCAGATCAGGTTGTCATCTACCGGTGCTAAGTATTCATAGCCCTGCAGCTCCAACAGTGCCTCAAAGTAGTCCTTTGAAGCCATCGCAGCTGCTGCTACATGCTCTCTGTGAGTGTCGCGCTTTACCTTGAACGGCCTGACCTCTTGACCGGTCTTGATCGGTTGCGCGAGGACAGCTGTCTCTCCCGCAGCTCATCGTAGATCACGTCCCACTCGTCCGTACTCCCGAGCGTCTGACTTCTCGGCACGCGAGCCTGTCTCGAACAGTGAAGCGTCGGTTACCCTAGAGCAACAGAGTCTCAGCATTGTATCAAATAGCTCAGCGCTCAGCAGCCAACGTCGGCGGACATTGGTCATTAGCAGACACACTCTGGATCGAGGCTTTGGTTCCGTTGCCCGTGCTGATACGTTGACGTCTTTCGTTGTCGTATGTGGATTATGCAAAGCGCCAATTCTTCAGCGCAGTGCCCTCAGTGTACCAGGCTTACGGTGATGCCTGCTGCAATGCATAGCCGCCGATGGTAGGCGTGTCAGTCTGGGGCGGGTACTGCAAGAGTGTCTAGTCTGCTCGACGCTGCCGTCAACTGCCGCTCCGCCGTTGTCACACTGCAATGGAGTTTTGTGAGACGAAGCCTGCGCGAGATGGCTGTAAAGTCCCGCTGGCCGTTCGCTGTAGCATGGCGAGATGTGTATGCAGTGTAGCGGCAGCTTACTGTAATTTCGACCAGTCTAGTACACTTGATCTTCGCCCAGTCGGCTCGAAAGGTGGCAGCGCATGCCAAGTCATGCGGCCATGAGCGCAGTAAGCGGGAGCTTTTGTCTGCAATGCCGCACGAATAAGTGAAGTAGCCTGGGTCGGGGACACGCTGTCATTGAACATGATCGCGCCGCGACAAGCCCGCGATTTCAGCAAGGTCAGTAGCGCCGTAGGGGGCTCGCTTTTCGCATCTCGCTCGAGAATTTCAAAGACGATAGCTTCTACGCAATTTGCTTGGCTGACGAGTCTTTGAGCCAGAAGTTCTGGTAGTGTTCTGATCTGTACAGTGCTGCCGCTTGCTGTGCATTCGAAGCCCCAACGACGCAGCCTCTGCATAGCAGCTTGAGTGGGATGACTGTCATACAGTATCTGGAGCGGTCTGTCGAGCGAGATGGTCATCAGGGGCGGCGCGAGCTGCTCGAGCAGGTTTTCGTAGCGTACTCGTTCGTCCAGGCCATGTTGATCGATCACGACCAAGGTCTTGCTTACACTTGAGTCGGACAGAGCGCATAAGAGCAAGCGGTAGTCTACCTGCGCAATAACTTGCACTCTAGCTGCGGGCGGCAACGAGAAGCTCTTCTGCGAGACGGATGCAAGTGAACGCATTGGTAGTTCAGCTGATGATGGCGAGACTGCGAGCGGAAGAGCTTGCAACCATTGGGGCCGTGGCCCAGTCCCGGCAGGCGATGCGTCGGACTGCGCACGCCGAAAGGCAGGTGATCTTCGTGGCTGCGAGTCGCGAGCGTGCGGCGAAAGCATGGGCGCCGGTCGTTTTGTTAACGGCGAGGGCGAGCAGACGGATTGATCGGCAGTTTGAGGCGTAGCTCGGCTGATGAAGCCGCTGTATTCCAGGTGCAATCGCAGAGCGTGTTCGAGGAGCGCTGCTTGGCTTGCAGCCTCATCGGCTTTGCACCGGAGTGAGAACGCAAAGACGGCATAACGAGTTGCATCTGCTGTCTTGTTTGCGCGTGCTCGCTTAGGACTGTGGACGTGCAGACTGGGAACGTGGCAGAGCGACTCAACCGCCTTGTCGTAGAATTCCGTTTCTGCGCTGGGAACGCCGTTGAGGTCTGTAGCTGCCTGAGCGCCACCGACGGTTAGATCAAGATAATATTTACCGATGTATTGTAGCTGACGGCTAGTCGAGAGGCGAAGCGAGTAAAAGCCTGACAATTGAAAAGCACTCTCGCGAATGCTAAAGTTGCCACAGTGCTGGCATTTCCCGTCAGCAACGAGGATCATTCTCATATTTAGAAACCCCGACTTGAGCGTATGAAGCTTCGTGGAGCAAGCCAAAGACTTGCAAAGGAGTGCGACCGGGCGAGCTGGCGAGGCTGAATATGACCTTTTCTTTCTTGCTGCCATCGAGACAGTGAATGATCTGCCTTGCCTGCCAGCCAATTTGAGGCTGAGCGATCGACCATGCCTTCAGACGATGAGGAAGTCGATCCAGGGTCAGCGTCAGCGATGCAAGGCTACGCTGTCGGACTGGCAGATTGTCAAACAGGCGATCTACGCATACTGACGTGCCGTTTGTGTGAACTTGTGCTGGGGATGCCAACGTGCGCACGTCTTGCCCAAATTGGATCGTTCGAGTGTGGCCTCTGCTGGTGATCTGCAGTCGTCCAACAGTCGCGAGGCTATGGAGGAACACGCCATTCTTTGTGGAGGTTGGATCTGAAGTGTGGTGGGGCTGAGAGATGATGCGCTCTAGGTCGTCTGATGCTATGCCAGGCCCATCGTCTGACACTGTGAGCGAGCGAGGAACGGTCGCGAAGGGGACGTCACTGCTCCTGTCGTGTGAGATGGAGAGGCGGATGTGCGTCGCACCTGCTTCAGCTGCATTCTGGATGAGCGATTCGATGACCTGGAGGGGTGTGAGTATCAAGGCAGATGCGCGGAGCTGCGAGACAGTTTTATCGGGCAGTCGCTTCATCATCGTTGGACAAAATGCTGGCCGGGCGGCAACAAGGACACGAGTCAGCTCGGAGACGTACGTGGTCAGCATGCCAAGGTGATACAGCAAAAAGTGATGCATGCAGATCATGATAGCATAGCAACAATCATGATCTTGGCTTCTCCTTCTTCTCCGACCAGAGCCTGATCGGGGACACGCTCGATCAGCAAACAGTCAAGCCGGACGAGACCTGAGGGACTGACGCTAGCAGGCCGACACCGGATACTTTGACGACTTTGAAGCGGACACCTGGAATGTCACCCTTTGCCTTGCCCTTTCGTCCGAAGCCAGAGATGAGGACTTCGTCGTTGTCTGTCCCGGGCGAGCGGATGAGTTCAGTCCCGCCAAGTGTGAAGTCTAGAGCGAATGACTGACCGTCCAAAAAGTTGAGACAGCCGTCATTGGGCACAAAGGCAGTGACCTTCTTGCCGTTCTTGATGAGCTGAACTCGGACACATTTGCGGATGGCAGAGTTGGGCTGCTTGGCTTCTACGCCGACCTTTTCGAGGACGATGCCCTTTGCGTGGGACGAGCCACCGGTCGGTGATGATCGGTATGCTGTCCCGAGTGCTCGCTTCTTATAGTTGTTGTCGGCCTAAAGGGGATGAGCGGAGTGGCTTCAGTCTTTGCCCATTGTGGACGTGACGGGCGCGCGAGACTGACCCATCGAGCGATACGGCGATCGTTACGGAGCTTGCGAGCTGCCTGGATACCGCGAGGCTTGTTGGCACCTGTATGGGTACGTCCGTGTCGCGGACGAGATGGTCGACAGGCGAGCAAGAGAAGAGATAGAGTCATGCATTGACGGCAGGCGAGGGCGAGAGAGCGAGGCAAGTCAAGATCAATGGTCAGTACTGCGCTGGGCATAGGCGGCGGCAATGCAGCGTACCCATCCTGCTGTTGAGAGGTCGAGCTGAACTTGATCAATCGTCGCCTTTCGGTCTGAAGCCACAATGAACAGATGAAATTTATTCAAAAACTTGCTGACGTGTCCGACATGAAGCCTGGCTGCCCGTACGTGTGGAGCGAGCTCAGCCAGCTTGAGAGATGTACAGTAAGCAGAGCTCGTACGCCTTGGCACTCGCTGACATGGCATCAGATCGTGGTGCGCAACAGACGGGTGCCAACCACGCTCCTTTAGCGGGGCCCCGTAGATGGGGAGGAGCGGCTAGCTCTGAATATTCTCCATCTGCACCCTCCGGGCCACAGTCGTATGGCGGCAGCGGAGGCGGTGGCTCGGGTGGAGGCAGTCAGTACGGCCGATCGTCAGGTCCACAGGGTCCCTACGGTAACAACCAGACACAAGCGACGCCAGGCGGATACGTTCCACATCCGTACAACCAAACCCAGTCTCGCTTCTCTGGCATCCCCGGCGCTGCCCAGCTGGGCTCGTATGGCTCTCCGCAGCGTGAAGAAGAGTCTTCCTCTGCGCCCCTCGCGCCCGGCGAGCGAAGAAGAAAGTCGAGATGGGGCGACGAGAAGGACAAGATCCAGGTGGCAGGCCTGCCCACGGCCATCACAGGCCAGGTCGCACAGCAAGACCTCACGAACTATGCAACCCAGCTTCGGCTCGAGGAGATCCAGCGCAAGCTCAAGCTGAACGATGTCGTCCCACCCGAACGACTCCGTTCGCCCTCGCCCCCGCCGACGTATGATCACATGGGCAGGCGTACCAACACGCGCGAGGTGCGCTACAGGCGCAAACTCGAAGATGAACGCAATGTACGTCTTTCTCTTATGCTGCAGCAAACTCTAACGGCCAAGAGCAGTCACTCGTCGAAAGGGCGATGAGGACGGATCCCACGTTCAGACCACCGCCAGAGTACATGATGGCCAAAAGAACCGGCAGACCTCAGGAAAGGGTCTACATACCCGTCAAAGAGTTTCCAGAGATCAACTTCTTTGGCTTGCTCGTCGGTCCGCGAGGCAATACGCTCAAGGGCATGGAACGTGAATCGGGCGCAAAGATCTCAATCCGAGGCAAGGGCTCTGTCAAGGAGGGCAAGGGTCGCCCGGAGGCTTTCGCTGGTGATGAGAATGAAGAGCTTCACTGTCTGATCCAAGCCGACTCGGAAGAGAAGGTGCAAAAGTGTGTCAAGCTCGTCAACAAGGTCATCGAGACGGTCAGTGGTTCTATCCACGTCTGGTAGGCTCGAGCTCACTTCTGAAACCAACAGGCTGCATCGACACCGGAAGCACAGAACGATCACAAGCGCAATCAGCTTCGAGAGTTGGCCCAGCTCAATGGAACTCTCCGCGATGATGAAGGACAGCCCTGTCTCAATTGCGGTCAAATTGGTCATAGGTCAGTCAAGGCTATCTGTCTCTTTGCAATCGTCTCTGAAGCTGGCATCTGTGGCACAGGAAATATGACTGTCCCGAGCAGAGTGAGTCTTGTCTCCTTCATTGTCAAGCATTTCACTGATCAACGCGCAGTCAATTTCACGGCTAACGTCATCTGTCACAAATGTGGCGGTGCCGGTCACATGGCAAGGTAGGCAACTGGCCCTTGAGTGTGCCTCAGTGCTAACATGCTCGTCGCGCGACAGGGACTGCATGCAAGGACGTGCGCCAAATCCAAACATGATTGCACCGGGCATGCCAGGTATGCCACAGATGATGTCTGCACCCATGGGCGCAGGACCGATGCAAGGCGCATTCGATTCGGAATATGCGAGCTTGATGGCCGAGCTCGGCGAGACGCCGAGAACGGAAGAGCAAGCCAATGCTGCCGAGGCCAACGGGATGAGCACGAGCAGCGTTCCACCCTGGCGGATTCCCTCGAACTGGTAAGCATCTCCTCTGCATCGTCGCAAGATACAGCGGGCTGACCGTGAGCGAGCAGGCATCCCCCCATGCCTCCTTCTGGCGCAGCTAGTGCTGGTCTCTCGGTGTACCGTCCACCGCCGCCTGCAGGGGGTTATGGCGCATACCCCGCAGCACAGACCGCGCATGGCTATGCATGAGTGAAAAGCTGTACGGTCCAAATGTATCCTCTGCCTTGCTCTCGTGCGTGCATAGGAAGGACCCTTGCTGGATTTGGCGCGACTGGTTTCTCTCGCGAATTTTATAAGTCACCGACAACGACGTGGTGACCGTGCTGCCACTGAGCCGAGCTGCGAGCGATCAAGGTCGCACGCTAGTCGGGAGCTCGCAAGATGCCGACGATCTCAGTCGACAAGGTCTCGTTCCTTGAATCGCTCGGCAAACGGTACAGTAAGCTACATCGCAATAAGGACTTGCCCGAGCTTTGCCAGCCAGTCGCTGCTGCTCGGGAAGCCTCATCTACCTGCCAGAGCTGCTAGCTGACCGCAGACTGCTCTGTGCAGCTACGGCCGAGTTTGATGAAGTCTGCTTCGAATACGGCTTGGAATTGGATGAAGATGCAAGCTCTCTCGTCGTCGCACGCTAGCGACGATCTTGCTGATGGATGGCCTGCACGACAACAGACCGAGCAGACGCTGCCAGATGAGAAGCCATACAAGCTCAAGATTGAGGCAAGCGCTCGTCTGCGCCAGTCAAAGCTTGCTCGTCTCATCGCTCGGGGTCTCGTAGGTTCCTGCAAATCGATACGACTTGCTCTGCTTCGAGGGCCTTTCAAGAGCGCTCCGCATCTTTCTCGGTATAGCCGAGCGTCCAAAATACACCTGCCTGCCATGGGACAGCAGGACTTGCCGCACTTTGCGGGTCTCCAGAGAGGCAGGCCTCAGGTGCTTGAGCAGACCTCGAACCTGATTCGTGCGCCTGCAGTGCGCTGCCATACGACCCTTTGCTGCCGGAGCCATTCTACGTGGTGTGACCTTCACGCAGGCGAGATATGACTCTTTCATCGATCTACAAGACAAGCTGCACGGCAATCTTGCCCGGAAACGCACCCTTGTCGCCATCGGAACACATGATCTCGCTCACATTGCGTGCGTGTCGCGAGATAGGTCTGTGACCGTCTGATCCTCTCTTCCCACCACGCACAGAGAGGGAGACATCGATTACCAGGCTCTGCCGCCGCAGCAGATCAAGTTTGCGCCTCTCAACAAGCAAGAGGCAATGACGGCGCCAGACATGATGACTCTCTTTGAGGTACGCTTCGACCCTTCGAAGACTGTACCTCACACTGACCTCGGATGCGATTGAAGACCGATCGACACCTGTCGCGCTATCTGCACATCATCAAAGATTCGCCCGTATACCCAGTCTTTTTCGACTCGAAGCGCACAGTCCTCTCTATGCCGCCCATCATCAACTCCAACGCGACAAAGATTACGCTACAGACAAGAGACATCTTCATCGACCTCAGCGCCACTGATGAGACCAAACTGGAGGTCGTCACAAATGTCATGGCCACGATGTTCTCCGAGTACTGCGAACGGCCTTTTGTGTCAGTCTAGATCTGACCTCTGTGCTACCGGCAGCTGACAGTGTGCGTAGCGTCGAGCCAGTCAAAGTCGTTTATCCAGATGGCAGAGAAGTCATCACGCCCAATTTCGCCCCCACGACGTTTGACGTCTCTTCGCGATATATCAATTCGTGCACTGGCCTCGCCCTCAAGAGAGACGAATTGACAAAGCTGCTCGAGCGGATGGGGAGCGAGGTCAGACCGGCAACGTCTGCAGCAGCGCCTGACGATCTCATCACCGTGGACGTGCCGCCGAGCAGACCAGATATCTTGCAGCAGTGCGATCTGATGGAGGAAGTCGCCATCGCGTACGGCTTCAACAACATCAAAAAGACCTTCCCGCCCACCAACACTGTCGCAGTCCCATTGCCGGTCAACAAACTCGCCGACATTGTCAGGAGAGAGTGCGCATATAGTGGCTGGGTGGAGATGCTGCCTCTCATATTGGTCAGCATGTTTGTATCCTCAGCGTTGCGCGAGCTAAAGGTCGTATCATCAAATTCAGTGCTCACACGATGAGAACTTCGGCCATCTCAATCGTACGGACGACGGCAAGACCGCGATCGTCCTCGAGAACCCAAAGACGGTGGAGTATCAGATCGTCAGAACGTCTCTCTTGCCCGGTCTGCTCAAATCGCTGCGAGAGAACAAACAGCATACCTTGCCGATGCGACTTTTCGAAGTGAGCGATGTCGCCTTCAAGGATGCTTCTCAAGAACGCAAGGCTCGTAATCGACGCAAAGCTGCTGCTCTCTATTGCGGACATCGAGCAGCCTTTGAGATCGCTCAAGGATTGCTGGACCGACTCATGCTCATACTGGGCGTCAAGCCGAGCGCAGATGCCAACGGTGGAGCTTCCTATCATCTCAAGCCGAGTCAAGGCATGCTCATCTTTGCTTCTCCCATACGTTTCATGCTGACAGATGTCCAGATGCTACGTATTTTCCCGGTCGCAGCGCAGAGATCATCTACAGAGCACCGACGTCCACAGGCCAGCTCTCGCATCTCATGGATGCGAGCTCGACATCCGAAGAAACCGAAGCTGCTGCCGCCAAGCAGCAGGTGAAGCCCGCGACCCACCGGGGCGATGACGGCCCTCTTGGCAGCCTCAGAGATGCTCTGACATCTGCCTTGCCTGTCGGGCACAGCAAGGACATTGTCGTCGGCACAATCGGGATCTTGCATCCTTCCGTCTTGCAAAAGTACAGCATCGACTATCCTTGCACTTCCTTCGAGCTGGATCTCGAATGCTTTTTGTAGGAATAGCAATGCAGGAGATACTGCGCTGAGACACTCGGGCCGTCATCTGAGACAATGAATGACAAGAATGCTGTCCACGCTTTGGCTGCATAAATTACAAGAGGGTATATTCCATCTGCTGCGATTGTATATGTGCGACGACGGGCTGTGACGACGATGGCGGAAGAAAAGAAGACATACTGGCGGCGTGTCAATGTCATGAGTGATCTGATCTAGATTAGATGATGTCGAAGGCGGGCGACTTCCAGCCGTGGCTCTGCGACGCATTGACCTTGGATTGTACGTGCGCTTGCTTCTCAGTGATCGAGACGGGCGAAACGTAATTGACGTGCTGGTCCTCCTTCTTCATGACGATGGCAAAGTGCGCATCCTTGCTCTTCTCTTCGGCTTCGCGCTTCTTCTGTTCGGCTTCGCGCTTGCCAGCCTCCTTCTTCTCGGTGAAGGCGTTCTTGTAAGCATCAGTCTTGGAAGCGCCGCTGCGAGTCTGGCTATCGACTCGGTCTCTGATGTCGACAAGCTGAGCATCGAGCTGCTCAAGACCCGAGCGGATGGCGCCTTCGATCGCCTTGGCAACTTGCTTCTTAATCAAAGTGCTTGCGAGCGGTCGCAGCGTAGCATACAGGATCGAATGCTTCGAGTCTCGAATAGCAAACTTGAGCGTGTCAATCTTGATCTTTACGCTGTCAGTCTTGAAGACATGGCCTTTGCGATCAGATGAGCTGATGGCAATCTTGCCGGAGATGCCCTTTCCGCCGATAAAGACATCTGCTACGCCGGAATCGCTGATCTTGGGGAAGCCCTGCTTCTTCTTGAAGTAGAAGCCGACATCGCGCAGATCTGACTGAAGCTGATCGAAGGAGATGGCAATCTCATGCTTGTTTCTGTTCGGGATGGCAGAGTAGGCTGATAGCTTGAAATGATTGTGGGCCTCGATGAGGATCGAATTTGGCAGCAGGTTAGAAGCCTCGAGAGTGAGATTCTCGATGACGAGTTCGAGGGCGCTATCGTAATATTCGATTCTGGGGATAGCTGAGGGCACGCGCGTCAGCACAGGCAACAGATACCAACACAGGATAACGTACGGACATAGCCGACCTTCTTGACGAGCTCGGGCAGGATGACGCCACGGATGTCGTTCCAGAGCTGAGTCTTAAAGGTGAGATCACCTTCGCCGTTGAGGAAGAGATCACGCGTCAGCTTCTTGACGTGATCGCCCAGTTCGTTGTTGAGATCATCATCAGCGTAGGCTGTGAAGAATCTCTGGACTTGGTTGAAAAAGTTGTCCTTGTGGCCAGCATATTTGCCCTCCCAGAACTCCCTGCCGGTGTCTCGAAGGCGAGCGCCTTCCTGGTCGCAGGTCTCTTCCATAATGTAGCCGGGCTCGGTGAGCACATTGCGGATATACGTATCGAGCTCGCCGAACCATCGCTTCAGTCTCTCATCGTTCTGAGCGTCAGAATAGAGCTGGTCGACTGCATCAAAGATGGGCTGCATGCTCTGACCGTTGGCGAAGCGCTCGAGCAAAGTGCGCAGGTTGTCAGTGGCAGTCTGGAAGTTGCTGTCGCCTGTCAGCGCGCCTGACTTGCTATTTGACTGTTTGGTAACGTCTTTGGCATGGCCATGGTAGGTCTCTGCACGGTCAAGGAAAAAGTCAACGGCGGTCTGGTAATCCTTGTGTCGCTGCTGCTCGACCACGACTTTCTTGAGGCGATAGATGAACCGTTCGCGACGCTCCGGATCGAACTTCTCGTTCGCGTAGTCCTTCGCCTTGCCGATCTGCTCGTTTGCCTTGTCCTTGTGTTCCTGGGGAATCTTTGCCATGAGCTGGTCTTTCTTCTGGGCAGCGGTGTTCTTTGCGTCTTGCGCAGAGTCAGCAGCTGCATTTTGACCGGCTTGCTTCTGAGCGTCCGTGGGGCCGTTGGGATCGTTGACAGGGTCATTCGGACCAGGTGCGTTCTGAGTGGCATTTTGGACTCTATTGGCATGTTCGCCGGCAGCGTTCTGAGCCTGGCTGGCCTGATCAGAAGCAGCGTTCTTGAGCTCGTCTTTCTTGTTGACAGCCTGATCGCGTCTTGCTTGCAGCTCTTCTTTCTTGCCTTGCAACCCGGTATCGGGCACGGGCTCGTTGTGTGAGCGAGTCTGACCGTCAGGACCGACCCATTGGTTGTCAGGTGCAGTCTGATCGACTTGATTGAGTTCATGCTCGGCAGGGCGAGCCTTATCCGCAGCTTGGGCAGCCATGTCAGCGCCATGAGCGGCGGCATCGGCGGCAACGTCGCGCGCCAAGAAGGAGAGATCGGTCATGATCTTTCTGAATTCGCTATTGGTCCAGATGAGCTTTCCAAGCGTGCGAAGGTGTTCTGCCGCCTGATCGGCGTCAGACTGGGCGTCTTCCTTGCTGGCATTTGGTCCGACTTCGCTGAGCTTGCCCTTGACGTGCTCAGTGTCAACCTTGCGAGTATTGTAGAGGAACGATTGGAAAAGCTCGTCCTCGTTCTTATCGACTACCATCTTGCGCAGAGTGTCGATGATCTTTTGGGTATCGTTGATGAGCAGTTTCCCGTCAGATGACAGCTTCGACTGGTCAATTGGCGAGTTCTCGAGCGTGTATCGCAGGATCTGGTCGATTTGCTTGTTCGAGGGGTATTTGCCTTCGCCAAGAGCAGAGATGACACCGTAGAATTTCATCTGGGTGAAGGGGGGGGGTCCGTTGTATCAGCAGGCGATCAAAAGACTGGCGCACGAGAATCTTGGCTGACCTTACGATCCACATCAGCTTGCTGTTCCTTGGGATTGTTGGGCGTCGTGACGCCCATCTTGGTGGGGTGGTCGCTGACATCTTTGACAGCTTTAGCTACCGTAGACATCTTGGCAAGCAGTCTGAGCTGCGCGTTGTTGACATCAGCAAAAGCAGCTATGCGGGGTAGAAGTGACCAGACCGACCAAGTGATAAGAGCGGGCAAGACCTTCGAGGGATGGACAGACTGGAGTTCTTTGTCCCGATGTAAAGCTTTTTTATGAGGTGGCTTCACGAATCTGAGCCAGTGTAGTTCGAGTGTTGAAGAGATCTTCTCGCCACTACGTCACGCGCAAGAAGGCGAGTACGTCATTTCTATGCGTGCCCGTCAAATTTTCGATCGCGATCAGGACAGCTTCCAGGCTGTTGAACATGAAGAATTCAAATAGCTGGAGAGGAGGGCTGGATCCGACAGAGAATGCATTCAAGTAGAAGACAGCTGATATGTATGTACGATGACAATGTGGCTCGTCAGGCTTCAGAGTCAGAATCGGAGCCTGATTTGAGACTGTCGATGCGAGCAGACACTGACAGACGCTGGCGTGAGAAGGAATGATCAAGCAGGATCGCATGTGCATCAACGACGCTGTTGCTCAGATAACTCTGCTCGAGCGAGCAAGCAAGAGAGATCTTGGCATACAGCGGCGGAGCGAGCAAATCACCACAAGAAGCATCCTGTCAGCTCATGTCTGCCGTGCCTGTCGACATCGAAACAGCTTTGTTGCGGGTCACCACGTAGCTACTCGAGACCGACAGAGTGGAAAATCTGAAGACGTGACAAATCGGCGTCGGTCTTGACAAGCAAGGACAGAACGTCGCTGTCAAGCGAAGTGTCCCGCTCGACGACGGGGACGGTGGGATAGCAGCTGGGCGAGTCGATCAGATCAGATCGAGGCGTGGTTACATCTGTCAGATCCTGCTCGGAGCCGGGCGTAGATGCGTTGTAGTCCTCAAAGTCAAAGAGGACGTCAAAGCTATCGTTGTCGCCCTCAGACATATCGGAAACATCTGAGAAAGATAGTTCCGAGACGACTTCCGACTCGATTCTTGTAGACATTGCGAGAGGCGAGACAAGTAAACCGGCATATTCAGACTGAGCTTCTTCGTCGTCGCTCGATGACGTCGTAGAGGCAGAGACGAAGAGAACGGGCGAGAGCGCTGCCTCTTCGATGGCTGCAATGCTCAGATCGGACGGCGTTACTGCTGGCGGCACAGAGAAAGTAGGTATGTCATCAGATAACGGTAGAGGTTCCGCAGCATGGAAGGCCCTCGCGTGCGACGAGGCGGCCCTCTGCGTTATTCTGATGTGACATTCCTACTCCCGATACGCCTGCGCCGTTGCTACCGCCTTCTCGAGGGGCAGGTAAGACCGGCGAACGGAGAGAAGCCGTCGGGAATTGCTGCAAGCTAGTGGCTGCAGCGATGGCTTCGATGCCTGCTCTCGAATCTTGTGCTAGCGTGTTGCGCAAGGCCGCACTGTTGTCTGCGTCTAGCCTGGCGATGCGCTCAGGGTCTGCTCCGTTCGACTGGAACTGTGGATCGATGTCAATCTGACGCTTGGCAGGATTGAGTAGGTCGTGGTAGTCCGGCGTCTCTAGGGCGGAGCCCTCGTCATGACGCAGAGGCGTTTCTGGCGATCGCGAAATAGGTACATTGCCGCTCGAGTAGTACTGCTCGTCCTGCCCGGCGCGGCGGCGTTTGCGCGGCGGCTCAATCTGAACATTGGTCGACCGTGAGGATGAGCCGGCCCTGTCGTCCGGCTTTTCGCCTTCGACCTCGAGCGGCTCGTAATCCGCCGGAAGCTGGCCCAAGTTGGACAAGATGCCCTCGAGCAGCTTGACGCGCTTCTCAAGATCTCGCGTATAGTCTTTCTTTCGATTTCGCGAATCTTGAGCGGCAACTGTGCTTGCGTGTCAGCTTGGGATGCGCATGCTGTCAGGAGCAGACGTACTTCTGTTGCGCTCCATCCTGGCCGTCTTGCGCGCAGCGGCTGCACGTGCTTTTTCATCCTTTGGCGATGCGGTACGCTTGCGGCCTGAGGCTGAACCAGTCGGAGATGAAGAAGATCGCTTGCCGGTCTCGGTCAGCTGGTGTGTAGGCGTCACAGGGTTGTTTGAGACGCCGTTGCCCATGTTGGCTGACGATGACTCGCCGGGTGCGGGACCGGCGATAGGGATGTCACCGTCAGGAGGCTGTTGTCGACTCGCGCGTGAGACTCGCTTGGTGCTCATCTGATGACAAGCTGTCAGTCCGGGGACACAAGACGTGGAAGGATGGGCTTACTACGTGGCTTTGGCACTGTTGACGTGGCTCCTCGCAACGGCCGGAAAAGTCTTTTACTGGCCGTCGACTACTCGCTACTGCTTGAGACGTGCGCTTATCTCTAGCTATGGTGATCAGCTACCGCTGAAGCTTTTGTGTAAAGGTGCTGACCTGGATCTCTGCAAGCAAACTGGGAGAGGGAGCGACACGTAAGCTGAAGGAGAGAGACGTGGCGGTGCAAGCGGCCGCTTGCTTACATAATATATATTGACACAACTGAGTTCGGGAGTAATCAACGGGCCAACGGGCGATCCGCGAGCAAGGTCCCTTTTGACATCATGACTTCATATGCTCAGCAAGCTCTGGAGCCTGTCAATCTGTTCTTGATTGCTCTCATCTTGTATCAATTGCTTACGCCCGCATTGAGACTGTTCTCGACGTTCAATCGCTCAGAAGGCCTCTCATCGTCCCTTGCGACATCGCATGAGCAAGCCTATGTTTACTTGCCTGCACGTTACCCGGCGACGATGCTATGGCAAACATATACGCCTGCTGAATTGTCTCGGTTTGATGGCTCGTCTGAGCAGGACAAGCGAATTCTCATGGGAGTTCAAGGCCGAGTCTTTGACGTCACAGCGAGCGCAGGCTTCTACGGGCCAGGAGGTCCTTACGAAAACTTTGCGGGTGAGTGCAGTGGTTAGCGCAGAGCCGTAGGAGAGCGTGCTCGACTTTGCGGGCGCTCGCCGCTCAGGCCGCGATTGGCAGCGAGCTAATTCTTGACCGCAGGACGGGACGCTTCACGAGGACTTGCGCTTCAGTCATTCGACGCAGATGTGTTGACACCTACTGATCAGCCTCTCGATACTTTGCAAGACCTCACGCAGGCCCAAAAGGAAAATCTACAGGGCTGGCTCGAAATGTACGCCAACAAATACACGGAATGCGGGCAAGCTCAACGAGATGCGTGTATCTTTGTGACTGATATGCTGGACCATCAGAGAAATACGCAACCCGCCATTGAAGTAGCTGGCCGAAGTACACGGAAGAGGGCAAGATCGAGTCACGTGTTGATAATTAAGCGCGAACGCTAGGAACGCGTCGCAAAGTCAACAACGGCAAACTCGCCAAGACTTCGCCTCTTTGCCCTCTGCGTGGGTCCAAAATGGCTACGAATGTCGAAGACGTGCTGGACAGGCTGTTTGATGCTGCCAGCGCACTTGTCGCACGTCACAGCGCCACAGATGCAGATGCAGATGACAATGTTATAGCAGCTTTGCGCTTAATTCTACGACGATCACGATATCCTGGCGCATCTGAGGCGTTCCACCGACAACTGTACGCGCAGACCGCGCTATTCGCACTGGCACTCGTCGTCGGCTTTGCCGCACTCGGAAATTCGTATAGACGCCATCAGTGTCTGGAATTGTACAAAGTCGTCTCTACACCCCTGGGCAGGATATTATGTCCTTCGGTGATAAAACTGGCCATCATCACGCTGATGTTGTGGTACATCCTTGCGCTGGTGTACATATGGGTTGCGGCGGTGCCATACGCAAACGCAAACTATGACATTGGCGCATTTTCTTTATGGCTAGAAGCGATCTGGTAAGGTATCTGCCCGGCTTGAAAAGCTAGGCTGATCGTACGACCAGGATTCCGCTAGTCCTAACTGGCTGGGCAGAGGTCTGGGGCGCTGCCGTGGCTGCGCTGGTTTCTGCCAGATTCGCATCACACAGCATCGAAGAAGCCAATCAGCCCGCGCAGTCTGACAGGCCCGAACAGCCCTCTGCGACAGATGGCAGGCGTCGACTGCGTCCGAAGATACAGAGACAGGCCGCTCGACTGCCGCTTGCTGCAATTGTCAACGTCTTCTTCTTGATCGTGCCTATCATATTCGTCGCCGTTTTTGCTAGCTTCCTGGGCGCAAAGATTCGGCAAACAGAGGAAGCCAACAGGCTATACTGGGCGAACGATCCTCAGCTGCACGCAATACAGAACGAATGGGCGGCACTGTCCAACGCTTCTGCAGTTTCGACGGCAGACGCGATGCCGTTCAGCGCACCAGCGAACAGCACGCCTTCGCCCATGGCGACTGCGAGTGCATCTTCGGTTGCTAATCTGACTTCATCGGCGATATCGCGCGCCGTCAGCACCCGCATCAGAAAGAGCAATACCACGATTGTGGCCAGCAGCCGGATAGCAGCAGCAAGTAGTGCGACGGCTACAAGCCTGCTGACGAAAAATACTACAGCGTCACGTCAGCAGGCTACGACCAGGCTGGTGCGTACCGTACGTCTGATTGCTCGTGCCGTGCCAAGTGCGCAGCAAGTCCTGCTCGACGAAGCTCGTCAGATAGAGACGCCGTTTGCGGGGCATATATCTCAATCGTTCGCCTGGTCGCATCGTCTGCTTTCGTTTTACGTCGCGCTCACGTGCCTGAGCCTAATCGTAAGCCGCAATCATCTTCTGCTGGTCAATTTTGATGTCCTCCCTCGTCATGCAGATCTACGCTCCTTGTGCTGTTGTGCATCTCCTGGCGCTCAATCGGTCTGTGAGCGCACTGCGATGGACGACATCGTCTCCACCTCCGACCGCTACGCCATTTAGTGAAAAGGGCCACTTGATTGCCCAAGCAGAACAGGCCACAGCGAGTCCACAATTAAAGCGCAGAGGCGGCCTCGCGCGGGGACTCAGACTTCTGCAGCCTGCAGCTATTACTCACGGCAGGCCCGATGCGCAGCTCGTCTACTTGAAGCGTGTGCGACTAAATCGCATCCTATCCGGTGCGACCTTTGTCGCTGTCAGCATAGCATTTCTGGCAATCACATGTACGTAACTACGATCGATTCATGGCTCAGCTGATTGTTCACAGGCCTTATCATCAATGATCCACTCTACTATCTCGATATACCTACCCAGCAAAGGCTGGTGCTTATTCCGCTGTGGCTTATGGCAACCCTTGGTCTCGCGACAATGCTCGTCTTTGCGTTCCGCACAAACGATGGGCTGCCGAGCACGCCACCGAAAGATGCCGGTGCGATCAATGTTGGCTCTGATCTGACTCGCCACGAGGAACTCACCCAGACCCGTATGGGACCGACGGAGATGCGCAACCTTCTCCGCGTGGAGTATGACGAACAATTGCGTAGCAGCTCGTTCGGATCGTCTCAGATGGATACCAAATCGAGCGATACGCCGATAAGAAGCCGGTTCAGCCAGCACAGTAAGAAGGCGAGCGTCGCTGCTTCGGTACGGTCCTTCAGAACAGGCATCGCGTCTCTCGCTGGCTCGATGGTGCCGAGCACGAAAAAGGATGGCTCGACGAATATGAGTCGGGCAGGCTCGAACAGAAGGGACGGGCCGATAGAGAAGCACATTGTCAACAAGTTCGACTCAAATCTGATCATTCCAGGGGCAGAGGAAGTACATGGCGCGTTTGCAGAAGAGATCTACGGCGCTTATGCAACTAACGACGGTCGCAAGAGTGCTCAGCCGGGACTTCCCAGCGAGGATATGAGCAGGAAGAAATCGAAAGACCTCCTCGGCTCGCCAATGCCAACTTCGACGTCGACGACGGATGCGTAGATTTGGCTGAAGTCTGTGGATGATATCTTCGCTCAGACACACCGCAGAGTCTCGATCGCTTTGCCCTCACATGTCACACTGTGCTCCTAATCACTGCATGCTACTATTCAACGGACAGGTGTTGTAAAGAATGCCCATGGCTGTAGATGATCATAGCTTCTGCTCGTTGCTTTTGCTCTGGCTGAGACTGTAGCGCTTGGCACACTCGAGCCCCCACGCGAGATGATAGAGGCGCGCATCGACTTGGCAGCCTTGCTTCGTGAGCTCGTGACAGGTCTGATAGAGATCCTCGATCGCCACTATGCGCTTCTCGATATGCTCGCCCTCTTCGAGCTTGTCTTGGGGGGCCTCGAGCTCTTCGACAGAGTCAACGTTGACTTCGATCGTTGCGAGCGACATGTTGGCATCTGTCATGCCTTGATGATGCACTTTGTCAGTCCGGGTATGACATGGCCATGCTGAGAGCGATACCTGGATCGCTAACGATGACGGGCGAGACATCGACGACGCGTGTGCCCTTCAGGCCTGTCTCTTCCTCTAGTTCGCGCATGGCAGATTGCTCTGGCTCTTCGCCCTCATCGACCAGTCCTGCAGGAAGCTCGACAATGACTGCATCTATTGGCGGTCGGTATTGTAGGATGATGACCGTCGAGAGAGGTCTCTTGGGCGCGGTGATCGTCGCAAAAATGGCGACAGAGTCGACCTTGCCCTTGCGTGTACTCCTGCTGGCCACTTCCCATTTGCGCTCTCTGCCTTCTTGCTGGAGTGATTCGCATCAGCGATGGCCTACGGGAAAGCTAGCAGACGGTATGCACATCTTTCCACTGGATCTTTTCTAGCTTGACCCATTTGGCCTCGCTGAGCTCCATCGGTTCTCTCGAGAGGATCTTGGCATCACCGGGGCGTACAGAGATCTTTGACATGTGACGTGCTCGAAGTGCAAGGTGGGTATGTCGAGCGACGAGATGTCTGACCATTGACATGTCCGATGATGTCACGCGACGGTCTTGAAGCTTCAGTCGGGCGGCTCTACACAGGCCAGGCAGTCAGCTCAGTCAAACTCCTGCACGCTGCTCGCACAGCGTTGCTTCTTGTCTCGTATCCCTCAGACAAAGTCAAACAGGCTCGCATCGCAAAGGTTCCTGATGGCGGCATAATCCTCAATTCTGTCTGGGACCGGCCAGCGTCTACATTCGAGTCTATGAGTCTACATTGCAAGCTCAGCGAGCAAAGCTGAAGGCATAGCTCGATGGTACGGAAGTGAGAAACTGTCTCAATCGATCGGGAGGCAGCCAGCGTTGGCATCCCAGCGCTGCGCAAAGTCAGTCGGAGCGCCGGCTGACGTCAGCCTACTTACACAGTCTTGGTCGGCGATGCAGAGATCGCGCGTCTGATGTTTGCAATAGAGCTCGCTTTGGGATGCCTGCCAATGTCACCATCAGCCAACTCGCTCTTCTAAAGCAAACGCGAGACCTACCACGGCCATGGTGATGAAGAACGCAAAGGGGATGGCGACGAAGCAAGCTTTCATTCTTCCTGATTTACGTTTGGCTTGTGTTTGCTGCAACTTTGCCAAGCCTCGGCTTGGTTGTGCGCTTTTATAGCGTAGCGAAGAGCAGCGCATGCAGTCACGCAGGCACATCATACGCGTGACATCAATATAACAAGTCTCCGACGTCTCCATCTCATTGTCTCGCCTTGATCAGTCAGTGTCAGCGAGCTACACAGCTCGTGTAGTAAGCAGAGCCAGCCTCACTATTTTGCAGACGCCAATTAGTGCAACAAAGAGCACAAACATTCCCAATTACACAATCGCGCCAAAGGCCGCACAGCTGGTCGTCATTGTACTCTCGGTCTCAAGAGCTCAAAGTAGCATGCAGGTGCGTCGAATGAGATGCCTGCCATGTCAATGGTGTCACGCCAAGCTTCTGAGTCGGCCGGTCCTTCAAAGCCCAGAAGTCAGGTCATCGAGTCCCTTTACACTGCTGGCACGTCGCTCGGCTTTGCCTTATATGAGGAATAGAGATTGCACTCCTGCCGCTGTTTGGCGATTATTCATCTCCGCTTGTCCTGAACCAGCCAGCGTCTACGTTCGATGTTTGCTGTCTACGACGCAAATCAAGTTAATAAAGGCTGCAAAGCTAGCTTTGAAAGTGGCAAAGTTAGCTCGCCTCTCATCAGATCGGAAGGCAGCCAACGTTGGCATCCCAGCCCTGCGCAAAGTCAACATGAATTTCGCATTGCAATCGCTCAGCTTACACAGTTCTTATCGGCGATGCATTGGGCGTGCGTCTGGTGCCAGCAATAGAGATTGTTTCGATACGCCTAGCCAATATGACGGTCAGCTACCTCGCTACGGTTAGGGCAGGGCTGACGCACCATTGTCATCGTGATATAGAACGCAAAGAGAACCACGACAAGGCGGGCTTCCATTGCTTGCTTCTCGTGACAATCTCATTGCCTGCTCCATCCAGACTAGCAAAGAGGAGCGATGCAGTCATCCTGGCACATGAGACGTGTGACACCATGGCATCAAGTCTCCGTCTGCTCCTGCCGCATGCAGCGGTATACCCATGGCTTGATATGATCGTCTCGTCCAGCATCAGCGATGGCTATGCGCCGAGTTGGTCTGGGCTGCTCTGCTTGGGCTCAGTCGCTATAGCCGGGACGGACATCGTGTTTGTTGGTCGATCAGGTACACCGTTGCCGCTGCAGTGATTACGGATCTCGTTCTGATTGTGTGCCCGCCCTTGTGGCATCGCCAAGAGCAAAGGACTCAGTCGTGCAGGCACACCATCTGCGTGTAAGCCAGTCTCGGCTTCTTCAAGGCGAGTGTGCGCGGCGTCCTCAGTGGGTTGGTCATCATCGATTCAGCAACTGTATGAAGCTATTGCCATGCATCACATTGCATTCGGCTTTGACAAACATGCCTGGACATGACCCGCATTGTATGAGGCAAATGATGTCTCATCGATCAGCGAGGTACACAGCTGCCGAAGCCAGCATGGTCAATCACCCACACCTGCAGAAAGTCGCTCAGTGTTATACAGTGCATGAGCAGGTTGACTGACACAGTCGCCGTACTCTCCGCATGTTTGGCTGGTACCGCGATAACAGTCCGGTCCTTGCGGGGCCTGTGAGGATGAGTCAGATAGATGGCCATGTTGCAGCGGACACAGACGCACGACAGCCATCGTGCAAAAGATTGCGAGGAGTACGCTGGCGAGGCAAGCTTTCATTCTGATCTGACTCGAGTGTTTGCAGTCTGTTTTCAGCTCTCTCTCGTCGTGCGCTTTTGACCGGTAGTGAAGTGCAGCGCATTGGGTCACGCAGACACATGACACGCGTGCCAAGCATCTAGTCTCCGCCTTCCCGAGTGCTGCACCGTCTTCTCTAGCACCGATTGGTTAGAGAGCACCGCAAAAACGATGCGCCACACTGCATTCCGTCATGACGACCCCGCTCGAGGCGACTTGCTTTGGTCAGTGCGCGAGCGTGCTTGATGTTCAGCGAGGTACATAGCTGCCTTTATCAGCAGAGCCAGTCCCATCTCGCAAAGCATCGATTGGCCAAACAAACGCAGCAGCAGCTTCTGCTGACGCAATGGTCAGATTTGCCGCGAACTGTGATGCCATCATAGCTTGTCTGAACATTCATGAGCCCACTGGATGGTTCGTAAAAAGTGTACCACAGCCCTGGAGCAAGACGAGGAGACTGCGATCATGACCGCACAGGCGAGAAAGAGTACGAGTTTTGTTCAGCTTCTTGAACTCGTCCGTATCAGTGCGATTGCTTCGTGTGCGACGTTCTGCAGAGACAGGACAGAAGGGCGTGATGCAACGGCGCAACGAATTCGCCCGAACAGCTGACCAAAGCATTGGTAAGGACGACACGCAGAGGTGGCCGTGCGTTTTGCAACGCCAACACAACGGACAAGACATGGCAAGGATGTCCTGCATCCTTTTACTGAGATTACAACTACTTGCAGGCTGCAAAGAGGTATCTGTCTCCCTCGGGCGTGCCACAGTAGACGGGGGCACCGTTGCAGAGAGCTAATCCGGACATGCCACTGAATTGCTGATCGCAGAGGGTAGACCCCGCTGAGCCTCGGCTGAGCCCAAGCAAAGGCGAAGACTTGGGTGACGTACTCTGACAAGTCGTGTATGGCTTCAGGCCTTCATCAATGTACTCGCCGCCCGCGACGTGCTCTGTACAGGTCCAGGTCTTGCCGGCAGGACGATGGTGATGGTGGTGCTTAGCAACACTGCATCCAGAGATGAGCTAGCTTTTTGAACCTGGCTGATAACGAACGCAAGCGTGGCAGCAAAGACACAGACAAGGAAGGCGGTAACATGACACATCATTCGACTGTGTTCTGTACAGCTTGGTCAGATCGGGCTTTGGACAGTGGAAGGGATAAGTAATCAGAGTCTTGACAGGAAACGTGGTCGTCAGAGTGACGCCTAGGAGATGAGACGAAGGATTTGTCTACGTGGCAAGGAAGCCGGCGGCCTTTCTCCATGCCCCACGTGTCTCTGGAGGATGATCTCGAGGGATCGACTTCGCCGAAATTGGCTGCGTTCCGCAAAGCGCTGCGAGCTCCCCGGGAATTGTGCGTCAGCAGTGGTGCCTGAGCTCTGGGCGTCTGAACAGCTGCAGACCATCTGGCCATTGTGTAGTGTTCATCTCACTCAGACGATTCGATCACCAGGAGATTCGACAAAGAGAGACCCTTCGACATCACTCAGACAAACAGTCTACCCCGCCTCTCGGTCAGCGCTTGCCGGCCCGGGTCAGCCTCCTTGCGAGAATCTCGCCGTCGCTTCCTGTCCTCATCAAGCGTCTTGCGATCTCTTGCTCGAATAGGCTCGACACAGACCCTCGGTCCCGTACTACTGCAAGGCAGAGTTCTAATCACAGGCGCACTGCCAAGTAATTGATCTCACGCTCTCACACAGTCAACCCTCGCTGACATGGCCATGGAGCAGTCACCCACCATGTCGGGCAAGATCAAGGCTATCTTGAACAAGCGTCGCTCGAGCTCGCAGTCGAGCGCTTCATCGACCACCTCCAATGGCGACCGCTCCGACTCTGCCACTTCAGTCTCGTCTGGAGTGTCTAACAAGTACGCAGCCCATCTGATTCCAGGTTGATTTCGCTGATGGCAAGCCAAGCAGGAGCGTCAAGGCCAAGGACCTCAACTTGCCGCAGAGCGGAGCGCCCAACTCTCGCTTTGTCTTGCCGCCCGATGCAGGCAATTACAGGTCCAATGGCGCCGAGACTGACGAGACTTCGGAGTCAGAAGAGGACGAGGACGAAGAAGGATCGGAGCAGAGCGAAGAGGACGAACAGGACGAGGAAGAGCCAAGCAGCGAAGAAGAGCAACAATCCACGCCCAAGGCAGTTGCTGCACCCACTCCCGCCTCTGATGCGTCTTCGAGTGAGCCCGAAAGCGAGGAGGAAGAAGCCAAGCCGGCTACCAACGGCAGCAGTGGTAAGCGCAATGGCGTCGTCGCTGCAGGCGCGGGCTTAGCGGGCGGCGCCGCTGCTGCCGTCGGTTTGCGCAACAAATCGAACGGCAATGCTCCCAAAGCCGTCTCGCCACCCACTTCCGAATCAGAGGAGGAACCCGCGCCCAAGGCGATTGCTAGAGAGCCCGAGCCTGAATCGGAGCCCGAAGAGGAGCCTGAACCTGAGCCCATCAAGAAGAGCAAGACCCGCAAATCATCTGTAGCGGCAGTGACGAGCAAGTCACGCTCGTCTGGCCGATCCAAGCGTACTTCGTCGCGAGCCAAGGATTCCTCGTCTGAATCAGAGGTCTCCGAGCCCGAGGAGGAAGTCGTCAAGCCCGCCAAAAAGTCGTCTCGCTCGCGGTCATCTCGCGATAAGCCAAAGTCATCTTCGCGTTCCAAACGAGGAGAGGCTGCTCTCGCTGGCGTTGCTGCTGGCGCTGTAGCGACCGAAAAGTCGTCACATGACCGTGAAGGCCGCGACAAGAGCAAGAAGCGATCCTCGGCTGCAAAGGACAAAGGTCCATCCGTTCGCAAGTCCAAATCCGCTCGACATGCAGAGGCACACTCGGACGACGAGATTCCTCGACACGTCGCGCCCAAGGTCCTCACACCCGAAGAGCACGGCGTCCACCGCCAAAAGCTGGGCAAGCCCTACAATAAGCTCACCATGGAGGACGTCAAGCTCGATGAAGAAGGCATGCGCAAAGATATTGACGACGTTTGGATCTCGTCAGTCAGATATGCTCTGCCTCCTGTCCCGAGCTAACGGAGCGTACTAGGATGCACTTGTTCATGAACTCGCGCATGAAAGAGGCAGAGGCAATCTGCCTGACAGCTTCGGACCATCGCATGTACTTTTCCGTCGGCTATTCCCTCATCCAGTGCATCAAGTCACTCATGTAAGCGGCTCCCAAGTATTGCGCACGCACTTTGCTGACGCCGCTATGCAGGACGTTTGAGCCAGACGATCTCGCAAACGCTGTCTCGCGCTGTAAGGAGACGATCATCATCGCTGACAAGCTCCGCAAGACCGGTCGCGGTGTTACCGAAGGTTTCGCTAAGCTTGTCACTGGCTCGTCGACCACCAAGTCGCTCAAACTCATGACTGTCATCGAGCGTCACGCAGAGCTGGTATGGGCCGAGTCAGTCCTGCTCAAGGCTGTGCTTGGCATCATCTACTCTGGCGACTTTATGGCCTTCCTCAAGGAGGCACTCAATATGCGCTCGGCGTATTCCGTCTATCGCACGCTCGCCGAATACATCGAGCAATGCGATGCTGCGCAGCCCGGTCGCGGTGCAGAGGATCCTGCACTAGATCAAGACTTCCGTTCGGGTGTCTATCTTGGTAACGGCCTTATCTCGCTCGTCCTCTCCCTCTTGCCGAGTACCGTCCTCGCCATCATGGAAGTCTTTGGCTTCACTGGCGATCGTGCGTACGCTCTAAAGATGCTCATGCGCGGCGGCAAATGGTCCGCCGATCCCAAGAATCGCAAGCCAGGCATGACGCACAAGAATGAAGGCATTCGTCGCCAGATCTGCGACATGGCTCTTCTGCTCTATCATCTTGTCATCTCGACCTATCTGCCGGTCGGCATGGTCGACATTGACCTGGCTGACAAAGTACTTCACTACAATCTTAAGCGTTATCCCAACGGGCAAGTCACTTTCGTCGTATCATACACATGAGCTGATCTCCTAGTGCAGGGTCTTCTTCCTGTTCTTCTCTGGCCGTTTGTATTCGGCACAGACGATGGGCGAGAAGGCACTGAGGCAGTACAGCCTCGCTATTGCTTCACAAGATGAATATGTCCAGATCGAACACATTTGCCATTGGGATCGTGGTTTGACTTATCTCTCACTCGGCAAATATGCCAAGGCCTACACCTGCTTTGACATTCTTGGCAAAGACAGCAACTGGTCAAAGTCGGTATACGCATACGCAAAGGCAATCTCGCTGTACGAAGCCGATCCCGTCAAGCACAGAGACGATATCATGAAGAGCATGCGAGCAGTGCCTGATCTCATGCAGCGTATCGCTGGCAAATCTATCCCGCTCGAGAAGTATGTTGCGCGCAAGTCCAAGCAATTCCTTGCCCAGGGCGGACGCCTTGCCTGCCCCGGTATCGAGCTTGCTTACTTCCTCAACGCGCTCTCGATGGCGCCTCGCTATGCCCTCTTTGGCATCCACCTGCGAGCAGTCAGCGAGACGCTCGCCAAGCTGCACGACTGCAAAGATCCTTCGTCGTATGGCGAGACAAATACAGAAGGCGAGTACTGGGACGATTACTGCATGGCACACTTTTTGCGAGCTATCATTCTGCGCTTCATTGCTTTCCCCGAGAAGCACACGCACCTAGATCCGGAGAAGTCGCCGATCAGCAAGAAGGAGGCCGCCGATCAAGCACTCATTTCACTCAACAACGTCTATAAGCACGGCACGAAGATCACTACCAACCACATGCTCGTCTGGTTCGCGCATTACGAGATGGGACGTGTGTATGACGACCTCGGAGACCCGACCAAGGCAAAAGCACAGTATGACATTGTCATGGCTGGCAAGAAGATGGAGATAGACCGCCGTGGCGAGAGCGGCAAAGTCAGTCTACGTATGTCTGCTCCCAATCTTAGTAGTATCATGGCTGACGTTGTCGACGGCAGAAAACATGTCTGTGCTGCGTACGAACGCTGCGCGCGACAAATTGATTGCTCGTCAGAAGGGCAAGGCAGCCGTCTAATGCGTCACTCTGTCTTCTTTGCCGTATTATTGTAGCACCACAGACTGCATGCTCTTCGCCCTTGTTTGTCCGTATGAGTATCCTTTGCAATGTACAGACAGAGTTAAACCGGCTGGGGCACTATGCCGATGACAGCACCTCGCGAGCAGCAATGAGCAGCTGGTTCTCATAGTCACCACTGCATGCTTGCATGTCAGCGAGCGCGGAAAGTGTGAGTGGCGGGGAAACTCACGTCGAATCGAAGAAGATCAGGCCGCCGAGTCCCTTGGCTTTGACGAAAGCTGCCTTTGCTTTGATCGATTCAACGTCGTCGTAATTGATCCACAGCATCGTCTCTGCGTGGTACAGCGCAGGCGTCTGCGAGCAAGTATCGTAGTAGCGCGTCCAGCCCTCGGTAGGCTTTCCAGCAGCATCGATGGCCTTGAGCTAACACAGAAGATGGTCAGAAGCTGCAGATGTGATCGTGCAATATGCGCACCTCTGTGATAAGCGCAGAGTAGCGCCATGTGCCTCCGTTCGGATTCTCGACGCCACAGACGTCTTTGCCAGCTTTATCGGCCAGAGAATCGCCATCTACGCGCACGCCAGTGGTTTTAGGGTAGACAAACACATTTTGACCACCCAATAGCTGTCCAACGATGGGACCCTTGACCTGGAAGCCATGACCGTACGCAGGAACTTCGATGGTGATTTGCTTTGGTGCGAAACCGGCTTTGGTCCAGAAGGCGACCGAGTCCTCGATAGAGAGGCCTACGAGGTCTGGCGTGGCACAAGTCGAATGCAAGGGCTGAAACGCAGTGAGCTCAACGATCAACGCAGTATCTAGCCAGACTTACCGAGTTTGGACCGGCGTGTGCGAGCCAAGGACCAGCGATGTCGACTGTGAGCAGCTCAATGGCGTCGAGAACCTTGGCAAAGGCTGCGGCCGAAGCCAGTTTGCCACCCGTAGCATCTGTGAAGCCCAGGAGAGGCACTGCAGCCGAGAGACGAAGCTTTGGCGCCTTTGATCTGACGAGTTGCAGGAAAGTCAAAAAGTTGGAAGTGTCCTGTGGCGAGATAACGTTACAGCCTAAACACGCGAATGAGCATGTGCATGAGGCAAGCAGCCTGCTATGGCCAACGTACCGATGCCTTGTACACCGGGATACTCGTAGTCGAATGAGAGACCATTGAAGCCGTACTTCTTGACATCGGCAAGGATAGCCGCTGCAAAAAGTTCTCGCGAAGCGGCGGTGGCGATATGAGTCGAGAAGTAGCGGGATCCGCGCCATCCACCGATGGCGAGGTTGATGTGCTTTGTCTTTCCTTCACGAGCGCCATTGACGAGTGCGGTGATCTGCTGCGTGTAAGGCGCAGGGTTGGGTGGCTGGCTAACGAGCGAGCTGATGACAATGTAGCAATCAGCTAGCGTGATCTAGTGCATAAGCAACTTACTAGTTGAGACCGGGCTTTGTGCCTGTCTCGGCGACAAAGTAGTCGACCGAGCTCAGCAAGTTGAAGGGTAATGTGCGGGCGCCCTGCACGTTTGCATGATAGGCAGGATAGGTTGATCCGATGATGTAGTCGCTATGGCCGAGCAACAAACGATCAGTGCGGATTCAGTTGTTTGGACAGAGACGACTCACGATGGCACTGCGCCACGCTTGTGGGGAGTAGAAGCTGCCGTCAGGCCAGCGAGCGCCAGCGCGAGGAGACCGACTGTCATATCGCGAAAGAAAATGCAGGAGACGTTTGCTTGGTGCAAGACCGGCCAGATAGGTACAGCTGGAAGCAGGGAGGAGGAGTTGCCGAGGACAGGCGAGGGCGGTGCACTGTTGCGCGTTGCTCGATGAAAAAACGGAATGCAAGATCCAGCGGAGGAGCAGGGACGCGACTCGTCGATGGATTTGGCGTCGACTCGCCGGAGAGCTACTTCTTGCTTGTGTGGCTCTCTAACGCTTGCATTTCTGCTCAATGTCCACCCCTTGACCGTCGCTGGGGGCTTTGACAGGCTCTGGACGAGCGCCGCTGATCTGGCCTCTTGCCCTCCGAGCCACGTTGCAAAAATGCCTGTGCCTTTTGGTCTGTATCCGGCGACATTGGGTAGCGAAGGACACGGCACACTGATCGATGTAACGTCTGATGGCTTATATAAAACCTATCAGGGCGCTGTTCGACAGAACTTTCGATCGACTCTCCGAGCACATTGCCATTCGACAATAAAAATGAAGATTATGTTGATCCTCTTGACTGCGGCTGCCATGCAACTCGTCAGAGCTGTGCATTCTCTAGACAGCTATGCTTCCGCCGGACACTGACATTCAAAGCGCAGGTGCCAAACTGCTATGCAGCGTCGGCGGCTGACCCTTGTTGGGGAACGCCAGGCTGCAAATGGCAAGTGGTCGCGGCATTGGACACGAGCTGCGACTCATCGAAGCGAGCAGGGTTGTGCGCAATCCGAGGGATCCCTATGACGGCTATTGTGATCGTGCATAAGCGTAGATCTGATCTAATCTCGGGCTTCATCGGCCAGCTTGTTGTAATGCAGCCCTCCTCCATGTATCTGAGTGCGCACGCCGATCGATGACGGCGAATCGACAAGGCATGGTCCGACACGCGAAAAAAATTGCGCGAGCGACTAGTATCTTGCATTGAGAGCTACGTTTGCGAGATTAGCTCAATCGTCCTTTTTGGACCACTGGATGGTCGGATACCCTGACTGTATGGCGCAATCATAGACCCTGCCGTCTGCACAGGGTTAGATGGATGAGCGACGACTTCCCGAGCCCGTGGGCAAACTGACGTGGAGGAATCTCGGTGCAGGACGAGCAGTCAAGGCTGTTGTCAAGGCGTCATGAGTTGGGCCATCTTTGCAGCAGCGAGCGATGGACTCGCTGGATGCGGCTGTTGATCGAACGAGCTTTGCTTGTGTCAACATAGAACGCAGTGTCCTCCGTCCACACCAGCTTGCAGCAGGATCTGACGAGCGGCGATGCGTCATCAGGGCTGAAACTCCATTTTGTGGCCAAGACAGAATACGAGGATCGCTCCGCTGCCAACCATGCCGCGGTCGCTACTTCTCCAGTCCAGCTGTCACCCTCGCGAATGTCGGTAGGTTTTGACTGCGAGGACGTCAGCGCCTGCATGCTAAGCGCCTTTTCGGGTCATGTACCGAGCAGAGCTTCAGGTTTCGCCCTTCTTCCTGCCAGCTGGCCGAGATGATCATGGCCTTGATGACTCGTACGCTTTGCGGGAGAGGTCCGGGGATCGAGCACTTTACATATACTGCTCCTCAGACATTGTGGCGTTGGACCTGTTGAGCAAGGGCGCACGACAGCGTTCATGATCATTGCGAGGGTGTACGTGGGTAGAGATATGACAGACGAGCAGAGGAAGCCAGCAGCAAGCACGACAAGAGTGAGCGGCTGCATCGTCACGCAAGCTCTCGATGAGAGATTGGATTGGCAAGAAGGCAACGATGAGTGGCGCGACATGCGACAGCGCCGCGTGACGCCTCATAGCTTGCTGACGCACTCGTCCGACTGTGCAGCTCACGCCTTGTTGACAGCGCGCAATGCATCACGCTATTCTGTTGTGCATTACGAGGAGGTAACAATAGGTAGAACATGCACTCGGCGCAACGTCATAGCATGTCAGCCTCTGTGAGATGCGCGCTTCCTTGCATGTCATGTCTCCGCGGGAAGACCGTCAGCAGGCCATCGAGCCGAAAGCGGACGACACAGCATGACAAGATGGTCAGCGAGGCTTGCTGACCGACAAAGATGTCAGCAATCGCTGATGAAATTGTGACCGTGATGAGCAAGCAAGGTGGCGTCCGCTGACCAACCACCTCCCTTGGCTTTCCCATAAGGAGGGCTCCTGTCCAGAAGCCTCACTGCACCAACACCGCATTGCAGCAATCGTTTGAGCATACCGACAGACATCCCCGCGCAAAGCAGACACCCATGTCGACATCGTACTTGATCATTGGCGCCAATCGCGGTATCGGCTTTGGGTTCGTGCGTCAGCTTGCAGTCAAGCCTGACACGATCGTCTATGCTTCCTATCGCAATGCTGCCAAGTCTGCTGAACTCATCGAATTTGCAAAGGCGCACGAGAATGTCTCTTTGCTCACGCTGGACATGACGGACGAAAAGTCAGTCAAGCAGGCAGCTAACGAGCTCAAGAGACATACTGCGTCAATTGACGTCGCCATCTTCAACGCGGGCGTGCAAGGCTTCGTTGGCGACGTGCTCGAGACGTCCCCCAAAGTCTACCTCGATCACTTTGAGCAGAACGTCGTCGGCCCACTGATCCTGACGCAAGCGTTTGCTCCCTTCCTGTTGGCCAGCACGAGTGGCCGACGCGAGCTCGTCTATCTGTCGACTGCTGCAGGCTCGATCGGTAAGCTGCCAGACGTCGATGGACTCGTCACTGCCGTCTTTGGCGCAAAGTCGTATCCCTTCGGCCATTACGCAGCATCAAAGGCTGCGCTCAACATGCTCGGTCGGGTCGTGGCGCTAAGCCTCGAGAAGAAGGGCATCAACGTCTTGCTGGTGCATCCGGGACTCGTGGCGACCGACATGTCGACCATGGCGGAAGGTCAGAATGGTGCAATTACTGTCGACGAATCTGTGGAGACGACGCTCAAAGTGATCGCATCCGCCGAGATCGGTAAAGGCCAGGAAGGCATACTAAGCCAGGATGGCTCGATAATCCCCTGGTGAGCAAGAAGGCCTGTTGTTGCGCGCCATAAGCATTGTAAGCATCTAGAAAAAGGCCGGTTGTCGCTTCGTCTGCTTTGAGTATTTCGGGCGATCTAGCCGAGCGGCGGTCGGCCAGTTGGCGTGATACGGACATCAGAAGTCGCTCTGACGTTGCTGATGCCGGATGTGTTGCGGGTGGCCTCCCGTTGAGCTGCCCAGGCTTCGCTGAGAGAGATGCCTGGGCTGATCTGATTCTCGCTCGTCTCGAGATCGGTGATCGTCACGCCAGGGAGACCGCTCGCTTCGTCAGGCGTGAGGACGACGGTCTCTCGTCGGCGATGACCTCGCTTGGGACCCTCAGCATGGACGACGCCGTTCGACTGGGCTGACACGCCAGCCGGCCCGTCTTGCTTGAGCGACAAGTGGCTGAGCGCCTCCATGAGATCGTGGGCCAGAGTCTCTCTGTTGGGCTGATCCTCTCTGACCTGCTCCCATCCGACTGGCGGCGAGCCGGGCGGAGAGATGAGAAAGTTGCGCTGGGTGTCTGGCACGGGCAGATGTCTTGCGGCGTACAACGTCTGCCGGCCATCGTGTGCGAGCGTGTCCAAGGCCGTCGAGGGACCAGCGTACACTCTGAGCATGCTGATCGTCTCGTCGATGAGCGCATCCTCATCTGAGCTGCTCGTGCTCTTTGACGAGTCTGTGCCATCAGTGGTGATCTGGATCCAGGAGCGGTCCAGCTCGCTCTTGGCAAGCGTGGCCGAGCTGTCTGCAGCGTAGACGCAGATGATCCTGCCGAGCGACTTGAGAGGGGCCCAGGCTGCCACATCGCCATACGAGGCAAACAAGCGATAGAGATCCTCGAGCAGCGTGTCCACCGTGCTCGGACAAGGCACGCCGGTCACGATGAGTGTGTTGGTGGCCGAGGAGGTCGAGGCTTGTGTGAGCCTGGCCTCTGCCTCTTGTATTGCAGCGCTCCTTCCCATAGTCAGGCAGGACGAACTTGTGCAGCCGCCAACTTGGCGCCTGCAAGTGGCGAAACTATGGATCACCCCCCTGCACGCCCAAGCCAGTGCGCCCCGACAAACCTCCTCTCAAGATGCCGAGCAGATAGATCCGCACCACTCTCTTGATCTCATGTCACGAGCGGACCGCTCGCCACTCTCATTGGCCTCATTTCGGGACAACGTGACTCGGCTCCTCGTCTCTCGGCTCCCTGAGAGGGGCCCCTCTCAGCAAAGGGGCTTCCTCGGTCTCTACCTTGTGCGGGCCGAGATCAGCATGCAAGCGCTTCGATTTCTTGCCATCGCTCTCCTGTTGGCGCCCGGTTTGGCCCACCCCGACTGGATCGCAGGCTGGTACCATGTCACGATCTACATCGACGTAGAGGCAAGCCTGTACTCTGCCCTTGCATCTACGCTCATGTCTCCGCTGTACGAACGAGCGTAGTGTCAACTCGGCCATGTCAGCCAGACCCCTCTGCTTGTCGATGCACATCATTGACAGCCCGCGTTCATCATAGCCATACAGCGGCTTGCCCTTCTTCATGTCCAGATCGCTCACGATGAACATCGGCTTTGTGTCCTTGGGAGAAACCGGACGTCTGCTTGCAGTCCGCCATGCCATTTCATCGAGCAGCAAAGCAAAGTTGATGAACATGTGCATAGGATCACCCAGGCGGCGATTTCAGTCAGGTGCCAGCTTCGTCCAGCAATTGGGATGCTGTACGGCGATCGTACTACAGTCTTGTGGAGATCACGACGACCGAAGAAGTCGTCGGTAGCGTCTATCCCCTCGTGGACGAGTGTTGCAAGCTCTACTGGCGCCAGGTTCGTCCGATTCTGGGATCGCAGACGATCTTCGGCTGACGATCGGGACTGCAGGATCTTTGGATCTATCAGCAGGCCAATCACATCATCCTCGGTTCGACCAGGGCACGCCTCGATTGCTCAAAATGTGCCAACACCTTTGACCCCAGTCAGTTCATACTGGTCCCGCTGCATACCTCAACCAGCTCAGCTCTCACCACGCAGGCATTGTCAACTGCGCAGCCATCAAGCCTGTACTCTCGCTCGTATGTTGCATCCGTCGAGCGGTGGTTGACGAGGCTGGCAGAGTCCCACGATCGAGTGGCAAAAGTACCTTTAGGCGGCTGACTCGTGCTCCGTTTATCTGGGCAATGCAAAGCTTTATCATTCTCAGCGCTCTGTGGGGTAGCGATGGATATGACCGCAATGTATATAGATGGCTGTGCAACAACAATAGTTTACTCAAGGCCTACCAAGCAATGATCGAACCGTCTTGCTTGAGAATACCCTCCTGACCTTTGCCAAGTGGGGCAGACTCGATGACTTGGAGCATCGTCCTGACCGAGTGTTCGACACTGACTGCGCCGTTCTGCCCTACCTGCATGGCAGACAGGTCTGTCGAGACCATGCCGGGATGCACAAGCAGAACGCTGACGCCCTTTCGCTCGAGCTCGAGTGCGACGACGCGGCCCAGCGTGTTCAAGGCAGCCTTTGACGTCGCATAATGACCGACGGGGTACGACTTGGCATCGTACATAGAGGTCACTGTGCCGTTGATCGCTGGCAAACTGCTGATGGAGCCTGCAGCAGTCGACAGATAGACGAGCGCCCGTCGAGCGGACTGGCTTGCTAACAAAAAAGGGACGAATGCTTGCGTCAGGATCAGCGGACCGACGACATTTTGCTCGTAATGCTGAAGATAGACTGACGGAGGCGTCTCGAGCACGTCACCGAGGTAGCTTTGAACGCCAGCATTGAAGATAGCGACGTCGATGGACGCGGTATGCCTCTTGAGCTCATTGGCTGCCTGCTTGACTGACTTTTCATCGGTCATGTCCAGCGAGAGTAGGACGACATTCTCATGCGCCCTCGAGAAGTCGATGAGCTCTGTAGACTTGGCAGCCGTGCGGTAGGAGGCATAGACGGTTGTGTTGGGCCGAAGTGCGAGCTGGCGAATAAAGCCGAAGCCGATACCCCGGTTGGCGCCGATGATCAAGTAGGAAGTCGACATGACCTGGCTCTGCGTGCTCTTCGATCTCTATACGAGCAGCGAGAAGCCTGGGCAGACTGTTTCTGAGCAACACTGAAGACACCGTGGAAGCAAGGATTGCCAGAGAAGTGCATCCACATCGGCTTTATCGGTCTGAACGATCTGATCCTGTTTCCGTCCGAGACGACCGAGACTTTCGCCACTCTCGACATGGCCACCCTCCCCCTAGCGCGGACACACACACATTCTCTTCAACCTGACCATCTGTGTCCAGCAGAAAGGGACCGTCGTGCGCTCTTGCCGTCTTCTCGCTTTGCAATCTATGCGATCTGCTTCCGACAACAGACTACAACGCTCACCAGGGAATCACCGAGCCATCTTGACTGCGGATAATTTCTTGGCCTTTGCCGATCTGAGCAGATGCAACGACTTTCAGGACCGTCTCGACAGATTCATCGACGGTGATTGCACCATTTTGACCCGCTTTGGCGCTCGACACCTCCGTTGCGACTGTACCCGGATGAACAAGCAGGACATTGACGCCCTGCTCTTCGAGATCGAGCGCTACAACCCGAACCATCATGTTGAGTGCCGCATTCGACGCGGCATGGTGGCCGAAAGGATATGATTCGCTGCCGATGAACTGGTTTACCAGCTTGCTGAAACCCGGCAGAGCAGTGATCGAGCTCAGAGCGTTCAGCATACACGTGCAATGCGGTCGACTAATGCAGAGATTTGCTGATGCATCATGACCAAATGGTGCTCGCGTCTGCGCCTATGTCCGAAATCCGGCACCCGTTGTTTGTCCGAAGCTGAATTGAGCTTATCGTGTGTCCGAGCTTAGTGTGCGAAGGGGTAGCGCTGGTGACCACACTGCAGTATCATTGCGAGCTATTGTGCGCAAATTAGTGCGAATCACGTTGAGGATATAAAGCAACACCTCATATTTGTCGATTATCAGAGATGAGTCATATTCGCAAACGCTTTGCATTATTAACACGCAACACTCGTCATAACCGCATAGTGGCAACCACTCAGTATGCGACTGAAGAGACATCGCGCTCCCAGCACCGATGCGCAGCGATAGCATTGACAAAAGCAGTGGCGAAATTGGCGGACTCGCCCACACCCTTGATGGTAGACCAGATTGACGAGTCCTGCTCAGTCAGGTTGGGCGACAAGACAAGTCCGAGCTTCGATTCGAAAGTGTTGACGCTGCCCTCGGTGGGATCATCGATGTCGAGTAAAGCAGTCTTCATCAGCCATGTGCACGCAGTCCCAGCTGCGGCCACTGCCTTGAAATGGCCAAAGGCTTCGCGAGCAAAGTGGGTGACCCGACCAGACTTGAGGCTCTTCACATACTTCTCGTCGCCAGACGGGAAGAAAACTGCGTCGAACATAAGCGAGCGACATGATTCGGGGGTGAAGTTGGTTGATATCACGCCGGCTGCCTTCTCATTGCCCATCTCAACGCCCTTGGGATAAGCAGGACCCTTGCGTGAGCCGATGACCTGTACAATGACACCAGCGCCCATGAGAGCAGTCATCATCGCCTTTGCTTGCAAGCCATCGTAGCCATCGAGGCAGAACATAGCGATCTTGCGGCCCTTCGCTGTAAACGTATTGTTGGAATCAAGCATCGAAATGGGGAGCGAGCCAGTAGTCGTTCTGCCTTTGGCGGCGTTGCCCTTGCTTGCAGGAACCTCGATGCCAAAGCCAGCTGCGACCTCGACAGCTAGATCGTGATCAATCTCGTTGAAGCGGGCGATCATGCGCTCTTGAACGATCCGAACATCGCAACGTCCGAGCTCGTGATGAGCTGTGGCGATCAAGCGAGTCTTTTCACTCGGGCTCAGTGAATTGTAAAAGAGAGCAGCTTGATTATAGGAATTCTCGAACGATCGGGGGCGCTGACGGGCGTGAGCGCCTTTGACCTCAGTAGGAGGATAAGTGAGCGCGTTCGGATTGTGAAGCTTCTTGAGATCATCGACAGTCGTGCTGTCATCCACAAAGTTGCGACCATCTTGCTGACCGACTTTGGGCAGATCGAATCGATTCGGATGGTAGTTGGGCATGGCGCGGATCTGGTTCGCGCCGTGGCCATCGCGAGCTGTCGTGATGAAAGGACAAAGTGATTTGTTGATCGGAATCTGGTTGAAGTTCGGTCCGCCTAGCCTGATCAATTGAGTGTCGTGATACGAGAAGTTACGGAAGGCCAGCATCGGATCGTTGCTGAATCCTATTCCAGGGACGACGTTCGAGGTTCCGAAAGCAACCTGCAAGCGACAGCGCGTTCAGGAAGCAGCATACGAATGAATCGCACTATCTTGCCTTTTCAGTCTCCTCGAAGTAATTCGTTGGCAGTCTATTGAGCGTCATCGTACCGACGTATTTGATCGGCACAAGCTCCTCGGGCCAAAGCTTCGTGCAGTCTAGGATGTCAAAGTCAAAGTCGCGCTCGTTCTCCTCTTGCAAGATCTGAAGACCGAGCTCCCACATGGGCGGCTCTGCACCTTGACTATCGATAGCGGCTGAGCGATAAATAGTGTCAGCTCAGCAAACAATCGAGTGAGACGTCGAGAGACATACTGATGGCTTCTGCCAGGTCTCTGCGCAGATAGTCTGGATCTACACCACCAAGCTTCCATGCTTCGTCCCAGGTAAGGCTGTGGGTACCGAGATGGGGCTTCCAGTGGAACTTGACGAAGCAGCTCTTGCCGGCAGCATTGACGAGAGTGAACGTGTTGACGCCGGCACCTCGCATGTGACGGTACGATCGAGGGATCGTATAGTCTGACAAGATCCACGCGATCATATGCGATGATTCTGGTGTGAGCGAGATATAGTCCCAGAAATTGTCATGGGCTGTTTGGGCCTGTGGAATGTGTGTTCCAGGCTCTGGCTTGCCTGCGTGGATTAGGTCGACAAATTTGACACCATCGTTGATGAAGAAAATCGGAATATTATTTCCGACGATGTCCTGTTACTGATCAGTCCTCTGTAGGAATCCGGTAAAACATCGACTCACCCAATTGCCCTGATCGGTGTAGAATCGCGTTGAGAAGCCTCTGACCTCTCTCGCGGTCTCTGCTGCACCGGCTGATCCCAGGACGGTCGAAAAGCGGACAAACATGGGCGTCTCTTTGCCGACTTCGGTCAAGACTTTTGCACAAGTGACATCCTCCATGCTCGTGTGCAGCTTGAAGAAGCCGTGCAGTCCCGTGCCCCGGGCATGGATGACTCTCTCCGGAATACGCTCGTGGTCAAAGTTGGAGATGCGCTCTCTTGCAACGTTGTCGGCGATCGTGACGGGGCCACGAAAGCCTGCTTTCATGGACGTGTCGATGTTGTCCGCAGGCGCATTGTTGAAGACCGTGCCGTGCACTGTACCGTCACGAGGTGCTCGCCATGTACTTTGCTCCAGCTGATCGGTCTTAGCATTACCCCGGGGCGGCGGTCCGTGCGAGATCAGTCCATCTTGTCCCGCGAATGACATCCTTGCGTATAAGGACTTTGGAGCAGATGAGGGCAATCGAATGACCTGCTTCTTGTCTTCTCAGTGAAGCTGCTGCTGGCACTCTCGACAGCGATTGGAATTCCCTAGGATCAGAGTTCGCATGTATATACTGCCATCGATGTCCGAGCACCGTCATATTCGATGACGATGGAGTTGCGCGGAGAATTTTTGGGATCTTCCTCTGACGGCGATCGGGACATGGATGGGTCTAGGCAGGAAGGATATAGTGTTCAGGCTCTCGGCATGTGCTTGCCGACGCCTGCTGAGCTTCAGTCGGTGACCGGTGACCGTTGCTACGGGAACAGACTTCCACGTCAGTGGTGATTGATAAGCCATCTGATCTACAACGTGCACAAGCTCGAGGAGTCAACGTCCAGATGAAGATGGGCCAGTCTGAGCCGCGAATAGACAGTGCAATGACTAGAAGTAGACTTGTACATAGTCACTAGCGCCAAATGCGATGCCACAGTTGGGACACTTGCGCTGCCGCGTCTCGATCCTCGTCTCGATGCATTCCTCTGTGACGAGCGGTCAGCTCGTCCATGGACAGAGGAGACTGTATGTACTGCAGAAGAGATGGTAGCACCTCGTAATGGCATGTGACTTGAGTCGTTGCTGACAGGAGCACTTCATAAGTTTCTAAAACCATGACGCGGTTAGATGTGAACAAGGTGTTGAAGCATTACGACTGACGGTCAGGTACTTGTTCGACTCGCGCAGCTTGTGCGTGTCTGCAGTATCACCCTTTGATGAGGCTTGCTGAGCAATCTCGAGGTCCTTTGTTTTCCTGTCGAGGCGTTCTTCCGCTTGCTGTCGTCGAGCTGCCTCTACTTCATATTGACGAGTTCGCTCTTTCAATTGCGCCATGAGCTGCACGAAATCGTTCAGCATGTCTGAACAGGGCCGGCGCAATACGTACATCAGCCACGCGCTTGTCAAAAGTGTCTTTGCGCCGTATCAGCTCGGCATTGAGCTTATTGTGCTCGATCAGTTTGGCTTCGTACTGCCTCACCTTGCGTTCAGCCATCGTGATCTCATCCTCTGCGTCACTTAGACGCGTCGAAAGAGCAGCTTGAGAATCCGCAAGCTCTTTCAGGCTGATGGCTTGCTTGTCTTTTAGTCGTGTGACGAAGTCTCTGTCCTGCGCAACGGCTTCCTTCTCTCGCATCGCCGCAAAGTATCGATTATCCGCTTTCGCTTTCTGTGATAGGGCGAGTGTCAGCACGGATACATGGTCAGGCAGCTCGGGCACTCACATCCGCTGCAGCTTTCCCCAATCGGTCCTCGTAGTTGACCATATCGAGCACCTTACTCCGATTTTGCTCGTCGAGTGCTTGCCAGGCGGCCGATAAACGCTCAATCTCGCTGACGAGCATGCTCGAGGCTGTTTGCTGAGATTTGAGCTGTATCTCGAGCTTTGCAATCTCCCTTTGCTTGTCTTCGAGACGCTGGGCCAAGGTCGCACCGTCTGGCGCATCGGCGTACAAGTCCTCGAGCTCCTTGATGCGCTTCCGCAGATTCAGTAGTTCTTCTGACGTCCTTGCTTCTGGGTACGATGTATTTGTTGCATCAGGCATTGAGTCACCCTGCATTGAAGCGACAGTTGCTTTTGCTTCTGCGAGCTCCTTCTGAGCCACTTCCAACGTGTCGAGAAGATCGACTTCGTTGGCCGCACGCTCGACGGCAGGCAGATCAGAGTTATCTGCAGCTATTTGCATCCTGAGTCGCGCGACGAGGGATCCATAGGCAAGTATGCGGTCATGTCGACTGTTGGCGAGAATGCGGATGTGATCTACTTGTCGCATCTTCTCTGCTTCCTTGGTCCTTAATTCGTGCAATTCTGCCTTGATGTCCTCTCGGTCGCGTCTGACCCGGGCAAGATTACGATCAGATTCGATAAGACGTTCTTTGTACGTCTGGGTATGCTTGCTCGCTTCTTGCAGCACTTCTGCTTTCCATGATTCCTGAGATTCGCGTATCTTGCTCGACATGATCTGAGTCAGTTCAGAATCTTCTTTGATCTTTTCTTTGGCCTTGCGAAGCGAGCGCAGCTCTGCTTCGATGTCCTGGAAAGCGGGCGACTCTCGTATCGCTGTGTCCGGTAGGTGCTTGAACTGGCAAGCCAATCAGCATCAGCTTGTGAGCGCTGATGCCGAGGAGAGGGCTCACCTTGCGATTCAGATCGTCCACTTCTTCCTTGAGCCTAATGCGCTCTTTGCGCATGGCATCGAGCTCGGCGGCACGCATGGCAGCTATACGATTGGCTTCGTCTCGTTCGGTGATGAGCTGTACATGGTCCGCAAACGGTGCTGGCGAACTTCGGTTGCCATTGGTGCCGTTCGCGCGGGCATGGGTCGGCGAGCCTGTGGGTGATCCGTTGGACTGATGGGACGAGCTTGCAGCCGTTGGAGGTGCAGCAACCGCATCGTCGGTCGAGGCAAAGACGCTGGCAACCGTGCGGGATTTGGCTCGGTCCAGCTGAGTCTCGGCGTTCTGTAGCGAGGCCTGCGTTGTCTCGAGCGAGTTGCGAAGTTGGGCGAATTCTTCGCGTAAGATAGCAAGCTTGGCATTCGCGTGCTGGGCCTGGGGACAACAGTAGTGATAGTAAGCGACTCTGATGACGCTCCGCGAATGCTGTCTTACCTGGCTGGCGAGCAAGAGAGAGCGCTCTTGCAGTTGGGCGACGCGGTCGTCGAGCTTGGCGTCAGACTGGGAGGGTGCAGTGGTGAGGAGGTGGAGCATGAGGACTTTCGTCTGACTGAGCTTGGCCTGCAGGTCCTGCTCTCTCCGCTTCTCTGCCCTTTCCTCAAGTTCTGCGAGGATGAGAGCGCTATCATTGGACGAGGTGTCGTAGATCAATGGGTCGCGTGCTGGACGCGATCCGAGCTTGCTGGACGATGGCATGCCTACCCCTGAGCTCTGTAGCGTACTCGCTATCTCGCTCAAGAGGGCATCCCATGCGGAATGGGTATGGGTCGAGTCTGACTGTGCCTCGAGCAGGCGTTGTCGAGTGAGAAGTAGTTCGTCGAGATGACGCAGTGCGAGGCGCTTGTAGTGCAGCAGGGCTCTATGCAGTGCTTCCTTTTGGAAGGCCTGTCAGTGTCGAGCGGCATGGACAGGCGAGAAAGATCAATCAGAGAGTCAAAAGAGTCGCAAGGGAGTTTGAGCGTCAGCCTCTGTCGGGCTACAGCAGCGTCAGACTGTGCGTACCTCGAGATCACCGCCGGACCCGACATCCTCAGGGGCGTGGGAGTCACTTCTACTGCGCTCGAGGAGACCAGCTTGGTAGCTATTTGACGCTGACAGGGCAGGTCGCTTGTTAGGCGATCCCTGGCCTATCGAGGCATTGGCGCCCTCGAGAAGTGGCCTCTTACGAGGCACTTCCATCTGAGCCCTCAAGCTGGGCGTGTTGTGTCAGACGAGCAAGCGAATGGCCAGCGGGAGCTCGCTGTGACAGTGGTGAGGCCAGGTCATTTCAACTTTGAAAACAAGCGCGTTCCCCATTCAGCTCAATATGGGGTGATGTGAGCACGGCTGGCTCCTGGTCAGCCTGAGCTATGTATATGTATGAGACCAATCTGATATGCATCTTCGTCTTCACCGGCATCATGAGAGACCTACTTTGGTCGCTATACGCACTCTAAGAGCGTACCTCAGGGCGGCAAGTCAAGACGGGCCGCGCGCCTCACGAACAGATTGTAGAGGCTCTGTGCTTCTGGACAGCGTACGGACTGATCAGTCTGCTACTACAACTCGTCGCGGTCTCACAGAGACCTCCGCTCTGCCGCGTGCGAGTGATTGCGCGGTGGCAAGGCGGGGCGCACATTGGAAAAGGTTTGCAAGGCACGAAGCTGTGCACACAGAGGCCTTGCGAGCCTGTCTCTGTGCTGCGAGACGGAAGGCGCCATCCACAGGAGCGGACGAATGCGAATCGAATTTGAGCACTTGGTTCGCAGACTCTGTTGGATCTTATCGAACGACATGACGCAATGAGCGTGAATATGAGCATCTAGCGCAGTTCAGGGGCAACAGGTGTTGGGTCTGAGGCGAGCATGGTGTCCTTGGGGGGACGATCCTGATCAGTAAAGTATTTGGGGCAGCCAAAGCTCAATGAGACAGGAGAGGAGAGGAGCTCGAGGTCAGCAGGGACAGACGAAGTGGCGCGCGACTCGACTCGCCTTTGGACAAGTCATCAGCCTGCCGCCCAGACAGATGGAGGAGGTGAAGCCCAAGGGCATCTTGAAGAACGCTCGCTCGTTCAGCCGTCCTGTCCCGGGACTGAGCAACCAGGATGGCGAGGATCAGGAGAGCCGCATGCAAGATCTCGTCTCGCCCGCTGATTCTACCCCGCCAGCGTTGTCACCCTCTGCGCCCTCGTCCAGCCGTCCTGCGCCTGTCTCTGGGGATCGCTCGCAGTGAGTCATCGTCTCATGATCAAGCAGACCGGCGCTGACGGTGCTCCGAGTAGTCTGACATGGGATGAAGCCAATCTCAACTTGAACGAGCTCAGCAAGGAGGCGACCATGAAGATCACCGAGCCAAAGACGCCGTATGTGCGCTACAATCCAGAGACGGACGAAGTCATGGATCTCGACAGTCAGTCGCCTCATCACTGACGCGGGCTCCCTTGCTGAGCCTCGACAGCACAGAGATTCCCGGCTTCGAGTTGGGCAGACCGGACCCAGACGCGGCTGCCCTCTCTTCGCCACCCTCATCGGCAGACACATCCGCCAATGAGCCCAGCTACTTCCCACCGACCAGCCCTTCCCGTTCTGCCGCGCTCCCCGTGCCGACCACGCCTTCGACTTCATCTCAATTCGCCCAGCATGGACTCGGCCTCGATGCCCGCCTAGCCAGTCAACTGAGGGATCCGCACCCTGCCTCACCTGCACTCTCATATCAGTCTCATGTAGCCACAGACGGATCCAGGCGGTCGTCGTTCTCAAACGAGAGCGCTTACGTAGCCAGCACGCCCGTCAGTGCGCGACCCAACCCACTCGAACGACAAGGGTCCCAGCGTGAGTCCAGTCGGCGAACGAGCGAGGCAGGATCGGAGAAGAAAGTCCAGGTCGTCGTGGGAGAGTCAGTCACCTCTCCCGGGCTAGATCTGCCCCAGGGCAGAGCTCGTTCTGCTTCCTTCAGAACGGGCGAGTCGGGCGCCATGCAAGGCGTGGGAGACGATAGCGCGGTCGGCGACGAAGAGCTCACGGAAGAAGAGGCAGAGAAACAAGCCAAGTTTGCAAGCAAGCGTGACTCGCACTATCGCAATGAGGCTCTTGCCATGCAGCGTGCAAAAGCTCTCCTCAGAGAAGTGCGTGCCCTCTGCTGAGCATCACTAACTGTATGTGCTGATAGACCAGCAAACAGGACGATGACGATGCTGGTGCAGACGAAGAACTCGTCAACGGAGCGAGCAGCATGGATCTCGATCACAAGCTGACCAACGGCGTCTAGCCCACCTCTTCCGCTGACCATCATGCCTCATATCGAGATTGTAAGCATTCGTGGTGTAGAGAATCTTTGTATGCAAAATGCGAACGAGTCATTACAACGTCACCGTCAGACTAAGATTTGCGAGGCGTGCTGGGTCTGCTCGAAGATTCTTCCTGGGCTTCGGCAGCATAAGCCACGCCGTTTGCGAGATCCTCCATCTTCTGATCTTTGGATTCCATCGCTTCTCTGATCATGCTGATCGTGTTCTCCAGAGACCGCCTTCGTGTGCTGGGCGAGGTCATGGTGGTGCCCAGACTGCCAGAGCGAGAGTGTCCACGCTTGAAGCTGTCTCGCTTCTTGACGCCCGTGCTGCTTCCTTCGGTGTCCATCGAGGGTGAGCCGGGCACTCGACCGGCAGAGTCAGACATGACGGGACTCGAGGGCGTTGTGGAGTGATCCTCGAGTGACATGCCACTTGGGCTGGGCGGGATGGAGGCAGCAGGCGTGCTCATCGGCGAAGCAAAGTCTTCATCTGTAGCCTCGTACAGATCGGGTGGCAGGCGTTCGTTCTCGATATCAGACTTGCGAGCATCGTCAAAGCCAGTGATGGCGTCCTTGATGCCTTCTGCCCCGTTGGCCAGTGTGCCGTATGGAAGATCAGAAGTGCCAGAGATGGATTTGAGCTCAGAAACGGCTTCTGATTCTTCTCGCAAGACGGAGAAGACTCTCGACATCTTGCCGACGGCGAGAATCTTGTTCTTGATAATCTTGCGCCGTTCCGCGTTCTCTTCAGGTGTCGCGCCTTCCATCTCTGCATCCTCCTCATCGAGCACCTCTTCCTCCTCTTCTTCCTCGTCGAGCTCCTCTTTGCTGCAGATGCCTAGCAGAGCGATGAGCATATCCGTAACTGCTCGTGCTCATCAGCAAAGTCGCTGGGACAAGGAGATCGACATACTCTTCTCGCCGACAAAGGGCAATGACCACGTAAAGACGTCCATGAAATTGGGCAGCCAGTATGGATGTGGCGTGCAGTTGAATTGTCTGATGTTCATCACGTTATTCTCGTACTTGAGCACGGCAGCCTTGTTGTTGTAGACGTCCAGATAATTGGGCGCGGAGAAGATTGTCATGACCGAAGGAAAGCCCGTCGTCTTTGTCTTGCGATACATTCGATATCTGTAGAGCCTCGTCTTCTGGATCAGCTGAGCTCCCAGATGGGGCGATGGCACTGACCCAGCATCCTGTGCCTCGTGGGCTCTGATGATAGATAGTAGACCGTTGCGCTCGAGGAATGCGCATGCCGCGTGGTAGCTGCCTCGGAATGTCAGGACTCACTCTTTTGAGATATGAGGAAGATCACCTGAAGAAGAAAGAGCAGCCTCTGACATGATTGTGCACGAAGCCCTCCTCATTCTTTTCGATGCCGAATTCTTCGAGAGGATCCGCCCAGAGTATGTCGCACATGAGACCATTTGTAGGTGGCTCCCTGAAGCGATTGATCTGCACGAACGTCTAGGTGAGCTTACCATGCGAGTCGAGAAGAGGAGACGTACGTGACGGAGATCGTCGAGCGTGTTGAGCTCTGGGGAGAGACCGCCGTGGATACAGAGGAACTGCTTGTTCATGACGGCAGCAAGTGGTAGAGAACAGAAGGACTCCATGCAGGCATCGTAGACCACTTCGGAATATTTGTGCTTGCCTGCGCTCAAAGTTTAGACTTGGACTGACTCGGAAGCAGAGACCTACACTCTAAGCGAAAGGTAAAGTAGTCTGTCAAATGCCGGCACTCGTGATTGCCTCTCAGTACTGCTCAGCTTGTCAGCTCGAGTCGCGCGGAGGAGCAAGCGTACTCACAGAACAGCGTCGTCGGATAATGGATCTTGAGCGCCCAGAGATACAGGACACACTGCCAGACTGTTAGCGATCGCTGGTACATACGGCCCGATTGCTCACTTCGATGGAGAAGTAGCCTCGGTCGACGTAATCGCCTAGGAAGAGATACCGCGTGTCGGCTGGATTTCCGCCGACTTCGAAGAGCTTCATGAGGTCAAACTAGGTGCGAGATAGAGCATCAGCAGACGAGAGACTGCAGACGAAGGCAACGTACGTATTGACCGTGTATATCGCCGCAGACTGTTCGCAAAGGCTAAGTGTGCATGAAGGAGCTCATCGCGGCTGACCTACCTGTGATGGGCGCGTCGACTTCGAGCAGATTGGGTTCTGTCTTGAGCACTTCTGTCGCTTTACTCAGGATGAAGAGCTGTAGTTTCGTCAGATGCATGAGTGCATGCGAGGAGGTAGTGCAGGTGCAGACTGACCGCTTGCTCCTCCGTCAATCTGCCTTCGCGGTAAAAGTGGTTCTTGAGAAAGGCAATGTCCGGCATGGACTTGTCAGAGGAAGTGTAGAACTGCTCGTCTGTCGGTACATGGAAGGCCGGCGCGACGACCTCCTTGATGACTCGTTCTGTGGTAGAGACAGCGGTGCCATCCTCCTGAACATGTTGGGTGAAATCGATGGCAGGCACGGGTGGCTTATTTCTGATCTGTGAGATCGCGGCTTGCTGCCTCTGCTTCTTCGTCGCCTGGTCCATGACGTATGTCGTCGGGCACAAGGGCGGCTGTGAGAGGTGTGAGGATCAAGAATGAGCAGTGCCGGCTGCCCGGATGGATTGGATTAGACTGGCCGAGCCTTGATGTGTCAGACTAGTAGTCAACAGACCAGCCTTATTCGAGCTCTGGGGATTGCCCTCACGAAGCGAGTGCAGCCTCTGACGAGGCGTCAGTGGAGCGGGTACGCCACAGGAACGGTCGAGCTCGAATGGGATCCTGTCTCGATTGCAAGAGCGAGACGAGTCGCTATCGCGCGATCGCTGCAGAGATCCTCTGTCCGATCGCTCACAAGGCCGATCGGAGCGATGGAAAGACCTCTCTGCGGGGTTTTAGCAACGCCTGTCCTCGTCGCCCGGCCAGTCGCGCGCACTTTGCAGACACGCGTCTCGAGCTCGAGGAACCACGTCATCGCGGCAAGGGCTCAGTAGGCCTCCTGCTCTGCGACCATGTCAAGGCTGGCACGGGATGTAGGCAGCCCGCTGGACGCTGGTCTGTCATGCGCTGAGGCCAGGCATGCCGCAGGACAAGGCGCTCAACGCGAAACATGCAGAGATCTTGCGTGCCCTCGTCAAACGGCCCGACAACAAGATCTGCTCAGACTGCAAGCGCAACGGTAAGCACTGCCGTTGGTCGGCTATCGGGTCAGCTGACCGCATGTCTGCCTGTCTGCCTTTCCCGTGGCTTCTGCTCTCCGCCCTACTTCTGATCCACTTACTTGTCTCGCCTGACTGGCACGCAACCCTTTGTCGTTGCGATCATCAGACGCAAGGTGGGCATCCACCAATCTCGGCGTTTTCTTCTGCATACGTTGCTCGGGCATCCATCGCGGCATGGGCGTCCACATCTCGCGAGGTCTGCTCATGTCTGAGACTCGCGTGCAAAATCACTCACGTCTCTCCTCCGGGGCAACAGTCAAGTCGGTAGATCTAGACACATGGACTCCAGAACAGATACAGGCGAGTACAGGTCACCTCTCAATCAGGCTCGTTGGAGCTGACCCCATTCGTGTTCATGGCAGAACGTTCAAAGATGGGGCAATAAGCGCGCCAACAGGTACTGGGAGGCCCACCTCAGAGCGGGTCATCAGCCGCCTGAACAGTCAGTCCCTGCTATTCTTGACTGATCTGTTACTTTGCTAAACATGACCTGGTCGACAGTAAGATGGAGTCGTTTATTCGATCAAAATACGAATCTAAGCGATGGGCAATGGAAGGGCCTGTGCCTGAGCCAGAGACCCTGGATGATGGTAGCAGTCCTGCCCAAGCAGCCGTCAGTCAGGCCTCCCACTCGGCCAATGCGCTTTGCTGATGCGCTGCTTGTCTACCAGCCACAGAGCCTGCCATCGACACGGACAGCCGGCTCCTCGCAGCCTGCGCGAACAACTGCGCCAGCCGCCCGAGCCAACATAACGCCCTTTTTCGATCTCATGGACGAAGCACCCGCCCCGCCCGTGCAGCCAAGTCAGCCTGCGCCTGTTCGAGCGACCGCGTTGTCAAGTGCAACGGCACCTCAGACAACCCCCGCTGCCACCGCGCCTGCTCCTCAGCCTGCCCAGCCTGTCCGGAAGGATAAAGCTGACATCTTGTCGCTCTTCGGTAGCGCGCCGAGCAAGCCCGCATCAGCACAGAATGCCCATGCTGATGCCTTCCAGAATATGTCAATCTCTAGCAAGGCAGTAGCACCTCCTTCGAGCGGACTGGACGATCTTTGGGGACCTTCAGTCTCTGCTACATTCAATCACCCAACTCATACTGCGTCATCCCATTCGAGCGGATTCGGTGACTTTAGCTCCACCGGGTTCGGTGCCCCTGCGCCCAAACCCGCTGCCGCGCCGCCGAAGGATCTCTTTGGAGCTTCAGATGTATGGGGCTCAACGCAGGAAGCAACACCTACGAGCCCGCCTGCTGCCCGAGCATCGCTTGAACAGCGCGCCCCGGCTAATGACGTCTGGGCCAACTCGACGCCGACAAAGACGAGTCAGCAGACGCCGGCGTCGCTATTTGACAATGCATGGGCATGAGCAGGACATAGAGAAGTGCTCATTAGGATCCCGCTTTTATTAATGCATGACGACAGACGTTTCAAGCCATTGCAACTGCCGGAGCATGAAGCAGAGTCTCATCATCGGCCAGCTGACCCTTCTGTTGCTCTCAATCAGTTTCTCTCTTCATCGACAGGTATATTCGCTACTTCTTCCCTCGTCAGCAGGCAGGGATGAGTGCTGCGATCCTACTGAGCGCTCTTGCGCTTGCGACCGTCAGCTCAGCTACGCCCAGGACATTCGTTCACCACACTCGCTCAGTTGAATCTGCGCCCAGATGCTCGCTAGATCGCAGCAAGGCGCCCGGCGACCTGACAACCTGCGGCAACTCGACGCTGTTCGACGTCTGGCGTCCGAAGGCTCGCTTCATTGCACCCAACAGCTGGATGAATGACCCTCAAGGCGCATGGCAGCGAGAGGATGGCTCGTTCCGTGGGTCGCGTCTCTTGCCACCGGGGCGTTGCTGACCATCTGTCTGACAGACATCGGCTACCAATGTCATGTCGGTCATATCAATTGGGGCAACATCTCAATGTGTGCAGCCGTCTCTGACGATCTCACCACATGGCGAGATATCAATGGGTGGCGCGATCCTGCTACGCTCGGTCCAAAGGAAGTCTACGACATTCGCGGCGTATTCGACGGCTCTATCATCAAGAGCGGCATCAACGGCTTCCCAACACAGATCTACACCTCCACCTTTCCTCATGGCACGATCGGTGCGACGGCCATGCCTGCCGAAGAGGAAGGCGCCGAGACGGTCTCGCTCGCTTGGACTGAAGATGAAGGCAAGAGCTGGAAGCGACTGCCACTTGGTGATCGAGGCAATCCTGTCATCTGGCAATGGCCAATGAAAAATCTCACCGGCTTCCGCGATCCTTTTGCGTTCAGATCGCCCGTCATGAGCAAATTGCTTGCGAGCAGCGACAGTAAGGCTCAGGGCGACCTCTTCCTGACCATGTCGAGCGGTCTGCGCAAGGAAGCCTATCCCACCACTTCGGGCATCAGACTCTTCCTCTACCGACAGACCACGAACGACAGCCTGCTTGACTGGACCTATCTCGGTCCTTTGATGTCTGAGCCCGCCAATGCTACCCGCGGCGAATGGTCAGGCTCGATCGGTATCAACGAGGAAACGACGAGCGTCATCCGGCTCGACGAACAAGGCCGTTCCGACGATGATGGCACTGACAAGAACGCCATCGACTTCATCCTCTTTGGCACTGAGCATGGTCGCAATGGATCCCGACACGCTTCCTGGCCGCTCTGGTCTGCGGTGTCCTACAGTGCAACAAAGGAAGGCTCCGTGACGAGCAAGACCGAGTTCGGAGGCATTCTCGATTGGGGCATGGCATATGCATTCGCAGTCTTTCCTGCAAAGGGCAAAAAGGGAGAGAAGCGCTCGGTCACTGTGGGCTGGACACAAGACGACCAGGATGACGCGCAGTCGTTGGTCAATCAGAGAGGTTATCACGGGGCCTTTACGTTGTTCCGTGATCTGTTTGTCAAAAAGATCGTTGACGTCGACTCGGAATTTGTCGGGCTGCAAGATAAAGGTAATTGGAAGGTCCAGAAAGAGGCCAATGGTACAGTCTCGATCCTTACTCTCGGTCAGAAGATCGTGCCAGAGACTCTCGACGCCTACAAGAAGAGAGCCAAAGCATCAGCTTTCAAAGGCATGAAGCTGGATGTTCATGGCGGCGCCAAGCCTCATTACAAGCCTTTCCCAACTCAGCCAGAGGGTCAACACTATGTCATCAAGACCAGAATCGATTTCGAAGCCCACAAGCATGGTAAGAATGAGCACATTCCTCGTGCTGGGTTCCGCGTACTCGCAAGTGAGAAGGAATACACCGACGTCATCTATGACTTTGCAAGCGAGACGCTCTCCGTCGAGCGCAATCACAGCTCGCTCATCGCCAGCTATGGCAACACGACCGAGTATGGCAAGCTCAGACTTTGGCCGGTCAATGGCAAGCGCGAGAAACTCGACTTGACGATTGTCGTTGATGGAAGCGTCATCGAAGTTTATGCTAACGATGTCACTGTCATCACCGCTCGCGCTTACCCGTGGCTCAAGGCTTCCAAGGCAGCAGGCTGGCTGTTGCTGCCTTCCGAGAAGTCCGCCAATAAGCACGCTTCAGTCAAATTCGGCAAGGTCGAGTTGTGGGACCTTGGCGCCTTCAATGCTTTCCCAGACCGACCAGAGAACACAAGCATGCCGCTCGTCTGGGATGGCGCATACAATAGTCTAATCGGTCTCTGGGCTGGCAATTAGTGATCAAGTCTATGCATTCAGTGCTCGCATAGAGCATATTCTTGCTGAAATACACCGTCCACCAGGCTCGTGAATGCTGCTCGCTCGGTCATCAGATTAGCGCGGTGTTGTTGCGCTTCTTCGAGGTCCATCAGACCATAATCTCCCGTTGCGTTGGGCGCCCAGCTGCGTGCGCGTGAGCTACAGCTTCAACAAACGAACGTAGAGGACTCACTCGTGCCGCATGGGAGGGACGTCGCTGGTGCTCAATATACGATTTGTCGGATCGACCAGAAAGAGAGCCAGAATTTTGCGATGACCAGGTAGTGATGGGTCGGCGAGTCCGAAAGGCTCAACACGATGTTGCATGCCATTCACAAAAGATAGGGCGCGACCTTGGGGTGTGTGTACGGAGCCGAGATGTTGCGATGCTGACGCTGAATTGCTTGCGCCGTATAGATGTGTGAGGTGACTGTGCTGATCCTGCTCGTATGCCTCGTCCTCGGCAAGGCCGGCGACGCTCTGTCTGAACGATAGGCGCGAGGTCGATATATTTTCTTCGTCGTAGTAGTACAGGCCAGTTGCGACGATGCGCTCAGTGAGAGTGCCTTCTACGTGCCAGCTTGAACCATCGTATGCAGGCTTATCGGGCGTCAGATGCACATTGGCAAGCTTGACAATGAGCTGAAACTCGCCGTCACGGAGCTTAACAGGCCAATCTTCCCATCGTGTCTCGATTTCCTTTGGTGCAGAGAAGGGCTTGACGGGTGGGCGTTTGAAGATGAGCGCTCGCTGCCAGTCTCGAATGTCCTCGTAGTATGTATCTATATCATCCTCTTCATAGTTGTATTCCTGTGGCGGCTGACCCGCTTTGCTTGTGTCCCATAGATCCCGATGACGGCCTGAGTACTTGAAAGCCTCGACCTGGCCGTATCTGCGCGACTCTTGTATCGCGCTCTCGAACAAGGGCCACATGCGTGAGATGATGCGCTCGAGCATTGGGTATGCATCTGCATATAAGATGGGATGCAGATTGGGGATGTAGGACCGCAGCTTGCTGGCACAGTCGTCTCTGACGAGTATATCGACAGGCAGCCACTGGTAATCGGACGAGACTGGCACTTTCGAACGATCGAAGAAGCGTACCTGCGTGCGACGATCGCTAAACGCTGGCCACGCTGACTCGACTTGGTCTGCAGCGGGCGATGTGCCTTTTGTCGTGCGACCCTGACCGGCGTGATCGAGACTGGCCTGGGGGGAGACGAACGAGTTGCGCGTGAGCTGAGGTCCTATGTGGTCGATGATGCGCTGTGCAACGCTTTCACGCTCGCTCGTGATCTTTTGAGCAGTCTCAGATAGGCCAGAGGGCGCTGGCCACTTGCTGGGTGTCTCGCCAGCTTGATCTGAGCCAGCGTATCGCCTCGTCCTCCCTCGCACGTAGCAATAGAGCGAAGGATGAACGAGATCAAGCACGATGTCGTTTGAGCCCGGATGATAGTCTTTGGGTTCGGTGGTCTCGATACGCTCGGCCAGGTTGCGTAACTCTTGCGCATCCGCTTCGTCGATAAGCTTGTCGCTGACCATGACGGCAGGCACGGAAGAATGCATGATACCTGTGAGCTTGTCTTGCGAGTCTGAAAAGTATCGAAGCTCGGCCAAGGCATAATCGAACATATCATCCTCGATGCCTTGGGCCGCGCTCTCTTCGCGCCAGCGGTCTACAATAGCAGTATCGCCGAGCTTGGTCTGCCAGTCGGGCTTCTCGAGGACACTCTGTTCGAAGCGCATGATGGAAAGTTCGTCGAGCCTGCGCAGGACGCCCATGAAGTCGTTTGGGCCGTGCAGACCGGCTTTGGGATGGTGGACCTGATTGGTCGTGATGGTGTTTGCAAAGACGCGAGCTGCAGCAAAGAGACTGGGACTTGCGGCAAGAGTAGCTTGCCATGCTGCTGGCCAGTCTAGAGACTCTTTGGGAGCTGGATAGCCGTCGGGTGAGTCTTTGGGCCAGATGATGTCGTTCAAGACAGCTTGGGGTTTCGTGAAAGGATCCGCATCTCTGTTGGTGATCTCGACGAGTGCCCTGTCGATCTCACGGAGATGTGGGTCAAAGTAACGCCGTTCACCGAGGATGACGCCAATGTCAAAGTCGACGAGGCCAACGAGGAGGTACATGATCAAATCGTCCTTGTACTGCATCGCAGACAGGATGAGCTCGATAGCTCGCCATATCAAGTCGGTCATGACGAAAGGCTGGCTTGCAACTTCATCAAGACGTGCCTTTGCGGCTGCGTAGACGAGCTCCAAGTCTGCCATGGCTCCCGCCAGGGATGTCAAAAGCGCGATGTCAATCCAAGTCGCGTCCAGATGGAGCGCGCAGTACAGAGCGACAGCGCGCGCGAGTCACTTTACACCCCGATTACAATGTACATCCGTCTAGACAGTAACATCAGGCAAAGAGTTGTTCCGATGCAAAAGACATGCGCGAAGGGGGTGGTACGACGATGCGCACGAGTCTGCGCGATGCAGTGTGGCTTGCCTTTGTCATCCTCCTGTACTCTGGCAAGTTCTCATAGGTCGGCTCTTTCTGATCCCAGGAGTAGTTGGGTGAGCTGCTCGGATCATCAGCCTCAGTGCTAGCGAGAATTCGCTCGCTCACGGTTCACCGGGTACTAGTCCGAGGGCGTTTGATTCGAGATAGGTAGCCAGCTGGCACGACATGGTCACTTGTGAAGGCTTACTCTGTCGTCGCTCGAGATCCGGACGGTGTGCACAGTGTGGGGGCACACGATCGGGTTGTTCCATATCACTGAAGCTCCAGACCCCATGAGCGTATCGGCGCGCAGGCGGTGTGCGACGGGGGATGCAGACGATGCTATGCAGCCGCCTGAGCAGCCTCTGGAGCGCCTTGCCCATCTGCGCTTCTAGCTCCGAGGGGTCATCGTCCAACTCAGGCCGCTGTCAGACGCTGCAGACTCGTGGGATAGGGCGACGATTGCGAGGCAGTCTCGGGACCGAACCGGGACACGAGCAAAGAGGCCCGAGCGACTGTTTCGACTGGAGGTGCATACACTCTACAGTCTGCGGGCTAACAACGACTGCTCAGCAGCAAGGCTTGTTGTGGTAAGCGAGATCTTCGCTGTGGCAGATCCCTCCACCCGGGCCGGGCGCGGTGCAGCATGATTGGCGGCCTGCGCACTTGGGAGGCGACAGGTCGGTACAGGCGAAGATGTGGCCAAAGCCAGTACATTCGGTGTATGTTCTACCACTCAAGCCTGAGCGAGCATCGAGCTCTCTGCAAGCGTGAGCGTGAGCAGGCGCACAAGAGAGCATCGGGAGCGGATAGAACTCGCGTTGGGATGGCGAGAGCGGTCGCGAACAGTGTCATGATGATTGGCTGGACAAACAGCACCATGTCTGCTCGGACTAATGCGTGTCACGGTACAGGCTTGCTCCTAAGGCTTGGCGAATGACCGCTGACGATGAGCGGATCGTAGTGGAAAAGCTCGGCTCTCCGGGTTTGCAAACGGCTGAATGAGCAGGTCATCAGGGCACATACAGCGCCCAGCAAGCCAACAAGCCCGGAACATGTGAGAAGGATGTGCGGAAGGCTTGGCATTGGCAACCAGAGACGCTGACCCGTCGCGACGGGGGCCCGCGGCGACGACGAGGGCAGCAAACGCGCAGAGAAAAAGCAAGTCAAGCCAGTCAGGTGATCGCAGCTTGCAGCCTTCCCTACGCTCTCACACGGCCAGGATCAGCAGCCTGGAGGGTGCATGCAGCTTGGCCTCCATCTTGGCTTGATACAGATCAGACGAGCTTCCATTGGCCAAGCCACAACAGCAGATTTACAGTCGCTCTTTCGACGGCGGTTTGTCCAGCAGCAGCATCAGCTCACTTTGCGTCCCGACGGCAGCAGACAGGCTCACAGAATGTCCGGAATAGTAGAAGAAGTGAAGAAAGCCGTCGGCTTGCAGGACAAGCCTGAAGAAGGCGCGGCTCCTGGGACAGGCACTCACAAGGATGAACTCACGGGCGAGATGGTGAGCAAGTCAGAGCTGAAGCGTCGTCAGAAGATACGTGCCGTTGCCGAAGCCAAAGCGGCAAAGCAAGCTGCTGCTCCAGCCCAGCCTACGGCCAAAGCAAGCTCGAGCGCCCATGCCGACGAGGAGGTCGACGACACGGCAAGTCATCTCATTGTCCTGCTTTCTGCCAAGCTCAGCCATTTGGCGCCATGCAGGAATATCTCAAGGTGAGGACCAAGAAGATTCTTGCGCTCAGGGCGATCAAGGACGAAGACCGAACGCCGGCCACGCCGAACCCATACCCTCATAAATTTCATGTCTCCATGTCGACGCCCAGCTTTATCGAAAAGTATGGACCCAAGATCGAGAAGCCAGGCGACAGAGACGAGTCGACCATCATCTCGGTCGCAGGCCGCTTGCACAACGTCCGCTCTGCGGGCGCCAAGCTGCGTTTCTACGATCTCTGGAGTGAAGGCGTCAGACTTCAGGTCATGGCGACCCAACAGTATGTCATTCCTCCTATCTGTCCACAGTCATACTGACAACAAGCGGCGCAGAGATTCTGAAGATAGCGAGAACTTCGAGGCCATCCATGAGCTCTTCCATCGAGGCGATATTGTCGGCGTGACTGGCTTCCCCATGCGAACAAAGAAGAACGAATTCTCAATCTGCGTCAAGAGTATGCAGCTCCTCACGCCCATGCTGCACCAGCTTCCTCGCGCAGAACAGGCAGTCGAAGGTCAGCCTGGCGTCACAAAGCATGGCTTCAAAGATCTCGAACGACGCTACCGCAAACGACATCTCGATCTCATCATGAACAGCCACGTCCGCAATGTCTTTGTCACCCGAAGCAAGATCATCAACTACGTTCGAACGTTCCTCGATCGACTAGGCTTCCTGGAGGTCGAGACGCCCATGATGAACATGATCGCAGGCGGCGCGACTGCAAAGCCCTTTGTCACCCATCACAACGCGCTCGATCTGGATCTCTTCTTGCGAATAGCGCCAGAGCTCTACCTCAAAGAACTCGTCGTGGGGGGACTGGACCGGGTGTACGAAATTGGCCGCGTGTTCAGGAACGAAGGCATCGATCAGACCCACAACCCAGAATTCTCGATCTGCGAGTTCTACATGGCCTACGCTGACATGTACGATCTCATGGATCTCACGGAATCGCTCTTCTCCGGCATGGTCAAGCACATCACCGGCGGATACAAGATCGAATACCAGCCAGAAGGCAAGACGGGCAAGACGCTCGAGCTCGATTTCTCACCTCCCTGGAAGAGGTTCAACATGATTGAAGAGCTCGAGAACAAGCTCGGCGTCACATTCCCGCCTGCAGATACGCTACATACTGAACAATCTCGCAAGTGGCTAGAAGAGCTGGCGGCGAAGCACAAGATCGACTGCAGTGCGCCACGCACTTCTGCCCGATTGATCGACAAGCTCGTAGGCGAACTGATCGAAGTCCAGTGTATCTCGCCTACCTTTATCGTCGGTCACCCCCAGCTCATGTCGCCGCTTGCCAAGCGACACCGCTCAATTCCCGGCTTGTGCGAGCGCTTCGAGGTCTTTGTGGCCACAAAGGAGATCTGCAATGCCTACACCGAGCTCAACGATCCCTTTGACCAGCGCGACCGTTTCGAAGAACAATCGAGACAGAAGGCCGTTAGTTCCTCCTCCCATTCGTTTGCTCGTGTATGCTCATCAATGTCATCTCAGGCCGGCGATGATGAAGCTCAGGGTATCGATGAGACGTTTGTTGACGCGCTCGAGCACGGTCTGCCGCCGACGGGGGGCTGGGGCATGGGTATTGACCGGTCCGTGCATTTCCAAAAACATCGCGACAGGCAAAGCTGATGACCACATGCCGTAAACAGAATGACGATGATGCTGACCAACAGCAACACGATTCGCGAAGTGCTGCTCTTCCCTGCCATGAAGCCAGAGGTCGCGAGCACTCAGCCGGCCGTCATGCCCTCTTAGCTCGCGAGACAGCCAAGTGCATGCGAGCGTGTGAAAAAAAGTGGCGCGCGTCGAGAATGCTGCCCGGCTTTGTCCGAAGACCGAGTGCCGCTCGTGACTTTTGCATTCGTGTGAGCTAGCCGAACGAGCGCAGAACAAAGGTGAGAGCTCTTGCACGTTGCGCGCGACGCCATCACTGACGGACCGCTGCTCTTCTGTCTCGCCTGCCTTCATTTGCCCCGTTGGTGTGCAATCCACTTTCGGACTGTTCCTGATCCTCGCTACGTCGTGCGACCTACCCGTGCATGCAACCTTTGGCTCTGCACTGCTGCATTGTCAAACCAGTAGCATCAGCATCTAGAAGACAAAGTCAGCAAGCATGTCGAGATCACACACGCCCCGCTCTGGCACACCTCGGTACGGTCACGAGGAAGGCTCTGGGAATGTGCAGTACTCTGGACAGTCAGTCTGCTTCATCGCCTTGCAGCTTGAGTCATGCGCTGATGCTATAGCCCCCATTTTTTCTCTTGATCCTACGCTCGCGCGAAATGACATCATCCGCTTGCCTTGTGCTCGCTCGACTCAATTGCCTTGTCTGGTCTCACGAGCCCAGTGGATCGGATGCATCGTACGGCCTCCTCGGCAAGGACCTCCAGATGTTCTCGGAAGCTGGCTTTGACGAGTCGATCAATTTCAAGCGGAACGCGCCCGTAGCTCAACTTTACGAGGATGCCATCCGCTATGAGGGCGCCGTCATCTCCGACTCGGGCGCGCTGATCAACTACAGCGGCAAGAAGACCGGCAGAAGCCCAAAGGACAAGCGTATCGTCCAGGAAGAGACCTCCAAGGATGATATTGTGCGTCCTCGCGCTGTCCAGAAGCTCTGCGAGCCTCTGACACGCGGTTTCTCCGCAGTGGTGGGGCACGGTCAACATCCCCATGGACGAGCACACTTTTGAGATCAACAGAGAGCGTGCTATTGACTACCTCAACACCCGTGATCGTGTCTACGTCTTTGATGGATTTGCGGGCTGGGACCCCAAGTATCGCATCAAGGTCCGCGTCATCTGCTCACTTGCCTATCACGCACTCTTCATGCACAACAGTAAGTCTGGCAAACCATCCAAGAGACTCGTCTGACACGAGAGCAGTGTTGATTCGACCGACGATCAAAGAGCTCGAGGAATTCGGCACGCCCGACTTTACCATCTACAACGCAGGTCAATTTCCTGCCAATCGATTCACCGCTGGCATGACGTCGACGACCTCTGTTGAGATCAACTTCAAGCGCAAGGAGATGGTCATCCTCGGCACCGAATACGCTGGCGAGATGAAGAAGGGCGTCTTCTCCGTCATGGTTGGTGCTTTCATCCTATCACGCAAACCAACTTGCTCATCCTCGAGCAGCACTACCTGCAACCGATCAAGTTCGGCACGCTTTCTCTCCACTCTTCCGCCAACGAGGGTCCAAAGGGCGATGTCTCGCTCTTCTTCGGTCTCTCCGGTACGGGAAAGACAACGCTCTCAGCCGATCCTGCTCGCAATTTGATCGGAGATGACGAGCACGTCTGGTCCGACTCGGGCGTCTTCAACATCGAAGGTGGTTGCTACGCCAAGTGCATCGGCTTGAGCAAAGAGCGCGAGCCGGATATCTACAACGCCATCAAGTTTGGCTCTGTCCTCGAGAACGTCGAATACGATCCCATCACGCGCAAGCCAGACTACGACGACGTCTCGATCACCGAGAACACACGTTGCGCCTATCCGCTCGAGTACATCAACAACGCCAAGTTCCCGGCGCTGGCGAACACGCAACCGTCGAATATCATCTACCTCTGCTGCGACGCATACGGTGTCCTGCCGCCAGTTTCCAAGCTCACCGCCGAACAGGCTCAGTACTGGTTCATCTTGGGATACACCTCCAAGACGCCAGGTACAGAAGACGGCGTTGTAGAGCCATCGCCCACTTTCTCGACTTGCTTCGGCCAACCGTTCATCGTCTTGCCGCCAAACTACTACGCCACTATGCTCGCAAAGCGGATGAACCAGGTCAAGGCAGACTGCTGGTTGCTCAACACTGGCTGGACCGGTGGCAAGTTCGGCACGGGCAAGCGTTGCCCGCTCAAGTACACTCGTGCCATCGTCGATGCCATCCACGATGGATCGCTTGCAAAGGCCGAATTCCAAAATTTCCCTACCTTCAATCTGGCCGTACGTGCTAGCTGTCTGGAAGCTGATCGCGAATTGATGATAAGCGCTCCGCAGATTCCAAAATCGTTGCCCAATGTGCCAGAATCGATCCTCAACCCGCAAAAGGCATGGTCGGACGAGTCTGCGCGAGCGCAGATGACCGACAAGCTTGCCGCCATGTTCTCAAAGGGTCAGTCACAGCGAATGCGTACTGCATCCTACCCTACTGACCACCGCTCGTGACATAGCTTTCGAAAAGTACGCCAACGATGTGAGCGAAGACGTCAAGGCGTCTGGCCCGCGACCCTCGGAGCCCACAAAAGCGACAGCTCAGTAGATCAAGAGCGTTTGTTTGTGTCCATTGCACAGCTAGTCTCTGCACATTGAGCGGCGGCCAAGTGTTTTCACAGTGTGCTTTACAACAATACATCTTACTGAGCGTTCTCAGTCGTCCTCGTCGACGATGCTGATGCCTGTCTCTGGCGCAATAGCAGGGGGAGCTTCCTCAACGGCAGCTTCTTCCGTCTGCTCTGGTGCGTCTGGCAGACTTGGCCCTCCGTCATCTGATTCGTCGTCGCGCGCTGATCTGAATGCAAAGCCAGCGCCATCTGAGGCGACGATCTTGCGCTTCTTGAACGGCACATCGTCCGCTGCTTTGCTCCCGTTGGTGCTGTCAGCAGCCTGTGTGCTTGCTGGCTTTGCTGCACGCTGTTTCTTCTTTTGCCTCTTTGCGCGGTTCTTGGCCAGCTTGGCTTCCTCTAAGGCCTGCCGCTCTGCATGCCTTTGTTCTGCCTCTTGCACTACCTTGTCCTGTCCACCTTACATCAGATGACAGTCAGCTGTTCAGCAAGGGCACGACGCACTCGCTTATCCTCCTCTTCCATGATCTTGAGTCGCTCATATTCTCGCCGCCTGGACTGCTTGTACACGTGGAACTCGCCGCTGCCTGCGCCTGCACTCGAGCCCTGAACGTTCTTGATCGTCTCCTGAGGTGGCCTGAGGACTTTGAGGCCCCCGTTGGCTGGCCTCTCTGGGATGACGACCGGCTTGGCTGGGTTGGCGAGCAATCTGTCCAGTTGAGCTCGCTGCAGGTCGACCGCTGTCCTACTCTTCGCCGGCGCTTTCGAGGCTGGCACGGGCGAGGCTGACATGGTCACTCTGCCGGCTTGGTGCTTGGATCGCTGTCGCCTTGGTGTCTTGCCACGTGGCCACGGCAGGGGAGCCAGGACGCGTCGCCGTCTCCTCTCGGGTCATCGTCGTCATGTTTGACCGTCTTGGCGATAACCCTTTTCATCCTGTTCTCACTTCATCCAAAGACAGCGATCGGGAGAATCATGATCCGCTGGGCATCGCTTCTCGCTGCTGCTGCGCTGCTCGCTTCAGCCGTAGCCTTACCGCATGATCACTCATCGGCCGATTTGGTCGCAGGCTCGCTCGCCCATGACTCCGTTGCTACGACGTTGGAAGTGATCGACCGCAAGTCTGTCGCATCAGAGATGGAGCTCACCGAGCGCGCTGTCTTTGGGGACCACTACGCGGCCGAATTCAATGGCATCGAGTCATTGAGCGGCCTAATCCTGTTCACCTTGAAGTTCGGCATCCGCATCGACTTGACAACAGAGGCCATCGAGATCAGTCAGCTCGATGCAGCAGTCAGCGTTACTGGCTCGACCACGCAAAGTCGGGTTCACGTGACATATCAAGTTTGCCACGGCTTACTTACTCTGCCTGGTAGATGTTCACAAGGGTCCGCCCGATGTCCGTCGCAACGAAGTAGAGTCCTGCTGGACATGTCAGTCCTACCTTCACCGCATTCATGGTTGATCATCTGACTGCTTGTGCCACTGTCAGTCTCAAGTGGTGGCTGCGCGCCTTCGATTTGTGTCTACTACCGACGTGGATCCCCGACGATCGACTACTTCCATGCCCGCTCATTCGAATGCGTACGTCCTTCAGCTCAGCGGTTTCGATGCTTCTGCGAGCTGAAAGGCGTGCTCGATGGTACAGGCTGGAACCTCTATCGTCCTGAACAGGTCAGTCGTCCTTCCCATCCTTTTGGTATTTACATCAACTAGGGAGCAGATTGAAGCTCAACGACGACTTCTTGGATGAGCCGCCCTTTCCGCCCAACGATCATGCTTAGTAGCTTCATGAAGCTATTCAGCTCTTAGATGCAGTCTTGTCGCGCGCGCCATGCTCGGGCTGGTGAACAACTTGGCTTACTGAGCTCTTATTAGTTCGATCGCTGCCTTGCCCGTTGCGCCCGCATTTCGACGCTGGCACGGGCGAGGCTGACACGGTCACTCTGCCGGCTCAGTGCTGGGATCGCTGTCGCCTTGGTGTCTTGCCACGTAGCCACGGCAGGCGAGCCAGGACGCGTCGCCGTCATCTCCTCTTCGCCCCACGTTGTCATCGTCCCATTCCATCGCCTGCGTCAGCTTTCTGTCCGTCCCTCACACTGCTCGAGCAGAAGATACGGACCTCGTGCACATGCTCAGCTGGGTACCACTCTCCGCTTCAGCAGCGCTGCTCGCGTCAGCCATTGCCTTGCCGCACAACCACGCATCGGCCGATTCGATTACAGGCTGATCCATCGATGGCCTCGTTGCTGCGGCTTCCGATCCGATCGGGCGTGAGTCTGCCGCATCAGAGAGCGCACTGAGCGAGCGCACCGTCTTCGGAGAGTGCTATTCGGCTGCCTTCAATGGCCTCTCGACATCGGGCGGCCAAGTCCTCTTCACCTTGACGTTTGGCACCTGACAAAGAAAGCCACCGAGATGGACAAAGTAGACCTGACAGTCGATGTCCCCAAGTCAATCACGCGCAATCGAGACCACGCCGAACTCAGAATTAGTACAAGCTAAATCTGACCACCAGATCTTATGGATAGCTCGGCAGATGTGCGCCGCAACTGGACATAATCATGCTGGACATGTGTGTCTTTTGCGGTCTACAACTGAGAACCTGACGGCCAACTTGGGTACAATTGAGAGCGCAGGCTGCATACCAACGATCTGCGTCTGTTACCGACGTGGACCGCCAACGATCGACTGCTAATACGCCAAGAGGTTTGATTGCGTGGGTCCTCTGGCCTTGGGCCAATCGTTCTGTGAGCTGATGATATTCTCTAGCCCACAGGTTTCAAGCATCATCAAACTGAGTCTGTCGCTCTGCACATTCTGTCAAACCTCTGCTCAAATGAAGTCCAGGCCGTGTTTTCACAAGGTGTCCATACAAATACCGCCCTTCCCGCCCAACAGTATTCATAAGTAGCGCTCCGAGACCGTTTGCCTCGGAGATGCATCCCCTCATCAGCGCGCCTATGCCTCAAATCAGGGGCGGACAACGGGTCCAGAGACGAGCTATGTCTGGCAAGATTGCATGTACGTCACAACGAGATGCTTTCCGCCTGGCTGTTTGCCACCGGGTCTGTTTGGCAACGACTATCTAACCCCTGTCTTTCGTCATTGCCCGACGTGCTGCAGCTCAAGCACCCGCTTTGCAAAGAGTAAACATCAGACATTGAGAGACTTGCAAGCACAAGAGATAGTCAACCTCTTCGCGGCTGTGTCCGTCTGCGCCTGTCCATCTGTTACTCCGCCTGGGCGAGGCCTGCAGAGCCGTGCATGCTCATCTCACTCGAGCTGCACTACTCGTAAACCTCACTGTCGCTCCATTTGTCATGTGTTCGTCGTCTAGCAAGCCCAACGCTATCGTTTTCGCATACATTGGCATCCAATCTATCGACAAGCCGAGCGCGCATATATTTATCACCGGATCCCGACGGACGCTGCTTCGTCATGGCTCTGCATGTCCGTTGAGCCGGATCACCATGTCTACCCACGCTGCTGCTGACTCACTACGCTCACGATTTCATCTGCTCCTTTGCACGGCGGCCACTCAAGCGCGCAAGACACAGAAAAAAAGCAACAGAGAGCTATGAACGCCCTCAACCTCGTCATGATCATCTCGCCTGTCTTTGTGCTCGTGGCGCTCGCTGCTCCCATCGTATGGTCTCTGCTTTGTCGATGAGTATGCACTGATGAGAGCAAGGCAGGCTTCACCCATGTGTCCGCGCGCTGTCCAAGGTGACGAGTGCAACACCCAGCCGCACTGCCGCTACGACTTTGACCAGATGCTCTGCATTGCAGACCGTTGAGCCCAAGCTCGGACGCATCATCATCTACCATGGACTCGGCTCAGTGAATATGCAATATACAGAGGGGATCGACAGCGACGACATGGAAAGAACGGACTGAATGGACTGGCATCTGTGCATGCATGAACTTGGACTCGTTTGTGCGAGTGTGTGCTCTGAGCGCCGATAGTGTTTGAATCATCATGATCATCTCGGACAAGCACCGAGTGAACAGAATGGATGCATTAGGCTTTTGACATGATTGTGTGCCCGATAAGACTGATATACACCTCCCTCTGATGAGCTTGACAGTCTAGTCGTCTAGGATCTGTTGATTGTGTGATTCCTCTTCGTCGTTACCCGGAATGACGTCAATCGTGTCTAGCTCGACGAGAGATTCGCGAATGGCGTTGACACCTGCAGTGAGCTCTTCGGCTGAGATGACAAGCGGGGGAGCGAATCGGATGATGTTGCGATGGGTGGGCTTGGCGAGGACGCCTTTTGATTTCATGAGAAGGCAGAGCTGCCATGCTCCCCTACCACGCTTGCTCTTTGATTCGTCAATGACGACGGCATTCAACAGGCCTGCCCTCACGTCAGCCTCTGCTGTGCTGCTTGTCTAGACTAGCGAGCTTACCTCTGCCTCGAACCTCGGTGATCCAACCGCCTTCGGGACCTTTCGAGTTGGCGATCTCCCTGAGTTGCGCACGGAAAGTCTCGCCGAGCTCGGCAGCACGCTCAGACATCTTCTCGTCCACGAGAACGTCGAGCGCTTCCGATGCGACTGCGCAAGCGAGTGGGTTTCCCCCGTAGGTCGATCCATGCTCGCCCGGCTGGATACAGAGCATGATCTCGCGTGAGCTCAGCACGGCAGAGACGGGGTAGAAGCCGCCACTGAGCGCTTTGCCGAGGGTGATGATGTCTGCCTTGACATTTGGGTTGTGTGTTGATGCGAGCAGCTTGCCCGTCCGTCCGAGACCCTGCTTGTTCGTGAGCCAAGAGTACACCTGCCGGCCGAGCAGGAAGAGCGACTTACGGTCTGGATCTCGTCACAGATGAGCAGGACGTTGTGCTTTCGGCAGAGGGCCTGTGCCTTCTCGAGATAGTCATAGTCTGGCACGACGATGCCTGCTTCGCCTTGGATGGGTTCGACGAGGAAAGCAGCGACGTCTTTGCCGTGTGCGTCGAGTGCGCGTTCGAGATCCGGGATGTTGTTATATCTTATCGTGCGCTCGCTTGATTTGACGGGGCAGCAAGGACCGATAGACGGTAGGAAGGGTCCGAAATCATTGCGTGCCTGTCACTTTGAGTCAGCCAGCTGGCTGCAAGGGTAAGATCAAGGTTTGCTGACCTCTGGGTCAGTAGACATGCTGATGACGCCCATTGTGCGCCCATGGAAGTTCTCCGTGACAGAGAGAATGATGGCCTTGCCCTATGTGCTTGCATGAGCATGCATCCACCGAGGCATAGTCCGTACGCACTGGCTGGACGCCCTTTTTCTTGTAAGCCCACTTTTTGGCGAGCTTGAGTGCAGTCTCGACGGCTTCGACGCCCGTGTTCATGGGCAGAACCATCTCATATCTGCATATCCATCAGCGCTGCCGGCACATCGCTGACTGCATGACTGACCCGAGCAGCTTGGTGACTTTCTCTGCAAACGCGCCGAGTCCCTCTGCGTGGAAAGCGCGAGAGCTGAGGGTGAGCTTGCCGGCCTGTTCGACCAATGCAGCCAGGATACGAGGATGACAGTGCCCTGATTGTCATGGTCAGCCGTGCTGCTGATCATCTTTGGCGTGAGGATGAGTCACCTTGGTTGACGGCAGAGTAGGCAGACAGAAAATCGATGTACTCGTTGCCTTCTGGGTCCCAGACTTTGGCGCCCTTGGCCCGAGCAAAGACCACAGGCAGAGGATGATAGCTACATGCTCCGGCTGGTCAGTCTACTCGCCAAGCACTGCCAATTGGGGACAAACTTGTGTGCGCCATATTCGTTCTCGAGTGTGACACACTGGGCGCTCGTCAAGGGATGCTTAGCATGGAACGGCTTGTCTTGCGTCGTTGCATTGCCGTTGTTCATCTTGATCTCCTTGACTGCGCTTTCCTGCGTTAGCTTTCTTGGCAGAGCGGGCAGACCTCGAGGTCAGCTGCTGTCTGCTCCCAACTGCTCGCGCTGCCGAGCAACAGGCGTGCCCCTCGAGGTCCATGCGCCGAGCATAGACACTCACGATGTGTGCCGTTTGTGCCGTTCGTCGAGACTGCGATAGGTGCCATACTTGCGCCAAAGCTCCTTCCGTCGTCCACGCAACAATCTTCAGCAGCAACGCTCTCAGGAAACGCGTGCGTTCGTCCAGAGGGCGTGGCTTTTTCATCAACGCTGATTGGCCAGGATGTGCAATGTTGAGCTAGGCAAGTACACGACAGAGGCACGCTAGTCGCTGCAGAGATCAGTCAAAGGCATATGGCAGCAGCCATGCGACAGCGACCGCCTCGAGAACCGCCTGACGCTTTTGGTCAGATCACAGATTAGATTAGATTGTACGGCGCAAGCACGGTCTGGAGGCAGACCCTCCTTGGCCGAAGCCAGTTCCTTGTTGATCGTGATCAGAGAGCACGCATGCCGTCTGCCGATCTGTCCAGGCCGCGCACTCACGGCGTCGGGTCATAGCAGACTGGATAGGTATCCTGGCTTAGTGTCGTCGTAGGCTGCATGCAGCATACGGCTCATATTCAGCGCATGATCAGGAGCGATCAGCCGTCACTGAGATGAGAGGAAGCCGAGAGCTATGAGCTGCAGCATGAGAGGCGAGACGGCCGGCCACGAAGCAATCTGGATGAACACGTGACGGTGGACCGGTTGACGCGATTGATCGAATGACTGATTGGTCGTCAGGCTGGGCTGTCAGGCGAAAGCTTGACGTCTCATCTCGAGCCAGTCTGTCCGTTGAGGGTGCAGCATGGTACTGACACGGCAGCACAGTGGTGCTGACCCGTTCAGTGCATCGGCCAAGGCATTCCAGCCGCCGCAAAAGTCAAGAGAGCACATCGAGCACAAAGCGCAACGCGGCTTTGACCTGTCGAGCGATGGCCTCGAACCTGACGAGCACCCGAGCAGCGATGCCTATATACCCATGGACTGGGATTGCAACACGATTCACACCAGCCCATCCGCCTCGACAGGTCTGACGAGCTTTTCGAGCCAAGACTGCGCGATGCCAATGACCTCGCAAGTTTCGATGACGGCTGATGAAGAGACGGACTGGGAGAATCTCATCGCTGATCGTATACAGCTCGCTCGTGGCGATCTCGAGCTATCGTGAGTCTGGCCATCCTCAAACGAGCCAGACGGACCCCCTCACACTGACACACAGGCGACGTGCATTGACGTGTATACCAGGTCCGTCAGGCATACTCGTCAGCTTGCTTCGCTGAACGACAGACCTGACTGCAGACTGCATTGGCGATCTTGCGCATCTCTTTTCGATCCAGCAGACGACCTTTGCTCGGTCTACCTCGACGCCCGGTCTCGCCAATATCGCAGAAGAGCGAGACGGTGGCCGGCAGGCAATGGCGACACGCAGCTTCAGACAGCGCGAGTGGTCTCGCTCACAGTCTGCCGCTGCAGCGATATCTTCCTCCTCGCTCGGCTCGACAAACGGCAATGGCTCCGTGCAGCTCTTCCTCGCTACCAATCGCCTGACTGCACAGAGCATCTCACCGCGACTGTGGACCCTGACCAATCTGACGGTGCTCGTCTTGCGCGACAATCAGCTAGCCCATCTCAGCAGTGGTATCGGTCACCTCGTTCATCTTGAGGAGCTGGCACTGGGCGGGAACCGTCTGGTACGTCGCATGATCCTGCTTTGATGCTCACTTGCACTGACCATAACGCGTAGACCTCCTTGCCCAGCGAGATCCAGAAACTGAGACTGCGCACGCTGACAATCTCGCCTAACCCGTTCTGGCGCTACATCGAGCCGGAGACAGCCTCAGAGAGCGATGCGCGGGTACTGAGCAACGTCGAACGACACTTTGCCGTCCCAAGCCTTGCAGAGATCTGTGCTCGCATGCTCATGGCGCCATCGCCAGAGCTCTCCTGGCCCGTCTACGATCGTTCGAAGCCTCTCCTCACTGCGCATGATACGACGGACCTGCCTGTGCACATGCAAGTCATGCTCGGCTTGACTTCCGCCCAGATCTCGGACGACAGTGGTTGGCGAGAATGGTCGGCTTGTGCGAACGTGGCGTGTGGACGGTCTTTTCTTCAGGCAGCCGAAGAACGCGTCGAGTGGACGCACTGTGTTGCTGGCGTCGAATTGGTGGCGAGCACAGAGGTCAGGGAGTATGGCGTGCCCATCCTCTGGCGCGGTTGTTCTGCTGGCTGCCTCGACTTTCTCACCTCTTGACTGCCCAGTCGAGAGTGTGTTGTTTGATTGTATGATAATGCAAGAATACAACAGAGATGCACATCAGCTCGCCATTTCGGACCAAACTTTGATCGTCTTATCCGCGCCCCCCGTAATCCTGTGCGCCATACGGTCAGCGTGTGTAGACAAGACAGACGCGTGCGACTGACAGCCGTGAGCCTGTCTGATCAAAGGTGGAGCAGAAGATGCCTGCTTCGGATTCGAGCGAGCCAGGTTGGGCGATATCGTTGCCCGTTTGGAATGGGAGGCCGGTTTTGTAGTCCCAGAATGTCATGGAGCCATTATCGGCTGTTCATGCATGAGCTGCAGTCTCAGGAGAATGACGAGAGAGAGACGGACCACCAGAATAGAAGACACCATCTTGATTGACAGAGACGGTGTTGACTATTGCCTCGTGGCCGGCAAAGTTGTGTACAAAGGTCCCTTCTGGGCACTTCCATTTTTTCAAGTTGCTTTTGCCTGCTGAGCCCGAAGCAAAAGAGTATTCTGTAGGATGTATCGCCAGGGCTCGCACAGACTTGTGATGATGTGTCAGTTGGACCATCGTCTTGCCGGCTGCTAAGTCCCACAGCCGGATGGTAGAGTCCATACTGCCTGTGATGACTTGTGGATCCGAATCCTGACATTTGACATCGGCGACAGTCGCAGAGTGACCCGAGAGGACATGGATCTGAGCCTTGGTCCGCATGTCCCAGACTCTCGCGCTCGCATCTCGGCCTGCAGTGACCAATATATCTAGGGTAGGATGGAGTGAGAGCGCATAGACGCCCGACAGATGACCGTGATACTGTCGGATGACTTTGTTGACTTCGAGATCCCAGCATTTGACCATCTGCTGGCCTGTGAGCATAGCGCAAGTGGAGAGCGTCCACTCGGGTTTACCTTGTCTTCGCCGCATGAGAAGAGGTAGGGATGACGAGAACTGACGGCTAAGCCTCGTACGGTCGATATGTGGCCCGTGAGGGACAGTCTGAGCTCTCCAGAGGCGAGGTCCCAGATCTGTCGCACGAAAAGGCTTTCAGTCGATCATACGGACTGATGGCAAGATGAACTGACCTTGATGACGCGATCGCCGGCCCCGGTAGCGAACCACTTGTTGCCGGGCTCGACAGCGACTGCTCTGACCCAGCCAAGATGGCCAGAGATGACGCGGGTGAGCTTCCACTGGGGATGGTAGTCCGGCTTGACGGAGCGGGCCTCTTTCCTCCTTATGAGCGATTGCGAGAGGAGCGACGGTTTCTGTTGGGCTGCGTGGACTGTCAATGCTTGGCTGCGTAGCATTGCCTGACATCAGCACATGTTTCGGGCAGAGCAGGCGAGAACATGCCTGGTGGAAGCCGAAGAGGCGAGTTCGTCGATGACTCTGCTCGTTGACGTCGGCGCGCCTGTGCAGCGTCAAATGACTGTCTCAGAGACTGAAGAGCTGTCTGTAGCAAACGATTGTGCACCTTCTATGAGTAGCCTCTGCGGAGGCGCAGGACCGACAGGTGTAGCAAAGGCGCCGGCAGCTCTCGCCGGGCCTGCAGAGGCTTGCTGAGTCTGCACAGCCGCAGGGAGGACTTTGGCGTCCCTGTATTCATCATATAGCTTGCTGGCCAGTCTTGCTCGAGTCCTGTCGGTCGTGTGAGCTTCAGGGCGACGGATGCAAGGCACGCAGGGACAGACGAGATTTCGTCTTGCTTGGGATTTGGTGCTGACTCGCCCTCGAAGAGCGCATACGTTCGCTTGACAGAGTGGCGTATCAGACGATCCAAGTCGGGCAGTGTCGTCGCCGTGCTCGTGCTCGCCATGGCGCTCATCTTGAACGAACGCCTTGTGACAGGCTGAGCTGGGCGGCAAGGGCGACTGCGGGACACTGTGGGGCTTTCAGTGATAGCGCGTCGTCCTCGCCCACGCAGATTGGCGGCTCGACCGTCGGGCAGAGGTCGCTCGAACAGTCAGCCCTTGGCTCAGCATTCCCTCAGAACGGCTCATCAACTACTTCAGCATCTCTCCGCATCCCTCGTAGAAGCTACAACATGGCCACGAACGAGATCCACAGCTCGTCATCGGGGCCACCGCTGCCCGGTGCAACAGCGCCCATGACACCTATCGCTCCCAGAAGTTGGACTACGCTGGTCCTGACTCGCATGATGGCCAATATGCCCGCCAAGTGGGACAAGAGGATCAGCCTCGTCCAAGGCGAACCATGTCAAGTCGGCAGATCATCGTCAACTGACCCGTATGCCTCACTCGCCATGCTTGAGCTCGTCATCTGACGCAGATGATGGCAGCACACGCAAGTCGAGATTCCAGAACGGCTACTTTGATTGCCCGACCATGTCCCGTGACCGTGAGTGATCTCACTGGTGACATACGAGCGACCTGACACGACAGATGAGCAAGACGGTCGCTTCGAGCTCGACCAGGACGGTCAAGTCTGGTACTACGACACCTCGTCGAATGGGACCGCCGTCAGTTCTTCCACGCATCGCCTCCTCGAGGTTCCCAAGCGAGGTCGCATTGCAGTCGACCAACACTCGCTCATTCGCTTTGCCGTCAAGTCAAAGAACCAGGTCTCCGTCGTTGCGACCCTCGAGCCGCCTTCTGTCGATGGTTTGACGAGTCTGACCATCGCACAACACGACGATCGTGAGCATACCTCTCGCCCTCATCGCAGCATCTTGCTAATCTATATCTACAGGAGTGTTCAGCCTTGATGCAGACATATCCGCGTCCGTCCCAGTCAAGTCGGCCGACGAGCATTCCGCTGTCGACCTGCATGAGAATGAGGACGAGGTCGACGACTCATCTTCCGAGCGCCTCGCCTCGTCCGTCGAGACCACGCCTGCCACAAGTCCTGCTATCGCCAAGCTTGCCGTTTACAAGGCTACAGCTCCCGGCTCTGAGCCCTCAGAGTCTAGCGAACCCGATTATTTCCCCGGGCACGGCCCCATGCAATACGATCAAGATGAGGAGCTCGGCTCGGCAGGCGTCGACATTGTCAGAGACGGTCATATCAATCAGGTCCTCGAGCGAGTGGCGACTCACATGTCTGCTCGCGCTGCTTCCTTCGGAGCTCCGCCCTCGGCTTCTGAGCATGATGATCTCGATGACAGATCTGACGAAGAGGATGCCAACTTGGACGAAACAAGTTCGGTCGGTGACCGTTCCGAGTCAGACGAGCAGATCTCGCTCGACGCCCTTGACAATTCGGACGACTTCGGCAGCGATCTAGAAAGTGATCATGGCAGCGAAGCAATCTTCAGTCAGAGCAAGCTCGATAACCTCTTCGACCCACGATATGAGTCTGAGCCAGATTCCCCTCGCTCTGACTCGTCATCCGCCAATGAACGTGAACACGACAATCTCGTCACAGAGTCGGAGATGTTTCATGCCGGCCATACGGATGCAAAGCCTGCGGATATCGAAAAGCCCTCGCTGCAAGTCAAGCCTGTCGAGCAGATTCAGGGAGTCGCGCTCATGCACGAGCCAGCCAACAAAGTAACGGCAAAGACGCTGTACAACTATGCCGTCAAGCTGCAAGAGATCGTCGAGTCCACCTTCGATGGACTCCCGCTCGTCTCCTTCTCCGAGCTTCAGCAATGCGGTTGGGAGGCTGATGATGTGCTCGATCACTGCCATGACGCTCTTGATCGCATGCATACGCTTGCAGAGTTCCACATGTTCCGTGGAGCCCTCCGCACGTACATGCCTTCGATCCTCCTGGTCTACCCTCATGCTCCTGCCATTCAGATCAGATACCGCAGACAACTTCGCAAAACGTATGTCCAGCTCAAAGCCCAGTTGCAGCAAATCCTGTTCTGTCTCGTGACCGTCGACTCTGGCTCTTCCTCGCATTGGCAGTACCTGGAATGGATAAGCTTCTGCAGCACTGAGGTCCAGCTCTTGGGCTGCAGCGATTCGCAGTGTATGGCTCAACGAATCGGACACAAGTTCCGCGGTCAAACTCGTGCTGGATGCGAGGATGGGGTTGGAGCTCTGCCCGATGACGGTGACGAGTGCGAGTCTGATGACGACGAGAGTGTTACCGAGGACGCCGAGGCTGACGGTATGCGAACGCAAGACGTGCTCGTAGACTGGGCGCTGTCGGTCGGCGAAATCTTCGATGACGCTTTTGACGGCCTCCCTCACAATTCGATCGACGAGTTGCTCAACTATGGCTGGGACCTCCCCGCCGTCGCACAGCACTGCCAATCGCTCTCCGACAAGTTCGACAACTCTTGCTACATCTGGTTGAGCCATCCTCATTACGGACGACGAGGCTATCCGCCGCAGCTTCCCGAAGAAGGTCTTGCAGCCGCTTTACAGCCTGCCAACAGTGCGCTGCGCCAGCTTCTGTGCCGCACATACTACGGACTTTCGGCCGAGTTCGAGACCCTCAGCATGATCGCTATGAGATGTGAGCGCCCTGTGCCACCGATCGGAGAATCGACCATGAGTATCTTCCTTGCGTGGCATCACCTCTTCGCGGACGAAGCGCAGAACCTCGGTATCACTACAGAGCAGCGTCAGGCTCAGATCAAGAGAATGACTGGGTACGCTGGGCCTGACGAGCAGCTCGAGCTTGGCAAGCCAGCCGCATGCCAGGTCACAGCCATCGAGCACTGCAAGCCTGCTGAGAAGGCCTGCCAATCAGCCGACCAGGTCACAGCAGCCGAGCCCTTAGGTGAAGGTCCTGCTGGCCAGGCAGATGGACTTGTGACTCCAATGACGCCATCTGAAGTCAGCCAAGAGCATGTGCGCGAAGCCTGTCCGTCTCCTGTGCCTCCCAAATCCTTGGCTGTCTACCTCAGGGTAATAAGAGAAGCAACTGCTTTGCGTGAGAAAGTCAATCAGACACAAGAATGCGGTCTCAACGATTATCCTGCTGGCAATCTCTTCGACGAAGATGATCCTCACAAGACTTGGTCAGACATTGCTTCAGCGAGCGCTTCAGAAAGTCTGGGTGGGTGAAAGCCCCTCTAGCTGTGCCTTCCCTAGCTGATCATAGATATATCTCAGCTGGCAAGACGGCATCTGGAGAATCCTTGATCGTCGAAGAGCTCACGAAGCACCCCGAACGACTCGGCAACCAGCCTTATGCTCAGATGCCCGCTCTCACAGTCCAGGAGGCTTCCTCCATCCGCGAGCCGGTTGAGCATACGGATCGAGATTATCATGACACGCCTATTGCCCTACCAGCAGGCAACAAACGCAAGCGTGATGCTGAACCTCTTGATCTTCTCGAGGGCGAGGCCACCTCTCGCGAGACTGATGACACTCCTCATCGTAAGCGAGCCGAGACAGCCTCGCTCAAGGCTCGCATCGCACTGGCCGTCAGTGGCTTAGCTGCCGCATCAATCGCGACCTTTGCCGGTCTCGCCACCCTTGGCGCGTACGCTGCCGACTGAGCTCGGCAGCTACCTCCTTCGCCTGTTCAAATACACCTGTATAGAGCTCATCATCCATCTAAGGCGAGACATTGGCCCACGAGCCTGTTGTCGAGATTACTAAACAGAATATGCAATGACGTCTGTAGATCCACTTTGACACCAGTCCCGCTAGCCAGCTAGGGCTTGGGAACGCATGCGCCATTAGCAGGGTAAAACTTGCAGCCGGCCTGCGCAAGCATGAGCAAAAGGGAGTATCAGCAATGGGCGTGCTGACGTAGAGACACGATGCTCCGTTTGTGTAAGCGCTGCAGGGATACGTTTGCTGCAGACGGCCAATGTCAACGATTCGAAGCAAACACCCTGAATGCTCACAGCTGCGGCTGACATGACAAGGAAAGCGTAAACCACCATGAACGGCTTGAACTTCATTCTGTCTTGTGCGCGGGGTGTTTGCGCGATGCCAAAGTCATGGATGGCGTTGAACTTTTGCGATCGAGGGGCGAGATGTTGATCCGGGCTACGCACCACTGTTGCAGGAGCGCAGAGGTCGGAGTGGGACGAAGCTGTATCTATTGTGGTGACGACTGTGACACTCACATGCCACTCGCCATAGCATTATTTGGCAACGGTGCTGCTATTGTCGGGCACTGCATGTTGAAGCAGGCAGGCTGCTTTGCTACAATATCTGAACGTACATCGCTGGCTAGTCACAGTAGGGCACCGTCGAATGTACATCGGCCGGGTTCCATCCGCAGCCGTTGTGCTGGGCGCACTTGTCAGTCAAAGAGCAGATGTTTGATGGTTACTGACAGCTAAGCACAATTGCTCGTTCGCATAGGTATCGCAATCGATGTCCGAGATGTCCTGGGGCTGTTCACATCTGGATGAACAGACGCAGAGAAAACGGCAAACGTGCGTACACGAGCTACGACAATGCAGACGAACGCCACGAGCATAGACGCGGTGAGCCTCATCTTGTCCTGCCTGTGTTCTCTTGAACCTTGCTGCCGCCCTTGCCGGGTCGAACGAGAATAGTAGGTCAGACCCCGTCTCCATGAGCAGGCTCGAGCAATTCGGCGAGATGGCTGCGTAACGCAGACCCTAGGTTTCAGAGATGACGGATAACAACTGCCATGAACCAGCTCATTGCGCATCGACAAATTTGAGATTGAGAAGCTTTGAGGGTCTCCCCAGGAAGGCCTCGATGAATGAGACCAGAAGAAAGAGTAAGCGCTGAGCAGATGATTCGCGTCTCGGCGATCTCGACAAGGTCCATGTGTGACAACAACAGCTGTACGTGATAAATTATTCAAGCTCAATAGGCCGGCCAAGTTGTAGTGTGAGTGCTTTGCCGACGTTGTTGCGGGTACGGTCGATGGCATTTTGCCATTGGTGACCAATCGCTCGCTCCTCGGCCGTCTTTGAGAAATCCGTCGTGTCGATCGAGACCTGTAGGCAGGCGAGAGCGTCGGACACAAGCGCGAGATTCTGCGGATGACCTGTCGTACGGCTGGACAGAGCTAGCAAGAAAGTCTCGAATTCGCGAAAGTGATCTCTCGACGGCGTGAAATTGACGAATCGAGCGTACCAGCCCTCGATAGCCGAGCAGAGTGGTCTGCTGGACGGACTCTCCCACTTGATAGGCGCGGTACGCCCGAGACGTAGCTCCGGCAGAGGTGCGACCGGCTTGCGAGGAACGACTGGCGCAAGGTTGATCTCGTCAGCGATTGCATTAGGTTTTCGTCGCTTGTTTGGGTGATGCTTTGCGTCGAGAGCGTCGAGCACCTCACGAGGGGCCACATTCATCTGAGCCGTCAAAGTGTCGAGCTGGTAAGGTCGAGGTAGGCTTCTGAATGCGTCTCCGTCTGCGATACCGAGCGATGCAAGGTCGTCGTCAGACAGCCGCTTGGGCTCGAGTGCTCGGTTGACTCGAAAGATTGCGCCTTGATTGGTCAGCTTGGCTTGCTTTTTGGGCGCGACCGACCCCGCTCTCGCCGTTTTGGCGAATGCGATCCTGGTCTGCTTGCTCGGCTCTCGCTGCACTCTAGGCTGTGGACGCAGATCATCTAAGATGACGAGATCGTCTTGCGAGGATGCCAGCGTGAGATCAATCGGGTCCGAAGATGCTGCGGTGTTACTTGCCTCTGCGCTTGGCAATGCTTTGACATCCGGCAGCTTCGTGAAATCCAGACGTTGCTGGCCTTCTGCGAGATCAAGCGGACCGTTCATGTCCTCGAGTTGAGTGATCTGAATGCCGATACCGCGCAGGTCCTTCTCGTCAAAGCCGAAAGCATCCATGAGGCGCCATGCTTGGGCGGATATGACATCGGCAGAGTCTGTTGCGATATTGCCCAGATTGCCAATCTTTGTGAAGCTATCGCAGATGCCATGTCCCAGAAATTTCCAGGTCTCGTTTGGTTGATCGCCAGCCCTTCTCATCACTTTGAGCGTCATCTGCCTGCCCTTCAAGCCATGTTCTGCCAGTCGCCGCGCAACCTCTGCTCCCAAATTCTTGACGAACGTCTGCGAACATTTTCTTAGCGCGAGCAAGACGCAACAGAGGCGGAGCATGCCTCTGCTTGATCACGATTCTCAAATCGGATCCCGTAATTTACTTCTGCAGAGACACTTTTGCGTGCTGAGCCCATCTCGAGCGGTCTGTCATCGATACCGCGAGCAAAATTGTAGTACGTCTTGCCAAGATTGGGGCCAAAAGTGTTGCGAAGACGTTCCATGTCGATGGCCCGCAGCTCGCCAATCGTTGTCACCTTGAGCCGCTCGGTGAATTCCCTCTTTTTCGCCCAACCTATGCCGGGCAGATCTCCGATGTCAATGTCTTGCAAAAAAGTCTCGACGTCGGCCGGCAAGAGATGATAAGCAGATGCAGGCTTAGCCTCACGTGTCGCTAGTCGGGCAAGCAATATGTTATGTGAGCATCCGATGCTTACCTCGCAGCCTGTCTCTTGCCTGACATTTTCCCGAATTTGCTCGCAGAGCTGCAAAGCAGCATCGCTGCCAGGATCTGTGATCGTGTCCGAGATTGCCGCGACTGTCGTCGTGACATCGATGAGTGCTTCATCGACAGAGACAGCTTGAAGCTGATCGCTTATCCGCAGAAGATGAGCATAGAATTTAGTAGAAATCTCCTTGTAGAGCTCAAATTCGTATGGTATTGTTGTGATGTCTGGACAGAGCTCTTTGGCGCGACCAAGAGCCATGCCGTTGGCGACACCATGTCTACGCGCCTCGTAGGAGCAGCTTGCGATCTCGCTCGTCGAAGACTCGCCGACGGTCTCAGAGTGACAGACGGCAACGGCCTTGCCAAAGAGATGAGGCCGCTTGATGAGACCAGCAGATAGGAAGAAGGAGTCAAAGTCGACGTGCATAATGATGCGGCCGTCTGCTTCTGTGCCCTTTAGCTGCTTGGCTTTCGGCTTTGGCTTGCGCTTGAGCGTCCCACTCGAGACCTCGGCATCTTGCTTCTCCTTCAGGCTTTGCATCATGAGCCTCAGCTCAGCTTTCCAAGTGGACAAGTGGTGCAACCGAGACTTCTCGTAGTATCCTGGAATAAAGTCGGCTGCGCGTGCAGAGTGCTCTGCCATCCATTTTTCGTTCTGATAGAGATCGCCGGAGTAGCCAGACTTGGGAGCGTTGGCTTGCTGCCATTCTGCCGCTCGCTGCCGTTCCTGAGGATCAGTCGAGAGCGCATCAGCTTTCGATGGGCTGCTGATCCTCGTCTGTTGTCTGTCTTTGACTGTCGTGCCGGAGCGTGTGCCCGAGTAAGCTTGTCGAGAGGTGGCTTTGTCGGCCACACTGGGTATGACGCACGGCTCGATTGGAGGCGTTTTGATGGCTGGCTGAGCCTTCATCATGGCAAGCAGGTTCTGTTGTGGGATCTTGTAAGACTGTGTCGCTGCAATCTGACTGCCAGAAGGACGCATGTCTGTCTCGGCAGGAGCATCTCCAAGTCTGTAGTCTCGCCAATCTAGTCGCTTGCCTGCTTTGATGCTCTCGACGATCCAGGATGGCTTTGCGACTTTGTAGTCCTTGAATTCGACTCGCTTGGACGGCGTGAGATTGGAGGCAAGGATGTGGGTGACGAGAGACTTGCGGTCGAGATAGGGCACATAGGTTCCACCGTGAAGCGCGAGATCGCGGGACAGTACAGACAGTGGAGGCTCACAGAAGCCGTTGATCTGGTCCAGAAGTCAGGTACAGCTGTCTGCTCCGGCGCAATGTACCCACATAGATAGCAAGACCGGTGAATATCTGAGGATAGGCGTCGCCCAGTGCTTCGACGACTGCTTTTTGCTGTATTTTGAGCTTCATACGCTTGTTGCGCATGTACTTTGAGAATTCGCCGAAGCCGGTGGGCTCATAGAAGGAAGCATCGGTGTAGTCTGACGATGTTGACGCCTTGTTGTTCTCGGCATCTACAGCAGGCAGTTTTGATGTCGAAGCTTCGGGGACAAGCTGGCTCGATGGAATCTGAGCCAGAGCGGCATCCAAGCTGCCATCTGAGCTCTGGCTCGAAGCCATGTGGCCCGAGCAGGTTGAAGTTGCGAATGCTGCCGAGCGTCAGGGCAGACGGTGAATTCAAATAGACCCCATCAGGGTGCCTCAGCGCGCTCTTGCCCGTTTCGTGCAGTCAAGCCAGCTTGACATCATCCTCGACTCGTCTCCGCAGCATGCTCCAAGTCGAGCCGTTCACGTTCAAAGTCAGCGAGGCCGACTTGACTGACCTCAACGCTCGTTTGGACAGAGCGCGCTTCGATACTGAGGAGATTGTACCGGGCGCTGACTTTGAGTACGGCGTACCGCTCGAATGGACCAAGCAGACGACGCAGTACTGGCGCAAGCAGTACGACTGGCGCAAGCACGAAGCATACATCAATTCGTTCCCACACTTTACAACCAAACTTGATCGGGATTCCATCACGATTCACTTTATCCATGTCAAGAGCAGTCAGCCGGATGCTATTCCCTTGCTAGCCTGTCATGGCTGGCCCGGTAGCGTGTACGAGTTCTTCAAGGCCATCAAGCCGCTCACTGAGCCAGGCAAGGGCAAGCAAGCCTTTCATCTCGTCATCCCATCCATGCCCGGCTTCCTGTGGTCGCAGCGGCCCACAAAGACAGGCTGGACGATGATCGACACCGCGCGCATATTCAATGAGCTCATGCTCGGATTGGGCTACGACAAGTACGGCGTGCAAGCCGGAGATTGGGGCAGTATTGCAGTGAGGTGCATGGCTGCAAAGCACCCGCAGCATTGCATCGCAGCCCATCTCAACTTTCTGCCAGCTAAACCCCCTGGACCGCTTAAGCTACTGCCGCTTTCACCCTGGCTGATCGAGAGGATGCCTTGGTTTGTCTTCTCGGCGGTGCAGCGTGACAGGATCCTGCGCACGCTACGATATCTCCAGGAAGGCTCAGGGTATTATGCGATCCAGAGCACCAAGGTGCGCGTCGATGCATTCTGCAGGGACGCTCGAGCAGCATGCTGATTTGTCCTATCAGCCGGCGACGCTGGGTCACGCGCTCATGGACTCCCCGGTGGGCTTGCTCAGCTGGATCGGAGAGAAGTTCTTTTTCTGGAAGGAGGACGAGGCGGAGGAAGACGCGATATCGCTCGATGATGTGCTCACGATGATCACGCTGTATTGGTTCACCAAGTGCAGCACGACATCCTTTCTACCCTACAAGGAGCACGGCGACGATGGCTTCCTTGTCTACCTGCATCGGCGCGATCTCTACATGCCATGTCCGACCGCCGTCTCTGGCTTTCCAGGTTAGACTGCATCATCAAAGGCAGATCCTCTGCTGATAGCAGAGCAGGTGAGATTGCAAACAATCCGGAGCGCTGGGCAAAGTCGACCGCCAACATCAAGTGGTGGAAGATGGCAGATCGTGGCGGACACTTTGCCGCGCTCGAAGAGACTGACATCTATGTCGATCACGTTCAGGATGCGTTCAGCAAGATCTGGCCTCTCAAGAGGTCGTCCAAGTTGTAGCTTAGCCTCCATGCATCGTAGCATCACGGGACTCAGTAATTGCCGGATTATGCCCCGGCAGGCCTTAAAAGACGCGAATCGCTCGGCTTTGAATCAGCGCCAGTCAGCCAGCATGGCAGCGACTCTTCAAGGTAGGCTCTCTCGCCTTGTCCAAGCAGTGCGATGGCTGATGATCGCGACTGGTGCCAACAGCGCCGGCAAAGCTGTCGCGCGAGGAGGTCAGGCGGCAGCGAGACTTGCAAGAAGCTCGAAAGCTAGGCAATGCGCCCGCTGAAGTCGACGAGAAGGGCAATGTCATCAATCCTCACATCCCAGGCATGCTCTCCTTCGCTCCCTCCGACGACAGGCTGACGTCAGACGAGCAGAGTTCATGGCCAAGGCGCCTTGGTACATGGACACCGGCGCCGGTCCCTCGCTTTCTCATACCAAAGGACCCGAATACGACCCAAGCCCGTCCAAGCTCAATGCTCGCTACGATAGAGGTCAACGGGCGCGTCACATCGTGCTCACCGCGCAAGCGTCGGCTGACAGTCAAAGCAGGCGGAAGTGGCAACGCGGTTCCGCAAAGGCGCCTGCAGCAACTGTGGAGCGATGACGCACAAGCGAGAGGACTGTCTCGAACGACCGCGCAAGAAAGGTGCCAAGTATACAGGTCAAGACTTCGCGCCGGACGAGTATCTGCAAGAGCGGACAGAATCTCGCGGCGTTGCTTACGACTCCAAACGTGACCGATGGGATGGCTACGATCCGACGATGCATCTCTCTGTCGTGGCAGAGCACGAAGCCCTCGAAGAAGCGCGCAAGGCGCTCAGAGAGAAAGAGATTGATTCCAAGTCTGCCAAAACGGATCTTAATGAGGTCAAGAAGGTAGCCAAGGCGGGCAAGTCGAAGAAGAAGAAAGCGCTCGAGGATGAAGAGTTTGGCTCATCCGACGAGTCTGACGAAGAGGACGAACTCAAATATGCGGATGCGGCCGATGTGGCAGGCCAGAAGCTCGACACGAAGAACCGTGTCACCGTCCGCAATCTGCGCATACGAGAAGACACGGCAAAATATCTCATCAACCTCGACACAGAGTCAGCCTATTACGATCCAAAGACACGCTCGATGCGCGAGAATCCCAGCGTAGGAGTCGCACCGGAAGATGCTGTCTTTGCAGGCGAGAACTTCACGCGACACTCTGGCGGAGCGGCCGAGGTGCAACGGCTGCAGATGTTCGCCTGGCAGTCCGAAGCAAGGGGACAAGATGTCCACATCAACGCCAATCCTACGCAAGCATCACTCGTCCACCAGCAATTCAAGACCAAGAAGGACGATCTCAAGGACCGCACCGCCAAGTCCATGCTTGACAAGTACGGCGGCACAGAATTTCTACAAAAGCCACCCAAGGAGCTTCTATCCGGCCAGACTGAGGAGTACATTGAATATTCGCGAACTGGTCAGGTCATCAAGGGTGTCGAGCGGGCCAAAGCGAGATCAAAGTACGACGAAGACGTCCATCCTGGCAATCACACTTCCGTTTGGGGCTCCTGGTTCTCACGATCTGCTTTCACCTGGGGCTATGCCTGCTGCCATTCGACACTAAAGGCTTCCTATTGTGCTGGTCAGGCAGGCATCGAGGCAGAAAAGCAGGAGTCTGCTGGCCTCCTTCTCACAGGCACTGTGGCGCCTCAGCAGAAGACGATGCTGCAACTCCATCAGGAGAAGCGAGCGCGCCCAGATGACGAGGCTGATGACGGAGCCGGAAGCAAACGTCGAGCAGGCGATATGAATAGCAGCAAACTCGACAAGGCTTTGCGGGCAGAGCAGGAGCGTCTCAAACGCACAGGAGATGAGGCCTCTGGCGATGCTTACAATCGCAATATCGAGCCCGAAGATATGGAAGCGTATCGACGACTGCGCTCGAATGCAGAGGATCCGATGGCGAACTTAGCCAACGATCAATTACTGCCGATGTGATGAGCGCCGCCTGTCTTCACATGCACCCGCGTTGTTGTTGTACTTGCATATACATCTTTGGCACAACATCTAAGACTTGCGTGCGCGCTTTTCGCGTCGCTTGCGGCCAATGATCGACCCGAGCGCATTGGGTTTCTCCGACTTTGATGGCGACTCCTCATCATGCTTTCGTTTGCGGCCATCAGTCGCTTCGGTAGCAATGGCAGCGCTCGTCTCGGGCGCAGTCTTAGATTTTTTGGCGCGTGTACGACTGCGGTCAGCTTTCTCCTGGCGACGCTTTGTCGTTATCGCGTTCTCTATCGACAACTCGATCATCAGGGTGCGAGTCGCTCGGCCGGAACCGCTTTCCGAGTCAGCTTTACCCTTCTTCTTCGATGCCGCACGTGAAGCTTCCTCCTCGAGTTCGACTATCTTCTCTCTCAGTCGCTTCAGGCGGACGTCTTTGTCCTCCGACTCTGTTTCCAACTCTGTCCGCTTCACACGGTTCTCGAGGTCCTCCTTCCACCACGAGCGCAAGAGCAGAACTGCTTCTGGATTCGCGTTCGTCCAGCGCAACACGCGTAAAGCATCGGCATGGCTCGTCATCTGCAGAAAGCCGTAGCCTTTGCTGCGGCCCACATTCGTGAGCGGATCTACGCGATCGGCTTGTCTCAAGATTTTGGCCTGTTGGACTCGGCTAGCGGGCTTGCTCGGTTTCTCTGTATCGCCCGGCTTGACTTTTGGGCGCAAGTCTTTGATTTCGTCCTCTCTTTCTTCCGGTAGAAGCTCCTTGCGCTTGCCTTGCTTGACTTCAATGCGCCATTGACGTAGCGCCCAGCCAGCGAGCCTCTTCAATAGACCCTCTGTCGTATGTAAAGGCAGTTGACGGATCGAGAGACGCTGGCGAGAGACGAAGAGGGACGGATTTGAGCGCAACAGCGCTTTGCGAGCATCATACGAGTCTTGGCGCGCTTCCAGATCCGCCGCTGTAAGCAGCTTAGCCTGAGGCGTTCCCGGAACGACCACTACCGCAATGAAAAGCCATCAGCTAGGTGTGTTGCAAGCAAGCCACAGCACTTACCTCCTTCGCGCATCAAATAGAAGTTCCGCTTGTCGCCTTTGCCGCTCTTCTTGTCTCGATCCTCTCTCAGCTTGTCTGCCTGTTCTCGAGAGACAGCCGACGAGACGCCGAGCACTCGGCCATGAAGACTGAGCTTCTTCGCGCTGATTGTGGAAGGATCAGGCGTCAGAACAGAAAAAGGATTCTGAGCCGGCTTCGCTTCAGTCGCCGGCTGACTTGTAGCGTGGATGAGATCCGATTCGGCCAGGGTCTCGCGAGCATGTGCTTCATTGTAGAAGCAGACGAAGCCAGTGCCTTTCGATCTGTTGAGCTTCTTGTCCATGACGATGCGCGCATATCGGACAGGGCCAAATTGTTTGAAGACCTGATAGAGCTCATCTTCGGTTGCTTCGAATTGTATGTTGCGCACGAATAGAGTCGCGGCATCAGTTGAGGAGCTTCTTTGCTTTGGTCCTTCGTCATCTTCTTTTTCGTCACTGTCCATGAGATCTTCAATTTCTTCTTCGCTCTCGCTTTCGCTCTCACTCTCGCCTTCATCGGCGTCGTCTGTCTCGCTAGCTTCGTCTGGCTCATTGCTTCTATCCTCTGCCATCTCCTCGTCCTGTTCTTGCTCTTCGTGCGTCTTCGGGTCAGCCTGCAGTCGACCGGCTTCTGCAGCCTCCCAGTCACGTTTGCCGAGCGCCCAGTCGACTGCCATGACTCGGCCTCGGTCTGCTTCCTCGACCTGACCAGCGGAAGTGATGTGCTCCTGCCCATAACCGGGCCATACTTTGCGACCATTGGCCCCTTCCAGCGCTTTCTGCGCGTCCTCTCGTCGGATGAACCAGACAAAGGCGAAACCTCTCCCTCGGCTCTGCGCGGCTGCTTGTCCATAGCTCGGTGCGGTCGTCTGAGGAATGTCGATAGAATGTATGGGGCCATATTGCGAAACACATGTACGAAGATCGAGCTCCGAAATGCCGAAATCAAGATTGCGGAACATGAGCCGGCCACCGCCGGCTGCTTTGCCTTGTCGCGTCGTCGCATCGTATTCCCACTGAGTGACGGCAGTCAGATAGCTTGCTTGTAGTATCTTGCCGTGCAGATCTAGCGCAAGTTTCCGGGCTTGCTTAGGCGTTGACACGGTGATCTTGGCAGCACTAGTCTCGCTTGTGACGCCGTAGAGCTGGACTGGGTACGCAACATCAAAGAGCGCAGCCTTCTGCTGACCTTCTGCGGACGAGCCAAGCGACTTCTTGATATGCTTGTGCAACGCCTTTGCCCAATTGATCTTGCGGGGTATCTCTGACGTGCTGGGCTTTGGCACTGGCGCGGTCGGCGAGAGGCCCTGAACGAGGACGGATCGATTGGCGATCTCACTCTTATGGTCCTTTCCATCTTCTGAAGGCGCATCCACGGCTTCTGGCTTGATCAATGTCTGCGCCCGGGCGTGGATGGCTTCCTTGCGTGCTACCCAAGCCGGCGCAGCCTTGCCTGGCTTTGTAAGCTGTCCGTCTTCGTCGGCGCGCAATCTGGGTTTTGCCAGCGTGACTTTGATCTTCTTGCTGCTGTCTGACAGGGATGTACCAGACAGCGTCTGCACTGCTCGCTCTGCATCTGATCGCTCGACAAACTTAACGTAGCCGAACCCTCTGCTTCTTGCTTTGGTCAGGACAGCCTGAGCGTTACTCCCCGTGACTCCGATGACCGCATCAGGAGGCGTTTCTACTTTGTCTGTGATGACAAACGCTGAGCGCACCGGGCCGACAGATGAAAAGTATTGGGTCAGTTGCTCAGAGCTGATCCTCTCTTCCAGTCCGCTGACGTGTACCGTCGTCGTTTCTGACTCGTCCCTGCACGCACGATCACGTGAGCTGGTGTGAGCAGGACCCTCCTTGAGGGCACTCACGCCGGCGGTGCTCGCGTGCGCTTGACTTTTGCAGCTTTCTGTGTCGTCCCTGGCTCAGCTGGATCCGAGTCATCTGGCACCGACTTTGTCCTTTTGCGAGACTCTGACTCTTCGCTGGCGACTGCATCATCAAAGTACCGCTTTTGTCCGCCGACAGACGCCATTGCGACCGTTCGACAGGCTGATAGATTTGCGCTGAGCAGACCGTTCGCGGAGCTGGCAATATGTTTCATCAACTCAATCAGCTGAATCAGCTGAGCGCAAGACACGCGACGCAATCGCTTTGGCACACGGCGAGACGAGCAGATGCGCACCTTGGCTTTGCTTGGCACGAGCCTATTGGCTCTGCAGCAAGCAGCCGCTTCTGCACTGACCACCACAGTCACCGCCCACGAAAAGTCATGTTTCTATGCTAACGTGGACAAGCTTGGCGAAAAGGCAGGCTGCCTTGCATCTCGTGATGACCTGAGCTGATGCGACTCTGCGCACAGATTGGCTTCTACTTTGCGGTATGCACGCCTCCATGCGTAGCCTACTGGGTTTGACGCGTTGGCGGTCGCGGGGACAGGTACAATCCGGTGGCTCGTTCGACATTGACTGGGTGGTGACCGATCCAAAGGATATGATCATCATCGAAGGCCAACGAGAGCGTCAAGGCGACTACATCTTCACGGGCAATCTCGTCGGGGAGTACTCCTTCTGCTTCAGCAACGACATGTCCAGCTTTTCCGAGAAGCTCATCGATTTCGACATCATGGTCGAGTCTGAGCCAAGGCCAGTCGCTCCTGCCCGCCCGACTTCGCTCGTCGAACAGACCTCAAGTCTTGAGGAGTCGATCTACAAGCTCTCTGGCTCGCTCAGCTCGATACAGCGAACGCAGAGATACTTCAAGACTCGCGACACTAGGAACAGATCGACGGTTCATTCGACGTCCTGGCGCATCCTCCTCTTCTCGCTTGGCGAGAGCGCACTCATGGTCGGCATGTCCTTCCTCCAAGTCTTTATCGTCAGGCAGTTCTTCTCTGGCTCGACTTCCAGGCGGCATCGCGTCTGAGACGACGACAGAGCACGCCATGCATGTAACGTCAGCAACGATTCTGTAGACAGACGCGCTTCCAATGCATGTATTGTACCCTTGCCCGCGATGCCAAGCACAACAGTCTGCTCGATCGTAAAGCTTTTGCGCTTGGCCTGCACCGAAGAAGCCTTGCGGACGAGATCGGCTACACGCAGGCGCGACGGCCTGAGCCAGCGAGCGTGCTGCTGCAAGCAGTGCCATTGTAGCTCACGTCACACGGATACCCAGATGTCAGACCGGATCAGACATCACATGATGCCCCTGATCCTGACATTGCATCGCTGTCGTGTATGAAGCTCAAGAAGCATTGACAAGATATGCATCGCTGACTATGCACAATGCAAGCGATCATTCATCACTGATGGCAGTAGCCGTCTTCTGGTCCACCGCCCGTCGATGTCCACGTGCAGCCGACGGCCTATAATCATAGTATCGTCAGATAAACAAATCGGAGATGAGGGCTTGAAGCATACATTTTCACATGACATCGAGCTGTCAATGGACTTGCAGACATTCTCGCCGCGGGGTGCCTGTTTGGTCTCGCATCAGTGCTGTGACCGGCGTTGCGCAGTCGAAGCCCTCACGACGACCCCGAGGACGAGCATTGCGAAAGCAGTGAGTGACAAAACAAACTTCATCTCGAGCGTTGAGTTTCTGGTCTTTATACTTTGAAGTAGCTGCAAGTCGAAGCTCGATGGTTCGATGGCTCGCAACTGGAGAGCAACGTCCGTCTCAGCAGTGCAGCTGGTCTCTCTTCGGTATATGGCAACCCGGTTGCGCGTTATGACAACCCTTCGACACCCCTACATGTGCAGATGTGTGTCTCAAAGCGACCGATATGCTTCAGCACGCAGTCACGGCATTGTCAAGGCATTCGACATTGGCTGAAGATCTCAACAGCAGATCCTTGCGCTATACAGTGTGCAGGCGCTCTTTCGAGCGGTGGCGATAGCATGCGAGTCCCACATTGACTTGTGACCGCTGAAGCCACCTCGTATGGATATTTTTCGTCGGTATTGCAGATCCATAGGGACATGCGTGATGAATTGGCGGACGTGTGTTCGTCCCACAACTCGAGTACAGTATGGTTTGTAGAAGTAATCTGGCTTCGACTTTGCTCCGTGCATGAACTCTGTGTGGTCCTGTGGAGGATGATTCTTTGCGAAGTGACGGGAATAGGAGGCGTCTGAACAGCCAGTGGAGACTACGCAACAGGCGGGGATCGGCTACCTGCGAACAGCTTCTTACCGAAGTCAGACCTAGTCAACATCGCCTTCGGTGAATTCGGTGAGCGACTGTGACGTGGCAGCCATGACGTGATCATGACGTGGCAAAGGTCGGCTCAACACGTGATAGTCACGTGAACTTTCATGTGGCCGGTGCCCCAAGATCACCAAAGTCACAATCGAATCACAGCCTCACTAAGCACTGGAGGAGCAGCTCACGACGAGTTCCGGAGTCAATAAAGCTTAAACTCCGCCAGACTCAATGAGATGGTCTGAGAGTGCCATAGAAGGAAATTTGCGAAAGACACTCAGAACAGCCCGAAAATCTTCCTACGAACGTCAGACTGTCTATGAAACAGCTGAGCGTATCTAGAGAGCGATTGAAGCGTCGTGAGTCTCGGTCGGCGCACCTATCTCCACAATGATCACGTGGTCGTCGTGGGGCGGCCTGCTGTACTGCCTTCGCTCCGAAGGACAGACTTATGATTAATTGGCAGGGCGTCTTCGGCGTACTCAGGGCAGCATTCAGACCTGAGCTGCTTCAGCCTCGACTCGTCATCCCAGGCATGGATGAAATTCGAAATTGCAACATTGCATCTCATGCGAGATACTGAACAGATATCCGATCTCTAGATAGTCTAGCGCTACGTCGACATGGCTTCACTGGCATCGTGATTGACAAAGACAACTGTATCGTAGGTCAGCAAAGTCGCATATGTCTACCTACTGAACTCAGGCATAGACAATGCCTCATCACGACGAGCTGCTGCCCGAGCTCAGCCAAGCTTGGCGAGAGCTGCTGGACACCTTTGGGCCTGCTTCGGTGCTCATCGTGTCCAACTCGGCAGGTACCGTAGATGATCCTGGTCTCATCCAGGTCCGCTGCTCCTCGCAACGTGTATACGAGTCTCATACCGGTGGCATGGGGATGTACAGGCGGAATCAGTCTCTCGCACCTTGGGCGTGCCAGTGCTGGTGCATGCACGCAAGAAGCCTGGCTGTGCGAGAGATGTCGAGCAGTACTTCTTGGGGCACGCGGACCAGACTGTGGCTCGCGTCGTCGATGTCGCACAATCTCGGTTGGGTGCAAGTCAATTGGCGCCTCCTCGGTTGGCTGTCATAGGTGACCGTGTGCTGACTGACACCGTCCTTGCGAATCGCTTGCATTCTCTCAATGCTGTCGGCATACTGACAACAAGAGTATGGACGCGCGAAAGCTTAGGCACGCGCTTCATGCGATCTATGGAGATGCTCGCGCTTCGAGCTCTGCGTACACGCAACGATGCCGATCTGCTGGTCTGCTTGCTGCCGCACGCAAGATGATACTGCTACGATCGATAGTCACGTCGTCTGCAAAGACGTAGCACTGATCGAATGCATCCTCGCCGACGCCTCGGTCATTCTCTCGATGGCCTATTCGAGCGGATGAACTCAGAGCAGCCCGCTCAGTCGATATGACGACTGACCTGGTCTATCTGCGTCAAGCTTGCCTTGCCGCTCACTTCCAGCAGAGAAAGTGTGCCGAGTGCAGGCATGCAGGCCATGCTGACTTGGGCGACTGACAGATCGACCTCGTCTGCTGTCGGATCGATAGCTACAATGGACGCGTCTTCTGTCTGGCGAATGACCTGTGGAGGGTAGCGATGAGCAGAGCATGCGCAATTCAGCGCGGGACCCACTGCGCATGTGCCAATAACAAGGCCTCTCATCTCAATCTTGGCAGACGCGAGCGCGAGACTGGCGGCGGTGATGCCACTAAGAGCGAGCGTATCCTCAGTATACCCGTGTCTCGAGCACGCTGCTCAGGGAAGCGTACGCTGATATGTCAGTGAGCGGGCCGTCCCATTGCAGCAGCGTCACATGGACGCTGATCGTGCTTCTTGGGATCCGATCGAGCAAGAGCGATGGCAGCAAGGCTTGATGTATGTCAGCCGACAAGCTCGCTGATTCGGTGCCCTGCAATGCAGCTGCGTCAACTAGATCCGTGCTGCCTCATTGGCTTGGCTCCGCTTGCCTTGCCTGGCGCGCGTCTGCTGCCTGGAAAAGTTGAAGGCGTAAATTTGACTTCAACCTCGAGTTTGGCGGCAGGCGTGGTATTGATAGCAGATGCATGGGGTCCATAGACTGCGCAGAGCAGCTTGGTCGATCCTGCTTCGATGTAGCAGCTCCCGTTGGCGTCTTGAACGATGCCCGTCTTGACAAAATGAGATCGCAAGTCGCTCCAGGCACGGCCATCTGATCTCACGGGTGTAGTGCCTTCCTCCGGCCTAGCCTCTTGAGTGGCTTGTACATCATCATAGATGAGTTTCGCACTGGTCTCTGGGCCAACTTGCCGTCGCCTGTCCATGCTCGAGCTCGAGACAGTCTTGGCAATGTTGCCGCGCGTGTGAAGCGTAGGCGCTCAAAGAGCCACCAGTCAGGCCAAGGTCGTACGGGAGCAGCGGCTGTCATGCAGTCGTACTGCCGACAGGTGCTGCCGCCCAGTGGAGTCGAACATGCCGTCAGTCTCAAGTTGACGGGAACCTGTGTCGAGGCAGAGCGACACTCGACGAGAGTCGTCCGCAACCTCGTCGTGGCTCGTTCCAACTTTCTACAGGTCTACGAAGTCCTCGAGGAGCCTGTACCTGTCCAGTCTAGCGTCACAGATGGCTCCAGTGCGTCAATGCGGGAAGATCAGACTCGTTTGCAGCTCTTGGCCGAACATGTCTGCCATGGTATCGTCACTGGCCTTGCGCGGCTCAGTACGCTCGACACACGTCAAGACGGCAGGCACAGATTGGTGATCTCGTTCAGAGACGCAAAGGCATGCGCAATCTCGCAGCTCATGCAAACGATGCTCAAGCCGCACGCCCGCAGATGACTGTCATGGAGTGGTCAGACCAGTTGCATGACCTCGCGCCCGTCTCGATGCATTCATTCGAGCGTCTGCCACAGCTGGTTGGTTGCATGCTCGCGAGTTGTCCCTCTCTGATCAGAAGGGGATGCAGTCGCAAGGAGATTTAGGCGCATTCCAGGCCGTACTGCGCGTCGACCAAGCGAGCAGATGTGTTGCGCTACTCTTGCCTGACAACACGCTCGGCATCTTGCCGTTCTTTCAAGACCTGTCTGAGCTCGAAGACATGACCAGAGAAGGCCTACAGAGGTGCGTCCTGCAGCTTTGATTTTTCATATGCACACTCAGCCCTAGACGCAGTCTACCTTATGCGCCTAGTCTGACCATCGACCTGTCCGAGATTGGTCCAGGCATACGCAACGTCGTCGATTTTGCCTTCTTGCCAGGATTCAGCGAGCCAACGATAGCGATACTATTCCAGCGCAAGCCGACTTGGACTGGGTAAGTCGAACGCTCAAGTGCTCGACCGTGCTTAGATCGAGCGGGCAGACGCATTGACTTTGCCAAGGACATCACTAGCCTGGTCATGGTTACCCTCGATATTGGCTCGAGGAATTATCCTGTGATATTCGAGGCAGATGGATTACCGTACGACGCCCTGTCTCTCAGTGTCTGTCCTCGCGAACTCGGCGGTGTCGTTATTCTCTGTGCTAATTCACTCGTTCACATTGATCAATCGTCGAAGATGACCGGTATCGCTGTCAACGGCTGGACGAGCACGCTCACCGATGCTCGTCTCGATTCTCGTCCAACTTTACGACTCGTCCTCGAAGGCGCCCAATGCGCGTTCGTGGGCCAGCAGGTTGCAGTCCTATGCACGCGTACAGGCGAAACCTTCTCACTCCATCTGGAGAAGGACGGCCGTAATGTGTCCAGCATGGACTGTCGTCCCCGAGCTGTAACTTGCATACCTGCTTGCATCGAGACTGTCGGTGCTGCCTACGTCTTTGTAGGCTCAGCACAAGGCCAATCTGTGCTCCTGCGCTGGGCGTCGCAATCTGGCGCAGGTGCAGACATACTGGATATCACTGAAAGTGGCACCGGGCTCGTGCAATCAGACGCTATGGACGATGGTCTGTTGTGTCCCCATCGCACTGATGAAGCTGACAGATAAGTGCTGGCAGATCTCTATGCCACTGCCGGCGCTCACAATGGGAATGGGCACCAGATTGCACCGACGGGTAAAGATGTGCAGCTTGAGCTCTGCGATACGCTACCAGGCTATGGTACGATTCGGCATATCGCGGTACTTGATCACACCTCTGCCAGCCTCGATGAGCCTTCTCTCGTCGCATGCACAGGTGTACAGGCCATGGCGGGTCTCACTACTATCCACGTAGGCTAGAGAGCTTCGGCAGAATACGTTGCTGATCAGAGCTGCAGCGGCATGTGCCATCAGTACGTCAAGTCGATCTCGATCTGCCTACTGCACGCGACATTCGCCATATCTGGACGGTGGGGTTGGAGCAGCGGCAGAAGATGGGTCGTGGTCCAATCACCCATCAGATTATCTGCTCGACTGGCTCTAGCAGCATGGTCAGTCGTTGCGCTGGTACCTTTCATCTGACTGACGAAGACATAGGTGTATACACTCGACCAAGACACCCAGGCAGCTACCCTGGCGCGCAAAAGCGCAGAAGTACCTCTCGCGGCGGGCTCCTTCTTTAGTCGATCTCAGGTGCTAGAGGTCACTGAAGATATGCTAAGGCTCTATTCGCCAGGTCAGTATACTTCGCTGTTGCAGACTAGTCTGACGAGATCCTTCAGATGGCCAAATCACAACCGAAGCACCTCATGGACAAGCAGATGCGATCGACGTGACTGTCAGCGATCCGTTCGTGGCAGTCCTGAGTGCCGCACGGAATGTTACAGTCTTCTTCGGCGATCCGACGACCTCGTTACTCAATGAGCTTGGCCAATTGCCGATTGCAGATGTGGCAGCTGTCAGTCTGGTCGCCCAAGCGAACAAGGGCATGGACAGACACCTCATTGCTGCCGCTTTGACGAATGGCGAGATCATCGTACATAGTGTGCCAATCGATGCTTGCCAAGCTGATTGCGTGCGGGCAGGTATACTCTCTGCCGGACATGCAGATCCAATGGCAAAGCGAAAGCATTACGCAGATGCCACCTGTTCTCCGACCGCGCTATCTCGTGCCAACTTCTGTCTCTGGTAAAGATCATCCCGATGACACCACGATGGGCGAAGCCGGCGACGAAGTCAGCGCAATGTTGCTCACTGTCATTGACGGTCTCGACGGAGTCCGTCTGCATCTCGTCGTAAGCAACTGTCTCTTCCTATCTGCATTCGACTTATGCCTTCGATCAGGCGCTCCTCGGCACGAGCCGACTCGTGGTATACGAGCTCGTACGACAGCATGACGAATCGAGATCAGTCTGGCAGTTCGTTCGAAGAATCGCTCGCCAGCTTCCGATAGGTGAACAGGAAGAAGAGCAGTCCAGGCGCTTGGTGTCGTTCATCAGCACGACTGGTCGTTCTGGCGTTTTCATCACCGGATCGGCTCCATTCTATCTGCTTACGGACCGTGCTGGCATCGCTCGGCTCTATCGCGCACCATACGGCAGAGCCAGTGCATTCGGTGCTTTTGATCCGCCAAGCTCTACGCCGCTACTCGTGCTCGCCGATGGCGTACGCATCTTGTGTCCCAGTCCGCGTCCGCTGACGCGTGGAACTACAGGCAATGCACACGTACGACCTTTCGGATCAGGCGTCGTTGGCTCGAGAGCTGCCAGTCACGCACGTCGCCACAAGTAAATGCTTCACGTCGACAGCCTATCACGACTCTTCACATACCCTCGTTGCTGCTCGCGTGGTCAACGCGCCCTTTGAGCTTTTCGATGACGAAGGCGCGCCAGTCTATCGCGCGCCAAGTGAGTCGATGTCTTCAGAAGACGGTCAGACATCTGACAAGGCCTGCAGGCGAAGACATGATCTCTCCTACCGTCTTTCGATCCTGTCTCGAGCTGCTCGTACCCGGCTCGTGGGATTGCATCGATGGGTGCGAGGAAAGCTACGCCAATGACCATAGCTGATTATCTCAAGCAGGCATGAATTCCCACAGAATGAGAGTATCTTGCAGCTCATTTGCGCGACATTGCCCAGCGCGACTGATCCCTCTGGTCGAGCGCGCTTTGTCATCGCTTCAACATGCAATAACCGCGGCGAAGATCTGCAGACACGCGGCGGGGTATCTCTTCAGAGTTCAGTATGACTTTGCACTGACTGACGTCCGCAGCTGTATGTTTTCCGCATCAGCACCACAGAATCGACTGCAGCGAGCGATCAAGCGCAAGCTCGCTCTGCCAAGCTTTCTCTCGTCCACGCAGACGATCTGCGGCATCCCGTCGGGGCGATATGTGAGGTCAACGGCCACATCATTCACTCCCTTGGTCAAAAGGTCTTCATCAAAGCCTTCGACAGCGATCAGCGCCTGATCACTGTCGGCTTCCTCGACGTCGGACTTGATGTCTCTGCAATGCGTTCGATCAAGAATCTGCTTATTATTGGCGATAGCCTTACAGGGACCTACTTTGTCGCATTTCAGGCACGTCATACGAGTGAGCCCAGATGTCGCTCATGGTTTTGATCACAGGAGGATCCCTTTAAACTGGTTCTGCTCGGCAAAGAAGCTCGCAAGACCGATGTCTATTGCGTCGATTTCCTCGTGCAGGAGAATCGGCTCGGCCTGCTTTCTGTGTCCCGCAAAGGTCTGCTTAGGCAGCTGGAGTACAACCCCGGCAATGCCGAATCACGCGCTGGCGAGCGTCTGCTCGATCGGACAGAATACCATCTCGGAAAACAGATCATCGATAGCTTGTCCTTTGCAAAGCGTTTGTCCACAGATGAGGATCTGCGGCAAAGCGGCGTCATGCTAGGTGCGAATTGTCCCTGCCTGCAGGAGACATATGCTCACGTACGATCGGCAGTCGGCGCCGATGGCTCGCTGACTTGGGTCACGCCCGTGCGCGAAGTCGTCTACCGGCGATTAGCGCTGCTCGAGCGTCAGCTGCATCGTCAGCTTCCCCACTTTGCTGGCCTCAACCCACGTGCGTTCCGCACCGCTCGTAATGACTATTACTCGCGACCACTGGCACGCGGCATGTTGGATGGGGACTTGCTCGCAATCTACGCGAACCTGCACGCATCGCGACAGCAATCTCTAGCGAGCCACATCAATAGCGACCCAGACACGCTCTCGGTCAATCTCGGCAATCTGGAACCGCCTTGGGCCTGACGCGCCATCGTAGCTTGCAACATGCATGCAGGTATGCTAGACATACGAGATGGGTGACTGCGGGACCCCTGGTGGCACTGCAAGCGAGAGCAGTCTCAGATGGATCAGATTCAGCGCTTTGGCAGCGTCTCGGTTCTCGATCACACAGGATATGTTGATTTCTGAACTGCCTTGAGAGATCATTTCGATGTTGACAGATCCATCCGCAAGGGTCGTAAACATCTTGCCAGCAATGCCGACCGAGTGTTGCATCTCCTTCCCGACCAGTGAGAGGATAGCCATGTCGTGCTTGACTGTAATCTCGCCAAGCTTCTTCAGATCGGCAAGCAGGCTGTCCAAGAGTCCTTTCCGGATCGTGTCGTTCATCGCCATCGAGACGTGCACTTCTGAGGTCGAGATGAGGTCGACAACGATGCCGTATCGGTCAAGGGTGGCAAACATGCCCGCAAAGAAGCCGTGACTGATCGTTCGCCGATTTGAATGGATGTTCAGCACGACAATGTTGTCTTTGATGGTCACTGCGGTAGGTAGACGAGGTGCGCTGCCGTTGATATGCGTCATTGCTGGCTTTGCTGCACGGCCGTTCTGCAGCGAATCTGGGAAGATGACCGTCCCTGCGCCTGCAGGATTTTGTACATTCTTGATCCGGATGGGTATCGCTGCTCTGATGACTTGCTCCATTGTGAAAGGATGGATGACTTCGGAGCCGTAGTAGGTCAGCTCGGCCGCTTCCTCCGGCGTTATGCGCGGCAGGAGTCGGGCGGTTGGCACTTTGCGCGGATCGGCCGTGAAGATACCGTCAACCTCTTTCCATACTTGCAGCTCCGATGCTTGCAGGCCCACCGCACACAACGCAGCACACAGATCTGTGTATCCTCGACCAATCTGTAGCAATAGCGAGCCGGGCACGATGCCAAAGAAGCCTGTAACGACAGGTATCCTGCCCTCGCATTGTCTGAGTCGTTGACCCAGTCTACCAGCTAGGTCGTCATAAAACGCTTGCGATAGCTGTTGTTCTGCTTGACCTAAGCTTTGCGCTTCGCTCGGCTTCGGCAAGACTGATTCTAGGCTGACAAATTCGGACGCAAAGCCCTAGCTTTGTCGGTCAGCAGATTGCATGCTCGTCTTCAAGCGGACCAACCTTGTCCTCTAGCATGGCGGCTACGATGCGACAAGACAGCCGCTCGCCATAGCCCACGATGATATCTTTGGACCTCAGCGAGATCTCGTCTATGATCTATTCGTCGCATGTCAGCCATTGTCCGCTATGATTGCAAGGGGCTGCACGCACCTGTGCAGCCAGCAAGAAGCTCCTGAGTGCTTCGCAGTCTCCCGAGAGCTCTTCCTCGAGCTGTCGCAGTATCCACGGGTCACTGATGCACGACCGCGCAGCCGAAAGATGGTCAGATTTGATCTTGTCGACGGTGCCATCGAAGGCAGAAGCTTGGTCGCATGTCTTCAGACTGGCTAGTGAGTTTGAGAGCGAGCCTGAGCCCCTTGGACCGGGCGAGTTGTAGCCTGAGCTGTTGAGGACAGCAGAGGAACCGCTTCGCTGTAGGCGCTGCGTCGACAACGAGAGCGGGTTTGGCCGGGAAGCGCTTGCAATCGAGGGCGTCATGGCCGGCGAAGGCTGCCTCCCATTGGCGAGCTCGTCAGGGAGGACAGACGTCGGTCGCAAGGCTTCTTGTGCAGCCTGGATGAGTAAATTCGTCGTGCCTGTGCTCTTCGACTGTCCCGAGCGGGCAGAGCAGACGAGCGCTACTCGATGGCCCTCGTCGAGATACCGCCTGAGCGCACTCGTTCAGACTTGTCTGGCCTTGCACTGCCAGCCCAGACTCACGGTACGATAGTCTGAGCGATAACCTCGACAAATTTGCCGATGGAAGTCCCGCCGAATTTCTGAACTACCCAGTCACCCTCGCTAGGGTTGCCCCTGAGCTCGGGCGATTGCGTGGACGCATCGGACCCGTCATCGTCGGCCATGCTGTCGTCAAAAGGTGGGTCGTCACTTGACTCGACAGAAACTTTTTGTCGCGCCGCGTGTCGCTGATCAGATTGATCGTACGCCTCTCGGCCTCTTAAGACATAGCGAGTCTCACCGCTGGGCAGCGAGTGAGTCCACTTCACGATTGCTGCAACGACCTCAATCGTGATGAGCTCTGCGCGTCAAGGTGCATCTAGACTACTGCGCCGTGCAAATAAGAGACTAGATGTGTCCATGCGGTGCGCGGCAAGCAAGGCGTATGACCGCAACCCGAAGGACAAGTGGCGAGCAAGTCGGCCTGCTCCTCGCGCTCAGCATAGTTGAGCGGCATGGGCTCCTTGCTATCTAGCAGAGCTGCCATGACTGGATTGAGGCTGGCGTCGACAGCCTCTGGCCGTTTAGACTGAAGGAAAGCTGCCGACAGATCGCTGAGATAGGCAACGATGCACGTCGCATGCGAGCCGTGACCGCAAGTGGCGCACAGAGTGATCACGCCCGTCATAGGCAGCTCGCTGTAGTCACACTGATCAGCAGAGGAGTCTCTGTGATGCGCGAAAGCCGCACCAGATGGAGCAATGCATCAACCCGGAGCCCTGGCGGCAACGACGACAGATGCCGTAAGGGGGCTGGGCAAGCGCTTTCTGACAGCGGCCGCAAGCCATATGTAGCATTGTGGACACTTGTGCTGTCTCTCGCACAGCGTCGAGCCGCGAGGATTTTATAACCGCCGCTGCTGTCAGATGTAAATTGAGCTTGCGCAGCAAGCCGAGATAGCTGAATGAGATCCTCCTGAGAAATGTGGTCTCAAAGGAGATTGCAGGCGAAAGCATGCTTATCAACGTCGTCGCGAGCTGCACATCGCCCTCTTCTGCAAAACTGAGCGCAGCGGCATGCAGCTGTTGCCGCATGCCATCGACAAGTGCAAGGAGGTCCTCCTTATTGCTTGCTGCTGCATCGACAGGCGAGAGCGAGGGCATCGTAGACTTGTCGCGCCAGATTGACAATCGTAGCTGACTGCCATCGTGAGAGGATGCATGGGTGTGCCTCGACTCGGCAAGTCGCTGGACCGTCGCACTCGAGCTGAAGCCATGTCGCGTCCGCGGTCGCCCCGAGCGAGGCTGGCTGAGCTGCGAAGAAGCCAGCCTTCGCATTGCGCTTCCTTTGCCGCTGAATCGGAAGCGCTCCTCGTCTGATGCCGAATCTGAGCTGTCGCCGTCTATATCCGCTTTCGAAGCTGGTCGCGAAGATGCTCGGACAGCGCTACCAAGAGCAGCGAGGCTTGGCAGCGACTGCCTGGCATTCGTCGGCGTACTTGCGGTCGAGGGCGGGCTGCGAAGCTTGCCCCGAGCGGTCATACGGCCTGGCGGTGCGAAGGAGCGTTGCTCGCTCTCCGAATCAGACTCTGGCAGATCAGATTGAGCTGAGATGGATGCCAAAGCATGCCGGTCGCTCTCCGCTTCCGATGTGTTCTCCTCTGCCTCTTGAAAATCCGCAAGATGTGATCTTGGTCTGCTACGGGAGTCACGTCGATTGGCGCCATGTCTACTTATTGAGCGCCTGACGCGACTCGAGCTCGATTCCGACTCGAGCTGTTCCAGCGCCGCGTTCGGCTCAGCCTCGTCACGCTCGACGCTTTCGGCCATCATCCGAAGCCAGACTGTGACACAGAGGAATAAACGCGACAGATTGTGCAGACCGAGCGAGGCTGCGAGCTTCGCATTTGCTTTGGCCAGCTCTGCAGGCGAGTCCCCGAGTAGGGAAAGACCTGTAGCGAGGGATGAGAAGCGTGCGACGTCGAAGCCCATGCTCAGATCCTTTACAAAGGCCGTGCTTTGCCCAGACGCCGACGCGCTGTCCTTGTGGACCGATTGTAGTCCGGCGTGATCGAATTCATCCAGCTCAAACGCATCAGGCGCAGGAGCACCGGATCGAAGACTTAATGCAAAGTCACCAAAGGGGCCGCGAGCCACTGCTGGTGCCGTCAGATAGCTTGCAGGCGACTGCGCGTCGCGTTGAATGTCAAGCTGAACGAAAGACGACGATCGATGCGCGCTCCATATTGCTTCTCGCGAGGGGAACAGTGCGCCGACGGAAGGGCCTTGACCTGTGCTGAACTGATACTTTGGCAGATGAGGTCGTCTGATGTCCCAGACTTCGATATCAGGCTGCCACGCCGTCTTGGAGATATCTAACTCGGGACCGTAAGCAAGTGCTTCTGTAGACATCGAGACTCCGTCCGCAGGCGTTGCCGCCAGTTCATAGATCGATTCTGGTCTCCACGTCAGTGAATGTGTCGGTCGAGCGGTATACAGCGTCCTTAGTGGCCCAGAAGACAGTGATGGACGCGATAGATCCCATATCTGGTCTCTAAATCAGCGCTAGCCGGCTTGTCTAATCAGGCTGACCAACCTTGACACTCTTGTCGATTCCTCCGGTCGCAAGCCAGCCGCCGGACAAGCTCGACGTCGAATCTGGAGGCTTCCAAGTCATACATATCGCGCCTCCTACATGACCTTGCACTTTGTCGGTTGGCGAGAGCTGTGCTCGGAGATCCCATCGATAGATCATTCCGCTTTCTGTGCAAGAAGCAATGGCAAAGTGTGTATGCAGAGCATTCGGTGTGAAGCTGACATCTCGGACAGGATCAGAGGGCGTCGAGAGCACGCCAATCGCTCCGCCGGCTGTTCGTGCATCCCACAGCTTGATCTGGCCATCTTGTCCGGCAGAGAGCAGCCAGCCACCGGACTGACCGCCAAAGGCAACACGATTGACAGCACGGTCATGCTTGACCTTTGTCTGATCGAGTTTGGGTCCCTCTCGTGATAGATCCCAAATAAGGACATTGCCGTTTGAGCAAGGTGTTGCAAGCTTGTGAGCCGTATCCGCAAAGCCCCACTGGATGTCGGTCATGATGTAGCCTTTTCCCAGCTTGCTGCCGCGTTGCACATCTGAACTCATCGTCACCTTTGGATTCGATGCTTCTGAGGGCATCGAGCGCGAATGCGAGACGTGCAAGATCTTGAGCACAGTCCGACCGACGACGGCCAGGAGACCCGAGTCTACCTCGGGCGATTGTGCGATACCGATGAGCGAGGCCAAAGCGCCGCCTGCCGCTCGTGAGCCCTGTGAGACTTGGTAGGATGTTCGTAGAGATGCTGAGCTCTCTCTGAGCCGTTGCCGGTGATTCAGCTGGCGTTGGTAGGGCGAGATCACCGGCGAAGACTCCACGGCCACGGGAGAGTTTGCGCCCGGCGTGAGGTCATCTCCAGAGTACGATCCTCGGCGTCGCGACAGCTTGCTCGGAGAACGTTGAGGTGAGCGCGCATCAGATGTCCGCGGAATCGCCATGCCGGGCGATTTGCGTCCTTTCTGTAGCAGAGACTCCGAGCTGGGAGATGTCGAGAAGACGGCAGACGATGATGCATCAAGCGAAGGTGAGGCAAGCGGCGACAATGAGGGTCGCGACGGATTCGGCAAGTCGAGTCTGGGTGTTGACTGTCGCCTCGCCGCTGCAGATAAGAGCGAGGCAGACGCGGCAGACTCTTGGCCATGTTGACGTACAGGGGAAATGAGTGTGGCCTCGTCGTTGAGAAGGATCGCCAGCGAGCTTGGCTCGACGGGCGGCGCGAGCGGCTCGAAACCTGTCGTCGCTGTGCGTTTGCCTGAATGTACGCGGTCACGTTGGCCTGGCTCCTGTCTCAGTCGATGACATCCTATACACCGCATGCCACTGACCCTCTTGAGCAGGCGCGGGAGGCGGCTGACTAGCTTGACGTGGTCGTGGATGGTTTGGCGTCGTTGGCGTGGGGGGATTGGACAGAGTCAAGAGGCTCGACAAGCGGGAGAAGGTAGAAGCAGTGGCTGTAGAAGGGGCAGCCTGACCGTCTTGAGCGGCAGACCGCTGATCCTGAGCGGCAGCGGCTTCGTGGAGAGCCGAGATGGTGAGCGCTTTGCGGAGTGGATGCTGCGCCATGTCGTCGATGCTGAGCCACTCATGGACACGTTTGCCGCACTGCGCTCATACTGTGCCTCTGTCGAGCCCAGCAGTGCTTCTGCGAGCGCTGCATCTTCCTGGCTAAGTGCCAGGCACCGACGGACAGCAAGCGCACGTAGGCAATCGCGCGGCGGTCGAGCGGCATTCGATCGTCTCTCGAACCGACTGCAATCGATCAGGGCAGCCTACTGACGGTCACTGACAGGAGTGCATGGCAGAGCATGTCATACGGCTACCCTGCTGCTGTCGACATGCGCTATACTCGAGACTGCAGCCTGCCTCTCGACTTCGGCCAACTGCTTTTCTGTCAAAGCGTGCCATGGTCATTTCCTCGATTGATACGACACAGACGCTGCCTGCGCAAGATCCCAGGTCGCCCCAGTCTAAGCTACAAGGAAAAAAGAAGCGACCGAAGGGCAAGGGGGCACCTGAATCTGCTTCTACGTCTCGTGAGCCCATAGACGAACGAGACGGCGAAATCGTCCAAGACGATCAAAGTGATCGCTTTCCGCTACGATCACAGCGAGGCTTGACCCGCAGCAGACTCCACTACTTGCTAGCACAAGCAGCAGACTCCGGCGACCTGTCTCAAGCACTTCAGCTTGCCGCAGATCTCAAGCCATTGCTGCCCCTGCCGCCCAAGGCGTTGAAAGACATCAAACTCGTCAGCGCGACCTATCTCTATCTCATCCAGACGCTCGCGAAATCAGGACAGTATCATGCTGCTCGTGCCCTCGTGCGTGAGATGGACGCGCTCGAGATCCCCGTGAAGCTGCCAATCCTCAACGAGCTCATGCGTGTCAGTCGCGTCAAGACATCTGCACAGGAGCAGAGCTGATCCAGGCCATGCACACAGGCTGTATCACTCTACGGGGGCGATCAAATGGAGGTTCTCGCTCTGTTCGCTCAGTACGGCGTCGAGCCAAGCGCACTGACATACCAATACCGCATCGAGCAGCTCTGCTCGCCTCATTTGGAAGCATCGAATACCAAGCTCGAGCTCGCTCTCTGCTTGCGCGATGAGATGGAACTAGCTGGCATCAAAGTGCGCAACCGTACGACCGACATGCTCATCCAGGCTGCCGCCAGAACAGGCGAAATCAGATTGGCTTACGATCTCGCGGTCGAATCACCTCAGATCTCGCTCGAAGCCGCTCTTTCTCTCGCATACCATGCTGCAGATCATCACCAGGTAGGTGCAGAGGTTCACAGCATGTTCTGGCTTACATCTTATTTCCAGGCGGAACCGATGTCATGGGCATGGGCAGTCATTCGCAAGCTCCAATATACCCCCGATAGAGGATTGCTTCAGCTCATGCTCAACTGCGCTAGCCGAGCTGGCTCGGTTGAGCAAAGTACAGATTTGTTCGATCTCATGCTCGCCAAAGATCTCGGCTCGTCGGCTAGCATGTCCCAAGAGCTCTCTGCCTTGCTCGAAGCCACACTACGTGCTCGAGATCTCGACAAAGCAATCGACACGCTGTCCCACATGCGCTCGGTCGACTGCACGATCAGTCCTGCTCTTTCACGACAGTTTCAACCGCTTCTTGCGACGAGCGAGCAAGTCGACAATATGACGTCTCGCTTACGTTCTCGAGCCGATGAGGCCGGCTCGACGGATATCACGCTCTTTGACGCACTGATAGAGGCAACAGCCATGCAAAAAGGAGCCTCAATAGCACACAGTCTTTTGCATGATCACGAACGCTTTCGCTTGGTCCCGGAGGGATTGCGTACAGAGACATACGTCGGACTATTGAAGGCTTGCCAACTCCTGGCGACGCCCGAAGCGACCGATGTCGCTACACGCGTCTGGACTGAGCTAGCAACGTCTGGCATGTCGCTCACACGGGCGGCATACAACGCGCGACTTGAGCTGCTTCTCCTCTCTTGTTCGACTGGCTCGGTCAGAATCGACGAAATCCTCAGCACGCTCGACGCAATGGATGCGGTTGTACTCACACGCGGGCGCAGGGGTTTACGACCCGTCCGGTCAACCGTGGTTGCCATCTTGCGAGCCCTGCTGCAACAGACGCGAGACGATAGGGCATTCGAATTTGCAAAAAGGATGAAACGATATGGCTATGTCGTACCTACAGCACTCGCCACCGAAGCCGACGAGCAGCTCGGAGCGGGCTCGGGCAAGACGCTCAGACAGCTCTCTGGCGCGTTCGATCATTTCGGGCAGACGAATAGTGGCCGCTTATGATCGAAAGCACGCGCACGCGTGTAAATCAATAGAGCATCCAATTCGTCCAACTGATGCGGCTTTACAAACGTAGTGAGAACATTCACGGAGGAACAGGTTGCAGATGGGCAGCCCGTCTTGGAAAGGGCACGCTTTACATTTGCTGTGTCGTTAGACGAGACCGAGTCGGGCAAGCTCGTGAGGGTATCTCCGGTATAGTCGACCATCGTCGAGTTCTACAGCAGTCCGCAATCGCGCAGATTGACTTGCTGCCAATGCATGCCATGTCAGCCATCGGCGGTCGCACAGACAGCGGCATACGCACAATGACAATATCGTTGACGGCGGAGAGAACGAATTTGATCTGATTGGTGTCTGTTGCGCAAGTGAAGTGAACGTAGACTTGCTTTGAGCTCGACTGGTTGAGCGATACGAAACGGTTCGAGAAGTAATCGCAAGCAGCCTGTAGGTTCGCGCCGCCCGTGTAGTCTTGGAAGTACGGCTGGATGGGCGATCTTGTGAGCTTCTCCTTGAAGAGGTCAATCTTGTTCAGGAAGAGGATGATGGACGTAGACATGAACCACCTCGAGTTCGCAATCGAGTCGAAGAGCGCTAGCGCTTCTTGCATACGATTCTGAAGAGCTGGTCAGCATCGAGGGAGAAACATACGAGGGCAGACGACTTACTACTGACTCGTCTTCGTACAGCATCTGATCGTACTCAGAGATGGCGACGAGGAAGACGATAGCGGTGACGTTTTCGAAGCAGTGGATCCATTTCTTTCGCTCTGATCGCTGGCCGCCCACGTCGAACATTCTATAGCGCAAGTCGCCAATCTGGAAATGCGATTCGGTGATGCCAGTCGTCTTGACTCGCGAACGGAGCACATCTTGGTCATTCGGCAAATAATCAGGTCTGCCTATTCTGGGCATAGATTCGAAGTAGCTGTTGAATTGCATCAGCTCATGCTCGGCCAAACCTAAGGATCAAGCTGACTATGAAGCGCTGTCGTTGAGTTGGAACTCGCGTGATCGCTCAAAACATTTTTGCACGCCGGAGTCCTTCCAGAGGCCTGATATGGCATCGACGACGTTGGTCTCCAGAGACTCTCCTTCGATCTGGTGAGGCAGAGCCATGATGACGTCCGCCCGCGATTTGTTGGAAGGATTGGCGAGAGTGATGCCCATCATCTCCATTGCGTCAAGAATGACGTGCATGGACTGGATGGTGTTGCTGAAGATGATCTCTTTGTACGAGTCGCGTTCCTCGACAGAATATGAGCCCTCGTGGATGAGCTTCATCTGTTTGAGAATGGTCGATTTGCCAGACTCGCCCGCCCCGAGGAGAAGCATTTTGATCTCATTTCTAATGAAAACCAATCAGTGAGGACATGCAGCAAGTTTGGGTATGACTGACTTCATCTGAGCCTTGTCTTTCTTCAGCTGCGCCTCAATGGCATTTGAGCGCAGCTTGGCGCCGTCGTCCTCCTTTGATGACGTGCAGCCCATCTTGTGTAGCTCGCAATGGATCAGTAGAGCTGTTTATGACCAGATTCGGGCAGGAGACCGGACACTGTTTGCGCCTGAGCCTAGTTGCGGTAAAGTCTACTCGACAATGCCTGTCGACCGGCGTCGGTGTAGATGCGATCAACAGCGTTTGCTAGCGCTGCCCGTCGTGTCACAGGCGTCGGAGAGTCTATCGTAGCTGTGCCGGCCTCAGTGCAAGGCTTTGCGGTGGCACAAAGGCGAAACACAGCGTTTGACCTGTTGAGTCGCTGTCGCGTCGCCACGGCAAGACCGAGGAACGCCGCTGCGAACTGTGCGACAGTGCCTCGAACGAGCGGTCAAAGCGTCACTCGTGCTGGCCTCACCCCAGAGGTTTATAAGCTTGGGTATGCGCTCGCAAACGCTTCGGCAATGCGTGGCCAGACACTAGCCAGAAATGAGTGAGCCACGTTAGACACACGCGAAGAGAAGGGGTGGCGTCAACCAAATGCGGATTGTGGCCACACAGAGAATCCCATCTTTGTTCTCGGCCGTGCCTGCCGCTCGAACAATTGTCGCTCTCCACGAGTCAGCGCTGTCGTCCGGCAATGGCGAAGAAGACCAAAGGCGACGCTGCTGGCGGCACCAGCTCGAGTGAGCCCGCCAAACTCAAGGTTGCCAATTCTCTCAAGCTCAGGCACATCCTCTGCGAGAAACTATCAAAGATTGAACAGGCACAGGCCAAGCTAGTCTCGGGCGTCAACTTTGGCGTCGTCGCGCAAGAGTTCAGCGAGGACAAGGCGAAAGCCGGCGGAAGTCTTGGCTGGATGACGCGACAAGCCATGGCAGGACCCATGCAGGAGTGCGCGTTCACCTTGCCCGCCAGCACGCCAGGTAGGACTGCGCGCTGTGATGATGCCACCAAGCTGAGTAGGGAGCATCCAGACAAGCCAGTCTACAAGCAGTGCAAGACCAAGTTTGGCTACCATCTCGTCATGGTCGAGGATCGCAAGTAGGCGAACCCTTGTCTATCGACCGACCGACTTTGGGATGCTCTCGAGGACTTGCCGAACTACGAAGATCGTTTTCGTCTGCTATCCTGCTAGAGCCCAGCCGGGGCCTTAGGAGGGCGCACAACTGGCGCCATTGCGAACGACTCGCGCGCCGGCCCAGAGCCCGCACTCGTCATCATCTGCAGAAGGCAGGTTACGCCGGTCTCATGCGTCTATGACCTACGAATGCAGTCTGAATTACTGCAATGCTCAGAAACACAGTCGACGGTTATTGTGGAAGATGAATTGAGGCAGCGCCTCTGAATAAGCTCGCGCGCAGAGAAGCTTGCAGGTACTATCGCGTCATGTAGAAGCTTCGTTGCTCAATGGTCGCTCAAGACGAGAGTCATCCACGATGGACAGAAGACTTCGCGTGACAACAGCAGTCGCTACATCGCAGGCAGCAGTCGCGTCATCAGTCAAGTCAGGCTTTGACCTTATCAATAATGACGTAGTTGGTGTAGTTATCCAGATCCCTGCATTGCTTGTCATCGACATTGACGAACAGTGCCAGTCGATATATTTGCAAGTGACTGCGGCCCCGTCTTGGCCGACGGTGCCCTTGATGATTGGCCAGCCAGTGGTACTTCCACTAACGAGATGATGAATGCGAGCCAGCCTCATTGTCATCCGGCTTGACTGTGACCATGTCAACGGCAGCGCCAACGCTGGCTTTGAGGACCTACTGGTCCAGTCGGTGTAGCAACTTGACGCCAGCGCAGATATTGCCGATCGAAGAGCCACTACATCTGACATTGCTAGTCGTATCGATGCACGATACCAATTTGTCGTAGACGCCGTGACTGTCTTCCCGCATGACGAGTGCATGACTGGAAAAGCGAAGGCGGACCTACAACCAGTCATAATGGAGCGCAGAGGAGAGGTCGAGGCCCAACGAAGCCGGCCGAGCTCAGTTCGAGGTAGAATGCATTCTGAGTCTTGTGGATGATTGCACATTCGGCGATGGAAGCGGAAGCATCGATTGGCGAACGTGTAGCGAACGTAGCTAGCGAGGCAAATGTAGAAAAGTCATAGCGAGAGGCCTGAACAGCATCTGTCGGTCGATGAATGGGTTCCCCGGCTTTGCTGCTGGCGTGACCGTTGCTTCTTCGTGTGTTCAGGCCATATTGTGTATACCGTCGTTGCATTCATTCTCGACGATGGCAGTGCGTACAGAATGACGGTTGCGTGGTAGCGATCAAAGCCGTTGCTCAGGCATTACCGCGCGTGTCTGAGATCAAATCCATATGCTCATGGGTGAGATGCGCAATGCGTCGTGCTGTTGTTGGTGTCGTCGCGGAAGCTTGGAAAACCTTTTGGCTGGATGCCGTGGATGAATGCTCTGGGTAATGAGATGTCGCTGTCGGGCGCAACATGCTCAGTTTTGGTCTGGGTGCGCATATCTGCCACGTAGAGCATGTCATGCATGTCAAGGTAGCGCAGAAGTAAACGGTCTTCACCACGAAAGTAAGCGCAGTCAGACATCAGCAATTGCCCTAAATGCATGCCGTGCTACCAGTTTGGCCGTCACAGCCAGCTTTGACCTCAGGAACAGTCTCGCCATTCGTGTTGTCATTGAGATCTCTGTAAATACGTGTCAGTAAAGGTCTCCGAGTCGTGCCAGCCGACGTACTTGAAGTCGATCTTGGCGTGGTCTTTGCCAACGGTGCCGCTGAGGAGCGTCCAACCAGTGACTTTGCCACTGACGAGATGGTGGAAGCGTATCGTGAGGGGGGCGTTGTTGACAGGGGTGACTGCAATACCGTTAACAGCAGCTCGGAAACAGCCGGTGCGGACCTACTGGTCCAGTCGGTGTGGCAGTTGAAGGCAGCGCAAATATTGCCAACTGATGATCCGCCACACTTTGCATTGGTCGAAGTATCGATACAGGAGAGAAGCTTGTCGTAGACGCCATCACTACGCCGCATTCGATGAGGATTTCGTTGGACGATCGAGGACAGACTTACAACCAATCGTAGTGCAACGTAAAGCCTAATTCGAGATCATCAGAGAAGTCGAACGAGCTGACCTGAAGCTGGAATTGGTTCTGAGTCTTGCGGACGACTGCACGCTCCGCGACCGTGGCAGGACCATCGACCGGTGAACTCGTTGCGAGCGTGGCCAATGAGGCCATGGTAGCCAGCGTCATTGCGAGAGAATTGCACAGCATCTTGCAGATCGATTGTTCGCCTCTATGCGGAGTCTTCTGCTCTGGCTGCGATGGAGGATCAGGTCAGATTGACTATATCGTCATGGCGTTCAAACTCGACGACGGCGATTTGGCGACTTGGCGACAAACACTTTGTGATAGCGATGCGATGTGATGCGCTGTATATCAGGCGTTATTGGTCGCGGAAGGCTGTGGTGTGTCAATAGATATGGCCTCTTTGACGCTAGCTGGCTGCTCTGCGGGCTCCGGCAAACGTAGCGTGAGACGATCGCCGGCATATCGTTCTTGCCACGCGTTGATCCCGCCAATGAGTACAGCTGCTCGACTGACAGTAATATTGTGCTCATTCAGAGCGTCTTGGTACCAGCCTGCCACTCGTGGCCCTCTTCCGCGACTGCTGCCGCAATGAAACAGGACGACTTTGTGAAGCGACAAGATTGGCAACAGTGCGGGAAGTGTGGCCAGAAACGATTGCGCTGGCAGATTGACAGCGCCCTTGATGCAAATACCCTTGTGGCGCAAGGGATTCAGCCGGTATGAAGGCTTAGGCAAGTCGGATGGCCTACCTCAAAGTCGGTCCTACGGACGTCGACAACGAGTATATCCTCGTTCGCGAGCAGCATAGCGTGCACGTCTTCTGCAGATAGACTCGAGGGCTGAGTGATCTGATCGGCCATGCTGTACGGTCAAGCTGGACAGATAGGAAGGTGAATGAGAGGATGCGCATGGGTGTAGACGGAGGTTGTGAACCAGATTGGCAATGATTTGCAATGCCGGTTATCGCATCTCATCGATCTCATCGATAATGCAGATCGCCACAAGACCGGCATCATCGTTCGCACGTCGTCCAAGCTATCAAGCAAGACGATGCGAACGCTCGCAACCATGGCAGAGCAAACAATTGCTCGATACCGACCCTACGCTCATGCATCACCCGCCTGGGTCAATGAGCTCGAGCTCGAGAAAGTCATCGAATTAGCGAAAACTCAAGCCGTCAAACCGAAGATATTGGTTCTCTTTGGCAGTTTAAGAGAGAGGTAAGCCCCATTCTCGGCGATGGATGCTATACTGACTACCATGCAGGTCGTTCTCCAAGCTGACGGCCTATGAAGCGGCTCGCATTCTCGACAGGATAGGCGCGGACGTACGCGTTTATGACCCTACAGGTCTGCCTATGAAGGACGAGATCTCAGTCGAGCACGAAAAAGTACAAGAGCTCCGCGCACTCAGTCTGTGGAGTGACGGTCACTTTTGGTGCTCGCCCGAGCAGCATGGCACCATGACAGCCGTCTTCAAGAATCAGAGTCTGTTGCAATTCTGTCTCTGTCACAGTCATGAGCTGACACGAAAGCAGTCGACTGGATTCCACTTTCCACAGGTTCCGTCAGACCGACACAAGGTAGAACGCTCGGGCTCTGTCAAGTGAACGGCGGGTCGCAATCGTTCAATACAGTCAACCTGCTACGACAACTCGGTCGATGGATGCGCATGTGGACCGTGCGTCCTTGCGTGCGTGGTCTTTGCGAGCTTCTCACACGTACACGCAGATACCCAATCAGTCATCTATACCCAAAGCATGGACGCAATTCGACAAGAGCGACAGATTGATGCCTTCTGGTAACCGTGATCGATTGGTCGACGTCTGCGAAGAGCTCGTCAAAGCGACCATACTGCTTCAGCCCCATCTGGAACTCCTCGGTGATCGTTACTCAGAGCGTGCAGAGCGAGCAGAGCATGGCCGACTGCGCACTCAGGCCGAGACCGAGCTGGCCAAAAGCGCACCCTCCTGAGCGTGCTAGCCTAGTCCATCGCAGGCACAACACGGATCTGCGTTTCGGCAGCACAAAGTTGCTTCGCGTGCGGGCGCGCAGACGTGGCTGGTACACATGTACACTGCAAGAGGCGGCAAGCGCGCAGCTACAAAGCTACCGACATGCCGACCATCATGATCACAGGCAATGTCCAGTCACCAAAAGTTCGCGAAAAAGAACCGTGGCGAGTGTTATTCGCCAGATGCACCATGTTTGTCTTAGTGTCCGCTACGGATCGAATCATTGATCTATTCCTCGAGCTTGAGCGCTTGAGCGTGCAGAGCGGGAACAACAATCGCCATCTGGCTCTATTCGCAGCCATATGGGAACCACTTGCAGTCAGAATGCTGCGAATCATGATCAGCGGAGCTGGCATCCGGTAAAGCTTGACCGACAGCTCTACAATCGGCTTGATTGTCGAAATCATCGCAATCATAGTCGTCATCGCCACCATCGTCTTGAGGCTGTCGTCTCTGGTCAATCAGAGGGGAAGTCTGGACGGTCTATGCGTACACGGGCTGCAGCAAGTAAAGCGAGCGTCATGAGCATCAACATCGTCAGCTTCATCTCGCAGGTATTTGGGCTGATTCGACGCGGACCGGCAGAAGCGCGCAGTGCAACCGTGTGCGGCCTTGTCGTACTGAACACGGACGGAAAGCAAGATATGCACGGCGAGTCAGAAGAGGAGATAAAGCAACAGCGGGGTTTGGAACCAGACACTTATTGCTTCTGACATGCGGGAGGCCGCGAGCAAGCAATCGATGCGCGTCAGAGGCTGCATTGTGACATATGACACACTCGGGCGATCAGGTCTCTTTCAGCGAGGAGCCATCGTAGTTGCTGAAGATTGCTCTGTTGTCCACTTCAGCGTCATTGTGAGCTCGTCATCAAGTGAACACTTGCTGGTGGCCGATTGGCAAGCCCGCCACGGATCCTGTGGGTCCCAAATGCCAAGATTTGAGGACCTTAGCACTGTCATACGTGAAAGTGACATGGGCACTCCAGTGGCCGAGGGCAGTCTGTACCGACATCAGCATGATCGAATACTCCTCAATGATGGACTGACGAAATGAAACTTGGAGAACGAGTCGGCGCCCGACTTGCCACTTCCTTCAAACGTAGCGATGCACTCTGTGCCCGGTCCGATCATTATCGAGCAGGCCGAGATGCCGGTGAAATAGCCAGTCCTATGTGGCATGCTCAATGGAAAAACTTCGGTCGTGTTGACGACTCACTGCTTATCGTAAGTAACGCCAAACTGCCACGAAGGCTCGTTCTGGCCGCAGAATCAGCATGCCGCAGGGAAGAAGCGGATCGGACTTGCATGGAAAGCTGAATCGGCAATCCACATCGTCCAAGGCAGGCTGTAATCTTTGGGTTTCGCAGCCAAAGCTGCACTTGCAGTGCCGGCAGCGATGCCTGTGGCAATCATCATGATGAATGTCGAGCGCATTCTGGTCGGTATAGTCAAGATGATTTGCGTATGGCGAGGGGAGTCTGGATTGTCTTTGGTTGGCTTGAGCGATATCTCACGTTCCCGGCCGCGTCGGGCGACAGAGAGACGGCAACTTATGACATCCGACACCTTGACGTTGCTCCTCGCTGCGTATCATGGTCACCGCGCTTGTTACCGTGCGATCGCCGATTGCTGAGAATGTGTGACAAAGCCGAAGATATCGTGTTGGCGCCCAGCAAAGATGCAATCTGTCGCGACATGGCCAATGAAAATGCTTGAGATTACTTCGCGTAGGGTATCTCGTGTGCATGGACATCGGTTGTCATGAGATACTTGTCGATAGGATCCTCTCCGTCGACGCTTCCAAATTTGAGATGCCACGAGAAGAATTCGCCACCGGTCTTCGAGTGGTACATACGAAGATGCATCGACCAGTGATAAGGTCTCGTGCTTTGTGGACGTATCAGACTGTATGCAGCAGGGAGATGGAGAGGCGACTGACAACCAAAAGTCAGAATAGTGGATGCCATCGATGATGCCGTGGCCCTCGGCTTGCGCGTGGCAAGCAACGACTGCTTTGCCCGTTGACATGATGAAAATCTGTATCCAACTGAGACGTACGTTCTCCATCCTGGCAGCTGATTGGCTCGTCGAAATAAGCATGGCTGCGGCACCATGTCAGCTATCGCAACCGGCGACAATAGTAGAGCGAGGACAGACACAGAATCGAAGTGCAACGAGAAATGAGCAAAGGGTGAATCAGACCCTTTCGGCGCGGTCATGCCGAGTTCGTAGACGATTGGCACTTGCGCCCGCTTGTCGAGATCCATCACGTCGCCAGTGTTGAGCGTAGGCGTGGCAACGCTGAAGCCGACAGCAGCGACCAGAGCGAAGCCAGCAAGAAGCATTGCCGATAACCTCAACTTGGCAAACCTTCCGATTAGTGCTTGCTCTGACGAGATGATTGAGTCCAAAGGGAGCCTGGCAATTCGCAACGAGATCCAGTCACGATGTGCTGGAGCTGTGACGTGCGACGGGTATACCCCAATCTATCTATCCACCGTCGACGCGACCGTTGCGGTGTATCACCGTAAACGGATGTGACCGGTCTTACGCGGAGACACCGCGCGGCGAGTGAGGTTAGGCATGCATCAGTCGAGGTTCAGAGCGGAACGCGCAGCAAGGCAGCATGTTGCGGGTAGGCGTGACAATGGGTCTGCAATCCGAAGGGCATTCGCGAGATCCGTCGAGGTCTTAAGGCTGAGCAAACTAAGACTCGGTGAGGGGCTCGCCATTCGAGTTGAGGAAGATCTGACTGCAGTACGAGCTCTGTCAGCTTGGTGCGATGCGTATACTGCGAAGGCCTCACTGGTCCACGATGGGCAGACCGACCACACTTCCAGTTGGCTCGAGACGGTACGAGATGATATGGCCCCCAGACGAATGCAAGAAGGTAAGATGAACGCTCCACTGGCCAGGCGAAGTCTTAGACGGAATGTGAGTCAGTGAGTCGTCCCAGCGTTAGATAGCATACGAAGTGGAACTTGGAGTACGAGTAGAGTTGGTATGCTTTATGGCCCTCAGGAGTGGCAACGCAACTTTTGCCTGGTCCATTGACGACTTGGCAAGATGCTGAAGAATAGTAGCCACTGCGATCAGCGTCAGGCTAAGACCGGACTCCAATAAGTATTTGGCGGACGAGATATCAAATGTGAGGTCGAATTGCCAGGAAGGCTCGTTCTGCGCCAGGAGTCAGACGAGCACATAACGCCATGCAGCACTTACCTGGTAATCTTTATCAGTGATCCACATCGTGTATGTGAAATCATCACGTTTCTCGAGGGCAATAGCGGCTGCCATCGCAACGAAGGCCGCGAGAACGGCAAGCATCGTAGAAAGTATAGAGCGCATCTTGCTTATCACGCTTACAGAGCTGGCTTTGTAGGGAGCTTCCGATCTCCTGCAGTAGACTGCTGATGTGTATGAGGACTGGGCTGGAGAAAGTGATCTCTGAATATCGGGACCAATCAGCTCAATACGTAGCCATGACGACATGACATCGTGTCAGGCGAGAGATGGGCGAGCGATAGGGATGCATGTATCGTCAACCCGGCCGTCGAGGTACAATCGTCAGATGCCATGATCCTCGTAAGGAATATTGACAGGCTTTGCATCGCTCGTCCAGAGCTGCGGATTGACAATGTCCTGTTTGTACACGCTGCCAAACTTGATACGCCATGCCAAGATCTGTCCGCCTGGGGTATGGTAGAAGCGAACGTGTACACTGAGTCACTCTGAGCAGACACTAGAAGAGCAGACCAAAGAGCGTACTTGAATAGGTAGTCGATCGTCTGCGGCTGTGATCAGCGCCAATGAAGAGATCGACTGAGAGACGTACAAAGTGGAAGTCCGAGTAATCGAGCACGCCGCCGTTGCCGTGGCCTTCAGGCGCACTGTCACAATCTGCTGATCTGATTTAGCTATGACAGGAGCTGTACGCAAACTCAAACACGTACCGACGTTGTCGAGGGTCGTACAGCGAGTGGCCTTGCCGTAGTAGTAGTACCTATCTTTGTCTGAGCACGAGTCAAAGCCCAACTTTTAGCAGGCTCACAGATCTTCATATTCGAGAGCAAAGATGAAGCGAGCCTGCACTTTTGGATCTTTGGCCTGAAGGGTCATGATGTACGCATTCTCGGTCTGACGTTGCACGATGGGTTTATTCACAGTCGTCCTGGGGCCGGTACTGCTGCCTGTGGTAGTCATGCCGGAATCGTCGGCAGAGGCATTGTCGTTGGCGCTCAGCGGGCTTGCCGAGCAGGACAATGCGAGGAGAGCGACGAGAAGAGTCGAGAGTATCGAGACTTGCCGGAATCGCATGTTTGTCAAAGCACGCTTGAGCGAGCGGTTTGGCGCAAACACGACAGCTGCTGCGGGCATCCCTGCGCCTCACACAGACCAATCTGACACATTACACCAAAGTGCACTTCACAGGAGCAGAAGTATGCGCGGTTGCTGACGATGATCATCAGAGAGTGACTCGGAGCGAGTGAGGGGGTAGATAGATTCACCAGCTCGAGCTCGATATCGATAGCGGGCAGGCACGCGACGAATTTCTGACGGCAGTGACGACGAACGGCTCGATGAATCTTGGCTTCTTCTCGGGCAGCCCGCTCGACGTCGAGATCCTCCTGGACGGCGAGCACGAGCGGAAGCAGCTCGAGATCAAAGCAGATGGCAAGGACAAGCGAGAGCGATGTCCCATCTACTATGACGGCGAGAGCGTCAAGGGACTCGTCCGTCACTCGGTCATCAGCCACTGCGCAGACTGACAATAGAATGGCAGGCTACAGTCAGAGTACGGGACGGCAAAGCGATCAAGCATGAAGGCATCAAGGTCGAATTTGTGGGCAGCATAGGTTAGCATGGGCCCGGTTCAGCTCATCGACGCGCTGAGCAAAGCTGCCGCTTGCAGAGATGTTCTACGACCGAGGGAATCACTACGAGTTCCTCTCACTAGCGCAAGAGCTAGCATCTCCCGGCGAGCTCAGATCAGCTCAGACGTTCGAGTTTGAGTTCAAGAACGTCGAGAAGCAATACGAGTCCTACACGGGCATCAATGTCAAACTGCGCTACTTTGTGCGCATCACACTCTCGCGGAGGATGGCAGACGTAGTCAAAGAGAAGGAGCTGTGGGTGCACTCTTATCGGATGCCGCCAGACTCGAACAATTCGATCAAGATGGAAGTCGGCATCGAGGACTGTCTCCATATCGAATGTGCGCGTCTCTGCATGGTTGTGAAGTTCTATCTGATGGTCGAGCAGTCGAGTACAACAAGTCAAAGTATCATCTCAAGGACGTCATCGTCGGCAAGATATACTTTCTGCTCGTGCGCATCAAGATCAAGCACATGGAGCTCTCCATCATCAGGCGGGAGACAACAGGCGCGGCGCCGAACCAGTACAACGAAAGCGAGACGATCACCAAATTCGAGATCATGGACGGTGCACCCGTCCGCGGCGAGACGATACCCATCCGACTCTTCCTGGGCGGATTCGAGCTCACGCCGACGTTCAGAGAAGTCAACAAACGCTTCTCTACGCGCTACTATCTCAACTTGGTGCGTCCTATTTCCTCATGCACAACCCACGCTGACGCCCCAGTAAGGTCTTGCTGGACGAAGCCGCACGACGGTACTTCAAGCAGCAAGAGATTACGATCTTTCGCAAACCCGAGAACTAGCCCCGCAGTGACGCTGTACCAACATGTACACAAACCGACGAATGCAATTCCCCATACAGCGAAACCTTTACGAAACATACTGAGGCACGAACATCGGACCACCTTTACGTGCGGCACAACACGTCGAGCAAACTCCCTTGCTCGATCGAGTAGCGTTGCCACACTTGCGACAGACATACTTTGCCTGCCTACTACGATGACCTGGTGGCTCGCCCGCAGGCGTCTGAGGACCCGAATGAGATCGAATGACTTCTTGCGGTTCATACACAACTTGCTGATAAGGCGCAGGCGCAGCATGTTCAGGCTCGGGCACAGGCGCATAGACGGGCTGGAAGTAGCCTTGTGATTGCTCGGCTGCATAGCCGGGAGACTGGCCTGCCTCTTGCCCGTATGGCACCTGCAGAGCCGGTACACTCTCACGTGCAGGCGAACGTGGTACGGGCTCAGCGTGACCGTTGGCTCTCCTCGTCCTCGCAGCTTGCACGCAAGTCGAACACACGAGCTTTGACGAGCGAGTGGCTGCACCACATTTCTGGCAGGTGTACTTTGCTCCTTGTGCCCTTGCGATCCCAGGTGACTCTGCTTGGACCTCTACGTGACCCTCGGCCAGACCAGGCGCATACGTTGGCATCTGCGTCGGCGTTACATAGAGGTCTTGCACCTGTGGGGGCACGCCATTGTCTGCTCTCATAGGGTCATGAGCTCCCGCCAGGAACAGCGACGAGGGAACGCACTGTTCCGGGCTGGCTTGGCGTTGCCGTGTGTGACATAGTAGAAGAAGTTGCTCATCCTCAGAGGTCGACCGTTATCGAGGAGAGGAAGGGAAGGAATGTCATCTGGGTCGATAAGTCTAGAAGACGGTCTGCGCCATCGGGACTGTTACCGTCTCGCGCGAGATGTTTCTGAGCGTTCCCAAGTCAGATCGGAAGTGATCAGGCGATCCCGCGAAGAGAGCTTCTCCACAGAATATCCGCCGATGGACAGTCGCCTGCTTCTTCAGCTCGGTCGTCCTTCTCGGCCATGTGGCCATACACTATTCCCACGGCCTTGTCCCCCGCAGATCTTCTTTGCCAAGCGTCCATGAACGCATGAAAACTCGGCTCTACATGCCATCCCGCACTCCTCGAGAACTCGTTTAGTAAGATGCAGACGAGCGAAGTGAAGCCAACACTGCAGCAAGCTGCACCATCTCAAACATACTCGGCTCAATCTCCTGCTATGCATCAAGCTCAAGGATCTGCTGCTCCCCAGATCGTCGGGCCAGCGACAGTGTCAGGAACCGCGACCTCGCATGATCCCGAGAAAGCCCAGCACAACGGCGGCCTTTCGAAGGTCGCCGCAGCGCAACCCATCAATGCTGTTCCAATCACGCAGCAGCCGGTGAGCCTCGAGTCGTTATACGCATGCGGCTTGTGACGGCCTCATAGCGTCCCATGGGCTCCATGCTTGCTGCAAACCATAACGTTCAAGGCCTGCCAAGGGACGTAGTCGGCAAGCGAGCATGGACTTTTGGTCTTTGCTCGCGTCGCACGCTCTCGTCTTGCTGCCTGCCTTGTCTGTGCCCTTGCATTGTCTACGGCCAAGTTCAAGGACGCTATGACGCCTTGAAGACGACAAACCAGCGTGCGTGTTTATGCTACAATGAGATGCCGCGTGCTGATATGCAGAATGCAGCGAGCGAATCGAACGAGGCGATCAATCCCCCTTGTCTGCTCTGGTGCTTACTCTCTATCGTCATCCCGCCCAATTGTATCTTCCTAGTGCGCGCTGCCTCTGTCTCGGCAACCAGTAGTCTGCTGACTCAGGTCGTCGTCAGCCGAACCAGCGCGCACAGGTTGCATCTCGCTACGATATCCGGATTGATGGAGTCAACGAGATTGTGCTTTCTCTTTGCTGCACGCCGTGCGTACTGTCGCAGACAGATCAAGAGCTTCGTCTCGAGGAGACCGCTCTTCGGGCCCATTGACCACTACATGACATGCTCTGTATAGTTCGACATCATTGCACACTAGCTTTTACGACGACAACAGATTACGTACGTCAGCAAGGTCTAGATCGTCACATACGAAGGATTCCGCTCGAAGAAGATAGGCTTGCGCGCACGTTTCTTATTGCGCACGGCTCTTGCCGACGATCGTCTAGCCCCACTGACTATCTCCTCCGGCGGTACAGACGACCCATCGGCTTGCTGAGCAGGATTCTCGCTTGCGCTCGAGAGCAATGGCGGTTGCGGTAAGGATCTGACAGCGCGACATGGCCAGCAAGTCGTCTTGAGCAGATGTCCATGCACCCCGCTAGGACGGTTCCTGACGCTGCATGTCAGACCAGGCACGAGCACCGCTCTGCACGAGGGGCAAATAGTCCGTTTGAGTGCAGGTGAGGTTCGCAATGTCGCCTTTTGGGCAATGGAAGCCATCATCGAGCCTGTTGTCGCGTTCATCCGCTCAGCCGTTGCATGATTCTTGCTTCTCTTCGCTATCTTGGCATCGCTCCTTGCCCCGCTGGCATTGCATGAGACTGTTGGCGGTCCGGGTTGAGTTGCAGAGAGGCCAGCCAAGAAATTGCCAGCTTGCTTGAGGAAAGAGATGCGCAGAAGAAGCTCCCTACGCGTACGGCGAGTCAGACGTGCGCAGGCCCATTGCCTGCCGTACTGACTTGTTTTGCACCTGTGGCTCTTTTCGGTTTGCCTTTGCAGGCATGATCACTTGCGCACTGACGCGATGTCGCCTTTTGCAACGTTATCCTCGAGAATTGGATCCCAAGCCCTGATGTGATCGCCCGTCTTTGCACACGGCCACGTACACGCTTCGGGTCTGAGCGAAGTTCTCGTGGAGAAGCGTGAACGCTAAATTGACGATGTCGTCCCGCCGCGACGCCGAGCGGACGATCTTGGCAAAAACACGGTGCTCTGTCCTTCCCGCTCTTCCCTCACTGGCTGAGCGCCATGTAGAGACCTCCCCCTCCGCGTTGCTCTCAGAGACCTCCAAACAAGATGTCTGGCGAAAAGGCTGCTTACAATCCTCAGCTACCTGCACCCATCATGCAGACTCAACAACATCCGTATGCCGCACAACAAGGCCATCAGGCAGTTCCTGCTATGCAGCACCAGCAAGCGCCCGTCTATGTTCAGCAGCCTATGCATCAGGTAACGCGTCCATCTGCGAGCATGCGCGCCGCAGTGAGATTGATTCGTGTCGCAGCATGATGAGAAAGGCATGCCCTACCGACAGCATCCTCAGCACATGCAGCAGCCTCAGGCTATGCCCGCCATGGTCGCTACAGCTGACAACATTCTCGGTCGTCCCCGCGATGCCGACGGAAAGCGCGAATGGAGTTACGGGCTATGCTCCGGCAAGACCTGCAGCGGCTGCCTCTTCCCTTACTTCTGTAGCTGCATCTCCTACGGTCACAATGCCCAGCGCTACGAAGCGCTCAGAAATACAGGCAGACGTGAGTTTGCACGTTACGTTCCACGCTGATCATGCACTCACTGGGCCTGACCATTGCAGCCAAGACGAACCCAGAGATCTTCAGTTCACCCTGCATGCTCTGGCTCCTCGTCTCGTGCATCATTCCGCCATCGTGTATCTTCCTCCCCGGTCAGCGCGAGCAGATCGCGTCGAGATACGGCATTCGCACCAACGGATGCTCCGAATGCTGCCTCTCGATCTTCTGCGCACCTTGCATGCTTTCGCAAGCTTCGCGCGAGCTCGAACTCGAAGAGCAAGCCATTCGATAGACTATCCGTTCACTTCATGGACTTTACGGGGTTGTTAGGGACTGAGTTGTATCGCTGGTGCGAACAATTGCAACGTGTGCACAACATACATCATAGCATCAGAAATTACGGACGGTTTGACCGCCAAAGGATCGCCTGATCGATCCTGCCCACCGGACTTGCAGAACTCGCATCGTGTGGACTATGTCTAAATATTGCGCAGACTCGCAAGTGTGCTACGAACAGCAGACGAGGCCGTCGAGTATAGATCCGAGCCACATTCTGCCGTCCTCTTGCCGACGCACGAATAGGCACAATGGTCAGCAGCTTTTCTTGTCCGCTACTGCCGCATAGATCGTCGCAGGCACGGCAAGGCTGTACTGCGGGCGGTAGTCGAGCTGCCGTCTAGCTCCTCGAACCCGTTGAGGAGCAGTCACTAGCGCTTGACCACGTCGCGCCACTGTGGTACGCAGCTGTGCTGCTCATTCCTGTCGATATCCCAGTGTGCGCTACTCTCGGGTGGGCAGGAGCAGCTACAACTGGTTCAGCCAGTCTACTTTCAGGGAAGAAGCAAGAGCACTCACTTGCAGCCGAGGTTCTTCGGGCGGGGACAGTGGGTGAAGAAGTCGTGATTGTACGCGAAATCCTCAAAGCTGTTCCGAACGTCAACCAGCTTCTCCTGATGAACGGTCATGACTCACTAGTGGACTTTCTCCCGGCCCGCGAGGAGAGCGAGCGCAAGAGTGCGTACAGGCGCATCGCCCCACCTTTCGGTGTAGAAGTGACCTGTATCGTCCAAGGCTTTGAAGAAGTTCTGGTAGGAGACCGAGCGAAAGAAGCGCAGATCGCCAATCTCGAAATTTGTCCAAAAGTGACAGCGATCTAAACCAACCTTGTCAGCATCTTTTGAGCAATGCACAGGAGCTGGACGGACTGTAGCTCTCCGTGAGGGCGCCCTGCTCGATGACGAAGGGCCACAATGAGCTTGGCGTCATATGCTGGGCGTACCGGTAGTTCTGGACATGTCTAAAGAGCGTCGGGATCGTGTTGGCGCTTTCCTTGATCGTGATGACGAAGCCGTAGACTTTGCGTCTGATTGCCATGAACCGGAAAGGGTCATATGTAATGTCACAATAAAAAGTCACTGCTCGCTCGCAAAATGAGCAACAGAAAGGAGACAGCTGCAGCCAGGACTGACCTCCCGGCTCGAGTCGCCAATACCAATCATAGGGTGCCAGAGAACGGTGTCGCGCAAAGGTACCGCTATAGAACCTGCACATATTGTGGTAACTCTCAAGACCGGCATACTGAACGCCTTGCTTTGCTTGGCGGGCAAAGCTCTCTCTAAAATGGGTAGCGTTCTGATGACTGGGTATGTTCCACTCGCTAGGCATGACTCTGTCGTACTGCACCGCAGCATTGGCTGGCAGCGAATCGCGAATGTTCGACCTGAACTCCTCAGTGAACTCCTCTTCGTTGAGCAAGAGGTACGGGTAACGAAAGAATCTGTTGAAACGTTGCTCAAAGTTGACCAAGGTCGGCATGAGCTCTTTCATATCCGAGTTCCTTGCGAGGATGAGAATGACGCCTTTCTCCCGTGGCAGAGCAGTCGTCAGGCTCGTGTCAGAACAGCCACGCATGGCCGGATCGATCGACAGCTGAGGTTCTTGCAACATAGAACGAACACCGGTCCCGCCCAAGAAACAGAGGAAAAGTATGGCAAGTGCGAGGAGAGCAAGGGAGCCGATGAGCCGCCGTTTGCCTCGTTCGCGTTGTTCTTGGCCACTGTCGCTCGTGAACGCTGTCGAGCTCGTCGGGTGTTCATGGACGGCATCATAGCCGTTTGTCCGGACTCGTTCATACCGAGCGGGCGGCATGAGTATCAAGACGTGACCAGTCCAATCAGCCCTGCGAGAGGTGGTCGTTGTGGAGTAGTTATGGTCGTCTAGGGAGGCCTGTGCTGTACTTTTGCAATCTATTAGTGCTCACTTGGCCGGACCATAGCCTCGTCTGCCGATTTATAGGCACGGGGGCATCTCCGAACGGTCTGCTTTCCGGGCCAAGCTCGCAACCCGTCCGCTGTCCCGGCTGTGTCCCGTGCTGTCGCGCAATTTCGTCGTCGCGTTCGGAATTTCTGTCGGTGCAAGGGGTTAACGTCGTTTGAGTTTGGCCGACTGTAGACGCTCAAATAGGGTGCGTCATGCTCGAGCAGAGCGGTCCGCAGGGACTCCTAGGCTCGCTGAGCACACTCGCGCGTGACCACACTGGCTTGTTTGACCGAGTCGACAAGCTCTTCAACCGAGTGGCAGCGCCAAACAGGCTACACAGCTCGATACCGCTCTCTCTGTTTGGCATAGTCCATGCTGTCCGCATCGGTCATGCACTCGCAGAAGCGCAGCGACGCACAGACAAAGATCCACGCGGTATCAAACCCACGCTCGCTCAGCAATTTCTTGCGCCTATCATCTTGCTCTTTTCTGCCAGTACCATCATAGGTGCATCTCACCGTTGGAGGGTGCTGGCCAAGCTAACAGCTCCCTCCACAGCCGTGCTGCTCGGGGAAGTGCCGAGTTGGCTCTATTCGCCCTGGTCGGTGCTGCAGTATGGCATCACAGGCGTCCTCATCGCCCGCACGCCCTTGTACAAAGCGCTCGTTTCTATACCCATCGGACTCATCGGTCCTCTCTACGCCATCGTAGACGGCTTCGGTCGCACGCTCGGCTCGACTCTGTACGGCGTAGATGTCGTCAGAGCTCACGCATCCCCTCTCGTCGCTCATTCGCTCTGGGCCAAGCTCATCATTGGTACCATCTCGGGCGCAGCAGGTGGGCCCGTACTCGATACCATCAACGGATTCAGTTCTTCTTGGGGCATCACACGCAACCCGAGCTGGCTATCGCTGGCCAACTGGAATGTCGATATCTGGGGCGCACTCGTCGTCTCACTCGTCTATGTCATCCTCACAGAAGGCGCGGGCGGTATCGTTGAGGGTGTCCAGTCAGAAGCGATAGTCGACAGGCCAATCGCTAGAGCAATCTGCTCTGTCTTGCTCACTATCCTTATTTCTGTGTCGCGACTCGGTCCAATGACGATGATCTATCAGCGACTGAACCAGCAGCGGAAGCGTGACGGCGGCAAAGTCAAGCCGACTGCACAGGCAGCACGTAAGGAGAAGCAAGCGATCGAGCTGTCCGCCAAGCCATTGCCTGCGAAACCCATCTCGAGCGCATCCAATGCCTCAATGAGCAGCGACACGCCTCGTAAGCGCAGGAACGCCCGCAAATCAGAACTATAGACGCTGTTCAATTCCTCAATGGTCGTGCTAAAGAGGTACTACTGCATTCGGAGCGCGTATGCTGGCAGGCCAGCGGCTCATCAATCGACAAAGCTTAAGTAGTGAGTTCTAGACGATTGTGATCTAACGATGTTGGCTGGGGTTGTATGAATTATCCAGCATGTAGACGAGCTCAGCTAGCTTGCCGCTTTCTGGCCTTCCGGTCGCTTGAACTCCGGCGGATCTTGACTACCGCCCGACTTGATCGCTGCCTCGGAATCTGAAGCAAGCTTCTCGCTCCATCCTGCTCGCGCTCCCTCAACGCGCTGATGATTTTCGACTGCCCTCCTTACCTGGTATATGATCGAGAGAGCTCTTGGTCTCGCCTCTGAGCTGTTTCTGTTCGTCCGAGCATCAGTGACCGCGTAGCTCGACATCGGAGACTCACTTGTTTCTCCTCCTCCACTTCCTTGGGATCGTCCGAGTGCCCGTGCGTACCGGGTACGAACCTACGTTGCGACAATCTTATTGAGCATGCCAAGCTAGGCCATGCAGGTCAAACTGACCTAGTTGCAGAGCTCGTAAATGGCCGAGTGTAAGCTGCGAGTGAGCCGCTCCTCCGCGCCAAGTTGGACAATGCCATCTTGTCCTGCGCTTCAGCCCGGTATGAGCGAGTGTTACTTCAGAACAAAGCTCAAGCGACGCACTGTAAGCCAATAGCAATCCTCGGATTATTCGAGATTTCAGTTTCCGATGATGCGCGCATCGATGCATTTCGATTGACACCCATCAGACCATGCTCCAGCTAGCGCTGAGCACTCTATGCACGTCGACCTTCGCAAAGCTGTATCAGTGCTTTGAGGCCGAGCGTGATGGCGCCTTGGAGCTCGTCAGTGATCATGAGAGCGACGTGCTCGCTCGTGAGTGCCACAGTGAGTCCGAGACCGCGGACGGCATCTAGAGTCAATGTACGAGGCTTTGCTCGTAATTTGACTTGGAAAGCAATACACGTTAGCTCGCCCGGTTGTCGAGACAGGCGAACGGAGATGAACATGTTCGGCCAGATCATATCCTGTCGCAAGTAGGGTAATGCGCCAATGGATACGCAGATAGACTGCGTCAGCACCTGATATGACAGAGCACGCGCATGGAGCTGGTGCTGCAAACAGAGCGTTGTCGCGCGTAGTCTGCATTGCTCGTAGATGCTCGCCAGGTGATCGAGTGCTAGCGTCTCCCGTGCTTCGTCATCGTTGTATTGCGCAGCTTGGAGCACCCGCCTGATGCCAGTAGAGATCTCTCGCTCAATGGATACCGGTCGGGTTTGCAGCAGACGATACTCTGGCTGCTCATCGCATGCGATCGATAGTAGATAGTCGGCGAGATCTGGCAGAGCAATGAGAACGGTCTCGCACCCACTACGTCCGGAGATGTCATGATCTGCTAGTAGATCTCTCTTTAGCTGAGGCTACATGGGCAGTAAAACATCACTCGCCTGAAGGGTCAAGCAACGAACCAGGCTGCTTGTGCCAGTCGAGGCAGTCAATGGCACCTTCGACAGCTAGCCGACGCGATCTTGCAATGACACTCCGTATCGTTTTGACGTTGGCTAAAGACTCGGCTGTAAGCGTTCTAGCATCCGAAGCGATATAGGTACGTAATCGAACCGGCACGTCTCCTTGTGCTCGCAGATGCACCCTGCCGGATTGCTGATCGACCGAAACAAGCAAGATCGCGCTACCAGCTAGCTTGATATGCAAAGCTGGACGGTCGTCTTCTATCCGGTCATCTGCAACGTCTTCGCCGAGCTCCCTCATGATCTGACGCAGTATCATGCGAGCATGGTGTAAGGTGGCTACTTTCAACAGATCGTCGACACCTTTGCCATCGAGCACTTCGAGAGCGGTCAAGGGGATGACGGTCGGGCCATCGGGCCGCCATTCTGTCCTGAGCAGCGAGGCAAGTCGAGGCGCATCTGGCGAGCGCAAATGTTTCCGCAGCCGACTTGTAGCAGTCGGTGACGGATTACTGTCGACGCTCAGTATGATAGACGAATGAGAAATCTCTTTCTTGCTGTCCCGTGCATTTGAATGATCCCTATTGCACCACGCGTAAGCGGTGCTGCGCGAGGCGGGCCCAATTGACCTACCGCCAATACTCCAGCACGAGCTGCTGACGGTCCTGCGATAGCCTAGAAGCAAGACCGCTTCCTCGCGGCGTCCGCGATAATGCCATTGCCTGCGAGCCAGTCAGCCTGTTGAGCACGCCATGCGGCGTGGCTCACATCAGCATGCAAGACGACGAGCTTGTGACATAGCGCTGTCCGGTTGAGATATTCGAAGAGTCGTTGCAGTGCAGCTGCATCGTCTGTCGTCTCGCAATCTCGCGCTAGCTCGATATTTGTCAAATCGACCAGATCATCTTTTGCTTTGCCCTTGGCTTGAAGGGGTATAGCTATGCCAGATCGCTTAGCTTTCTGCTTCTTGGCAGGTTCTGAAGCTTACGTTCGCCCGAGCTGTTGTAGACGTCATACAGCCATCTTACATCGAGAACGTACCACCGCTGCTCCTCACCGTCTTGATCGATGTCCTCATCGTCTGCGGTGTTCTCTCTGGCCTCGTTCAAATTTATCGGGCCGAGAGTGAGCACGACTTCGAACAACCCGGCTACTGATAGAGTGACCTTGCCGTCGTCTAGCTTGTCGACACGCATGCCGTCGGGTATCTCTGTCGCCACGGCTAGGCGGTATCTAATCTTGCGCGTCATCCTCTCCATCACCGAGAGCACAGTTTGATCGTCTAGGTACTCTGCCTCTGCGTACGCCTGAAAACAAAGTCAGCCAAGGCTACGCAGAAGCATGGATGAACTGACAGAGATGGCTTTGGGCAAGCGTCGATAGCTTCCCGTCGTCAGGAGATCTATCGCAGTCGTAAGATCATACTTTCGCACTCTGTTGAGAACTGAATGAGCGCAAACGAAGTTATGAACTCGTTAGGCCGACCTTGCAGCAATAGATTCGTCTTCTATGAGAGTAGTCAGGATTTGATCTGTCCGTTTAAACTCGTAGCCAAAGTCTTGCAGGAATGCAATCACATTCTGTCAGACTGCCACATCAGATCGAGCTCCCAGGAGATACAGTGCCCGTACAATGGCGCGCTGAAGGCCGTCGGTATGCTCTGACCATCGCAGGAGGACGAGCAATTTGATGAGCTGCTGCCGCGCAGACAGGACGAACTCGATGATCGCTCTCGGCCGCGCTCTGGCATCTTTGCTCGGCAGCCTGCGCTATGATCAGTCGACCGGACATCGTCAAGTCGCAGCACGAACACTTCGACGAGGTTCTGAAGATCTTTGAAGACATGTGTAGCCATGCCTTCCATCAGACGACCGAGATAGCACAGATCCTCTCCGACGATGGGCAACTCGGCCGTAGGATCGCGCGTCATAGGCGTATCTTCCTCTTGCTTAGATGTGAGCTCTGATGACGGTCCAGCTACCGCCATTGCATCCGTTCCATTCGCTGAGACGGGATGCGCAGGTATTGCTGACTTCGGCTGAGGGCCGCTGATAGCCTTGCTCGCGCTCGGTGGCGTAGTCGCTTTGACAGGCACGGCATTGGAGCCTTCCTGAGCCAGTGCTGCTGGCGCATGGCCATTGAGCGATCCCGCCATTGTCGGCTGAGGCGAGCCGTGAGGCTACAGAGCAGCCTACGCTGCACTGCGAGTGACTTTCGCGCCAAAGACTGCAGCACAGGGTCGCCAGTCCGCGTCAGAGTCTCGCTGGAGCCCTTGCTGACCGCATCATGGCTCTCACTGCCGCCAGCATCGTCTCTTCGAAACCGCCGTGCCACGTCGCCGCGAGGGACAAGATCAGACGTTGGTCCAGCCAGGCTGAGCATGGTCGATCACCGATCGCGCTAAGTCAATGTCGAGCCGACCTGCAGGGCTTGCAGAGCAGCTTTTCGCTCGGTCTGCCAACGCCAATGAGCCATGGCAGTCCAGAGACGCTTCTCTGTCATCGAAACAAGACGATCACGAGCGCTACTGGGCGTCTCCGTGGGTCTGCTTGGCTTTGTCCTGCTGTTGTCGAGTCATCAAGGCCATCACGAACACGATGAATTGCAAGAAGCGACAGATAGCACCGCTAGCCCGTCTCAAGCCTGGCATGAGGTGATCAAGTCCACATGGCGCAAAGAATGGATCAACCTCGAGTCGTACTACTCGTATACGACCGGACGTGACGTCGCGCCTGCAAGCTCCTACGACCCTAGATTAGCGACCGGCGAACGACCGTGCGATCCTTTTGCACAAGAAGGCTATCTTGATTACAGACTAGACGCAAACGAGAATGTGTCCTGGGTACCGCATGATGAACGCTGCTTGCCGTCACTGGATTGGCCGAGATTGCTGGCAGTGGGTGACCCGTGGATCGATCCTGGTCTGGACCAAGAGCGGAAAGACAAGCTTGCTACACCCACACCAGATACACTAGAAGCTCGCGCAAGCTTAGAATGGCTTAGAGGTAGAACCATCTTCATCCAAGGCGACAGCGTGGACCGCAACGCACTAGAATCCTTTGCCTTCCTGACGAGGAGGCCGTTTCAGCAAATGTCATACTTTACACGCGCACCAGCAAACCTAGACCCAGCCATGTCGAATATCACCGCCAAGAGCACGCGGGGTATACCCCGCATGCTCGAATTCCAAGCGCTCGATTTTCGTATTTTGTTCAACTTCTTCTATGGGTATGCACAGATCTGCAATGAACAAAGCCAGGCTCACGTCTGTACAGGCTCGATGATCAGGGTAGACATAGCAATGCAGGCGACTTCCACCCACCATCTCTCTACGAAGACCGCGTCGATGAACTCATGAAGCCTTTCATCGATATCTATACCAATGGAAAAGGTCCGGACATGATCAGATTCCACTCAGGCAGTAAGTCATCGCTGGTGCTCTGACATGCCCTACTGAGATCGGTACAGTGTGGGACCTTGTGGCCGTGCCCAGCCTGCCATTTGGAGACACAGCACACAAGGATGCAAGGTTCGACGAGCAACATAGACCACTGCATCCAGACCAGATCGACTGGTATACCCGACGCTACATGTCAGCCTTGCGCAAGCTTAGAGACACTTGGCCGACCATACCCATTCGGACACGATTGCTTCATCGGATTGGCGGCGAAAAGATGCGCAGCCTCGACAAATCTGATCTGTGAGCCGCACTGGATCCTTCGAGACCCACTTGCGCTGACACACACGTGCAGGAGGGTACAAAACATGAACCAGATCGCGAGGTATGCGGCAAAGGAGATGGAGATGCCATACCTCGACCTCGAGGATATCCTCACAGGCTATCACACGGGTGAGATGCACCCTGGCCTCTACCCCGCCAATGCTCTCATCGCACAGAGCACAATCCAGAGCGCATTTGTAGACTTTACTGGTGTATGACACTCCCGTGGCAGGTAGATAAGCAGTGATCATTAATCATTTGATGGAGCAAGAACGACGCGACTGTCGCGTCATCGAGTTGCTCGCTCAAGCGATTGAACGACGGTCGAGTTGACTTGCCTATGGAGCAGTTCGGAGTGCCTAGCAAGGCATTGCTGGCCTTTGGACTTGCCCAGTATGTGAGCGCACACAGCGCGCAGGCTGGCGAGGCGCATCTGAGCCGATCACAGCTCTCTCCGAGCTCAGAGTCTCCCGCGCCTTCATCCTCGCCTACACGCTCTCGTACAGGACTAGCGCCGCCATCTACAGCAGTCAAATTAGCACATCATGCACTCAGCATGCGCGATCAGCTCGCTTCTGCCGTTGATTGGGTCAGAGCAGCTATCGAACAGAGACCGTCTTTCTTGCTTGAACCCAGCTTGCCTCCTCCCGCTGGCATCCCGACTACACAGAAGGGCAAAGAGAGAGCGACCGACGAGAACAAGAGACCAGTGTACGAGTACATTGTGCCCTATCTCGTCCAAATCGTCCTCGCGTTACCAGAGAGCGAATTCGAGCACTCTGAGCATTTCGTCGAGCCTGTCCTACCTCGTACGACCACGAAGCCTCGAAAGCGGATGAGCATGTCACCGAGGAAGCCTGGTCTGCGATCGCCGCGGAGCTCACGATCGCCGCGCTCGCCAAACAAGGACGAACTCGCAACGCCAGAGTCATCCATCGTACGCTCGGCAGAGAACGCTTTGTCGACTCTGCTGATCAAGCTGCACACTGGCGAGATCTTGCGGTCGAAAAGTTATACGGCCAAGCCAGATGTTGCTCACAATCTCCAAAGACTAGCGGTGGCCATGCTCCATCATCTCGTTCGGCCAGATCCGCTAGAGTCAGCCAGCACGTCCGCGGCTACTGCGCTGCCACAGACACATCAGTTTTGGTCGAGTCATATAGCTGACGAAGACGACGAAGTAGCACGGCTGCTGATCAAAACGCCTGAAGCTGCTCTGCGCGTATTTACGTTAGTCTATCGATCGCTGCACCGTTTAGCTCGTCAACAGCGCACAGCCATGCAGATTCCACGCACGCAGACAACGCTATCTATTTCTGCGAGGACAGCGGACCAATACCTGGACAATGCGCTCTCTCGCCTCGTTGCTGATGCAGAGCATGCTGCTCTTGCGAATGGCAATGCGATACCTTTCGATGCTCTCTTGCCCGTCTACCTCGCTCGCTTGCGGCTTGAGCCTATCATTCGGACATCCGTTGCGCACAAGGGCAGATGCCTGACTGCTGCGACAGAGTTAGCTCTCGTCATGCTTGACCATTGTTTGAACAGCCAGGCATTGGAGCCTCATCCTACTCAGGTCTTACTAGACGTCGTCATCATGCTCTGTCAGATCGTGTCTAGCGAGGCTCCCAACGCCATGACTGCCGATAGATTGGCGACGCAACAAGTCATTGCGGAATATGTCAGCACGAATGCCACACAGCTCTTTGCATTCTGGCCCGACGTCGAGTTCGACGAAAAGACGCTTAACATCTTGGTATGTATTCACATCGTCCTTACAAGTGGCAGCTGATCCGTAAAGGCAGAGTGTGCAGATCTTATTGTTTGCATGGCCAATACAAGCCAAAGTGCTTGCTTTTGCTCTGCTCAGTTCAGACCAGTTGCAAGCCTTGCAGACGCTGCTCATGCAGCTACCGAGCTCAATAATCACGATCAAACAGCACAAGATGGTCGGAGAGGCCTATAGACGTATCGCTACCGTCAATGTCGATCGAAAGCGCAAGCGGGATATAGACGTTAATGAGGATTTGACCGAGGCAGGCGCAGGACCAGCGCTAGCAGAGATGCTGAAAGATCTTAACGCGGCCAAAGAGAATTCAGTCCGCATAGATTGGCCCCGCTGGCGACAGGCCCTTTGCCGGCTGAGCCGCCCAGAAGACGTCTGTCTTGCCTGCACCAAGGGCGAGTCAAGAGTGCCGCATGAATCCGACCGTGATGCTGGCGTATGGGCACTGGCAGTGAAAGCCTTCGAGGAGGCTTACGAGTGCGCAACGACTTCGTCGCAACGCGTCAATGTACTACGCTTGCTCCGGCACTTTCTGACACATGCCCCACCGACTGTTGCTGCTTGCGATCTCAAGCGAAGTGGTCTGGGCAGACTGCTGATCGCCAACGCTGCCTCTGAAGATGCCCGCATTGCGCTCGCCGTGCTTCCCTGCCTGTGTTCGGTGGCAAAAGCGCACGCTTTGGCCGATCCTTCTTCGCTCTCGCCATTGATCGCTCGTATCCACCAGATCCTGTCGCAACCTCAGGCGCAAAGTCAGATGGCCGGTATCGTCCTCATTAGAACGATAGCGGTTCATCTCAAGGATGATCCGCTGCATCGTTTACTGCTACTGGCTCTCAGCAAGATAGCGAGCCCGAATGTCATGGTCGAAGCCTTTGCTATCGACGCTGTCACATCCATTGCAGCAGCCCACGACGTGACGCTGTACAAATTGTTGCAGCCCATAATCAAAGAAGCATGTCAAACCTTCATGCAATCAGCTCAGCAGATGCCTGAACGAATCACGACGCTTGCAGATCTGCTGTCTATCTCGCGGGCTAATTTCCTGAAGCTCACTGCTAAAGCGACGTTGCCCGTCTTGGTGCTGCGTGGTCATCAGCAGACCGCGTTGTCCGTTGCAGCAGCATGTGGTCAAGACCTTAGCACGTGCTGCATTGCTTACCTGGCGGCCATACTTGGCTATCTATATTTACAGCCGCCTAGTGAAGCCCGCAAAGCTCAGAGCACGCTCGTCAATTGGATCAATTCAGGTCAACAAACGATCAGCGTCGATAGACTGATACACGAAGTGACCGATCTGCACGCGGTACTATCCGAGCTGCTCGTCGAGCTCGGTCACGAAGACTCAAGCAGGCGAGCGGCCGCGCGTAATGCACTGCTGCGCATCGACCGGGCCTTGCATCATAGCTCTCGCTCGTACGAGCCATCACTTGCTGCTCTCTTGACGCCTCATATGCTCGCCATATTGACGCTGGTCAATAGCACATTGCAGGACAAGAGCACCTCGTTGCACCGGCGTAGGATGATCACAGGACTGGGCATCGCTTGCGCAGAATTAGGAGCAAGCATGGCGACGATAACGCCTCAGATCATGGCGACGCTACACAGCTGTCTGCGACTACCCTACATGGCCAATGTGACCCTCTCGACGTGGCTGCAATTCTCTCGGAACCTCGAGATGAGCGAGATTGCGCCTTTCGTCGGGCCTATGGCCGCTGCCTTTGTTCGTCTTTGGCCAGATCTTGACGCCGCATCTCGTCAAACCATCCGAAGCATATTTGAGCACATCATCGGGCTACAGGAGCATGAACGTGTCGCACTGGAAGGCTTGCCGGACCTGTCAGCACTGCCCGAACTTTCAGATGTTGTTGCCCGGCTAGACTCAGACCGCGACGACCGGGATCTCGATGTGCGGCTGAGGAACCTACTACCGCGCGTCACCAGCGAGAACGACTCGGTGTCACTGATTGCTGCCCGAGAGCTACGCATGCTGCTCGTTGAATCGCATCAGAGTCTCGTCAGTATGACTACAGGCAGCTCCTTTGCCACTCAATTGGGCAACGTCATGCACGCGCTTCTTACGGCGGCAACTCGCGCAAGCGAAGACAGGCTCGAGACGCGCAATCTCGTCTATGACTGCATTGGGATCATCGGCGCAATTGATCCTGATCGCTTCGAGATGCCTTCGCAAGAGCGTAGCTTTGCCTTGCTCGATAATTTTGCAGATACAGACGAGTCTGCCGAGTTTGCTATCTACCTCATCGAGAAGGTCTTGGTCAGCGCCTTCAAGTCTACGAATGATACAAGACATCAGCAAGCTCTCGCTTTTGCTTTGCAAGAGCTCCTTCGTTTCTGCGGCTTCACCGTCGGCTTGCTCGATGCAGCATCTGAAGCGGCTAGACAGATCACGAGCAAGACGCGCAGCAGATGGGCGGCACTGTCCAAGCCAATCGTTGAGATTGTCGGACCTATGCTGGGCTCACGCTTTACTGTCCAGCTGCGTGCCTCTCCGCTCGCAACGTATCCGATCTATGCAGCTGAGAGCACTTTTCGCGACTGGCTTGCCGCTTGGACACTCAATCTGATCGAGCGTGCACCGGGTACAACTGCGAAACGCGTCTTCTCGCCTTTCAGCGTGACCGTCAGAGATCAGGATATTGCTGTGATATCACAGCTGCTGCCATACGTCCTTCTCCACGCTCTTATCTCTGGCACCGACCGACTCCGCGAAGACGTACGCATCGAGGTCGAAGCCATCCTGGAAGACCAAGTCACGCCTTCATTGCGGCTTTCGCCCGAATCGCGCGCTCTTTGTGCGCAGGCGATATTCTCGCAGATGGATCATCTCAGCGATTGGCTCCGTCGCAAGCGCGAGACGGTACAGAAACTCAAGCGAGCCGTTCGCAAAACGAAGCGAGACGCCGATGCAGATGCGCTCAAGCGCGGCGAAGAGGCTCTACACAAAGTAGAGGGCTTCTTGGGGCAGATCCCGCAAGAGCTCACCGCCAGAGCTGCATTTCAATGCAAATCCTACGCCAGATCTCTGCTCAACTTTGAGAAATGTATTGTGCAAATGGGGGAGCAGAAGAAGAGTCCGGCAGAGATTCAGCCTTACTATGAGCGGCTGCACCAAATTTATGCCGATCTCGACGAGCCAGATGGCATGGAGGGCATTTCTACCAAGATCTTGTCGCCTTCTGTATCGCATCAGATACGCGAGCATGAAAGTACTGGCCGCTGGACGGCAGCGCAATCTTGCTGGGAAGTTGAGCTTCAGATTCATCCGAATCAGCTCGACTCGCATCTAGGCTTGCTAAAATGCTTGCGTAATCTCGGGCACTATGGTGGGTCGTCGCCTGACACTTTATCTTGCACAAAGTGGCTGACAGACGTCATCAGATTCTATGCGAACCCATATCGTTGGCGTGCTGCATGCCGAGCCACAGTGGAAAGAAGCTTTGGCGCCTTATGAAATCGAAGCAGCGCGCATCTTGGCGGATTGGAAGCACCTGGAAACAGTACTCAAGCAGACCCACAAGCTCGACGATGCCAGTGGCGCGACAGAGGTGCACGACGGACTCGAAATTTCCAGCGAAACGCCCGAGGTCGTCTTCGCCCGAGTCATACATTCGCTACGCACAGACAGCTCTGCAAATATCGAGCGTACAGTCTCTCGCGCTCGAGCAAGCTTGGGCGCACCAATTGCGGCTTCTGGGGCAGTCTCTTACCGGCGAGCGTACGATTCGATCGTCCACCTGCACATCTTGACGGAGATCCAAAGCATCTACGAGGCTTTCCAGTTGGGCGACGCTGAAGGTATGGCCGAGTTACAGCCTCTACTCGAGCAGCGTTTAGAGTCTGCGGCGACATCCTTCCGCTTCAGAGAGTCGATCCTGAACATGCGCCGTTCCGCGCTCAAGCTCCAGTGAGTGCAAAGCACGCTCTCAGATCAGATCGATCGTTACTGAACTCAAATGCGCAGGCTTGATGAGCATACTACGCCAATTTTGGGAGAGCTGTGGCTCGCAACATCGAAGAATGCTCGCCTTGCGGGACACACCCAGACAGCTTACAGTGCCGTGCTACAAGCAGGGCAGATCGGCGCGCCCATGACGTTCCTACAAGGCGCAAAGCTTCTCAGATGGAACGACCAGACTCAGCGGGCTATACAAGAGCTCGATCGTCATCTTGGACCTCTGATCGCTCAACAAATGCCCAACGGCACAGTCGCTGCTCTACAGCCAGCTTCGGGCAACGGCTGTAGCAGCCTCATGCTAGCCAAGGTCTGTTGCCGTCATGCTCAGCCTTGATCGGCTGATCGTATCGCAGGCTGCTTTGCGTCGCGCGCGTTGGATGCACGAAGCCGAGCGGTTTGAGCATAACGAGGTTGTCGAGCGCTACTTCGAGGCAATCAGACTTCAGACAGAGTAAGCCGAACGGTCTTTCAGAGCGGCGTCAGCTCATGACGCACGAGCAGCTGGGAGAGTCCTTATTATCATCTCGGTCACTACTACGACGAATACGTCGAAACGACGCCCGCAGATCGCAATGGCAAGAAGGCCGAGTGAGCTTGGTTGCCTGGAGATGCGCTGCGCTCACGGGAAGAATGACAGAACGCTCAAGAATCATCTCGCTACACTCAAGAACTTCAGCCAGGCGCTCTTGCACGGCTCGAAGTATATCTACCAGGCGATGCCTCGAATGCTCACACTTTGGCTCGACGTTGGCGATGACAAGCTGTTGCTCCTCAAGCGTCGGCCTGGTGAAAAGGTTACCCAAGAGGTGTCGGAAGTACACAGCTGCTTTCTCAAGATGAACCGTCATATCGAGAAAGCCATTGCCAAGCTGCCGGCTTACTTCTGGTTCACTGTCTTTCCTCAGGTCGTCTCCCGCATCCTACACGTAAACGAAACGTTATACCAGAATCTGGAACGTATCATGGTCACCGTGTTGAAGGCTTACCCTCATCAAGCGCTATGGACGATGATCTCGGCAGCCAAGTCAACGTCACTGAAGCGAGCGGCACGGTGTGTCGCTGTCTTTGAGCGAGTCAAGTCATCTACTGCGCAAAGCTCAAGGTCGCAAGCGACGGCGCGCCTGATTGACGAAGCCGACCGGCTGGTTGATCAAATGCTTATGCTCTGCAACCATCCTGTCAAGACGACGGACACGATAAGCATGACCAAGACTTTCCCAGGCTTATACCGATGCCTGCCGTCGAATGTCATGATTCCATTGCAGGAGCTGATGACTGTCACTCTGCCAGCCAACGTCTCCGAGCGAATCTCACATCGGCCATTTCCTGCTCATCTGGTCACAATGCGCAGTAAGTCTGGCTCGTTGCGTCCAATTGATAAGCTGATCGGACATGTGCAGAGTTTCTGGACGAGGTCGAGATCATGGCCTCGCTACAGAAGCCGCGCAAGATTGCTATACAAGGCGATGACGGCAGAGTCTACAGCTTTCTGTGCAAGCCAAAGGATGATCTTCGCAAAGACGCCCGGTTGATGGACTTTAACTCGATGATCAATAAGCTACTCAAGAAGGACAGCGAGGCGCGCAAGCGAAGACTGTGTGCGTACCTGAACATGCATTGCGACGAGCGCTGACGTTGCAGCGATCTAGACATCAGGACGTATGCAGTCGTACCCATCAATGAGGAGTGCGGCCTGATCGAATGGGTGCCTCACACTGTCGGATTGCGTGGAATCCTCACAAAACTCTACGAGGCGCGCGGTATATTATGCTGGGTGAGCTCGCTCGTGGCTAGATCTGAGCAAGCTGACCGAATCCATCTTGCAGAGCCCACAGCTCAAATCAGTCTTTGACACGATCAGAGACGACCCTTCACGTTCTGCCACACGGTTGCGCGACGAAGTCTTGAGCCAGTTCCCGCCTGTCTTCCACGACTGGTTTCTGGGCACCTTTCCAGAACCAACGAGCTGGCTACAGGCTCGAATGGCGTACAGCAGGACCGCGGCAGTCATGTCGATGGTAGGCTTCGTGCTCGGGTCAGTCATGCACCCTCACGCGTCACTGTCGCCCTGGCTGACCCATTCTGTACAGTCTTGGCGATCGACACGGCGAAAACATCTTGTTCGATAGTCATACTGGCGACACCGTGCACGTCGACTTCAACTGTCTCTTCGACAAGGGCAGAACATTTGAAGTCGGCGAGCGCGTGCCTTTCCGACTGACTCACAACATCGTCGATGGTCTCGGCGTCACTGGCATAGAAGGTATGCCGACCACAAGCCAGTGATGCTGTAGCTGACGTGGTCCATTTAGGCGCCTTTCGACGAGCATCGGAAGTGACGATGCGGGTCCTGCGCACGAACAAAGACTCGCTCATGAGCGTTCTCGAAGCATTCATTCACGATCCCCTTGTCGAGTGGACGAGCTCACACAAAGCTCGCAAGGCTGGCAACGCAGAAGAGACAGAAGATCCACGAATGAAGCTTGCTCGCAAGTCGCTCGAGCCTATCGCGCGCAAGCTCAAGGGTCTCCAGCTGACGAGCGCGCCGAGCAACAACGAGCGAGTCGCCACGCCTGAGAACCAAGTCGAATCGCTCATCCGGGAAGCTACGAGTCTGAGGAACCTTAGTCAGATGTACGTAGGTTGGGCATGCTTCTTCTAGAGCCCTTTCTTTGTGCTCGGCGGGCGCCCATGCATACGCGGATATCTATCTTTGTAATATATCCGTCGCGCATAGGAAGTCGCACTCTCGCTTTCTTTCCCTTAGCAGAGAGCCTGGGGACGAGATGATGGCGTACCCTACGATCACAGAGCACCACTGTGGTACTGGTCGGATTGCGGGATGTGGGGTGCATGTAGATCAGAATAGCATAGAAGTGCATACTGTATTTGTCTCGTTGTCTGGGTCTAGTTTTGCTGGTGCGCATGTAAAGTATGACATTTGTTGGAACGGCCTCCTCGTCAGAAAGGCAAAGGATTCTAGTGCGTTGCGGTCCACGCTGTCGCCTTGGATGAAGGTGGTTCTACCTCTGAGCCATTCTGAGCTTGCGCGAGCTTCTAGTGTATCTGGTGTGGGTGTAGCAAGCTTGTCTTTCCGCTCTTGGTCCAGACCAGGGTCGATCCACGGGTCACCCACTGCCAGCAATCTCGGCCAATCCAGTGCTCAATAGGAGTGCATGTGCGTAGAAGGACATCGAGTCTTGCTTTATCTGATCCAGGGGATCATGACCATCATGACCATGCTCTGGAGCGATCTGCTCGTTTGTGAGCAAGGACAGTCTGCTTGGCAGAGCAAACATAGCCCTGATCGACAGGTCGTCCGCCTATGTTGCCGGCTTCGACTGTGAAGGATGTCAGTGTGCCGTCAGCCTTGTGTGAAAGGCGGATGGTAGCATCTGAATCCGGTCCAGCAACTGCAATCCGATTCACGTCAACGTAGGTGATTGGGCAGATGGAAGATGCCCACAGTACCAATCAGACCGTCGAGCGTCCTCGACACCGCCATGAGCGATCTAAGCCGCACCGCACTCGAACCTGTCATTATCATCATCGCAGCTAAGCAGGGCGCCATAGTAGTATCGTCCGATAAGCCTGTTAGCTTCTGCTGCATATGCAGAGCTGAAGCGTACGCTGAATCCCAGGCCAGCTGGAAAGTGAAGTGTGCTTGGTTGAAGTCACTAGTATCGCCAGGATACATGTCGTACTTGGCCGTGAGAGCCTTGCCGCTGGCATATCCTTCCTGCTTGACATTCATAGGCGAGCCCAGTGCTCCGGGCGCAAGCAAAGCCAAGACCATTGGTATAACCACGTCGAAGCGCACCTTGCTTGTAGGTTCGAAGCGAAGCGTTGAATTCGTCTGGCAAGCAGCGAAGGCGACTGGATCACGAGGGAAAGTAAATGGGAGATGATGCGGAGATTAGTGAGACATCCGTAACCTCACTCAGCGTTGCAACGCGATGATGCAAATGTAGCGGTGCTGACGAGGGCTGATTGCGGCTGAGTTCGAGTTGGTTGACAATCCCAAAAGGGTTATCGCGGGCAGTGAATCGTCATAGCGATAACTCGGCTGCCCTGACAGAGCTTTCTGCATCGTCGTTCATCGATCTAAAGCAACAGACCGCAAGCAAAGCAATACTGCAAATACGATGATCGCATCCAAGTACATCCTCGCTTTCGCCGCTGTCCTCGTCATGGCTACTGCTGTAAAGGCGGGTCAATTTGTTGGTCTTTCTCCCGTTGCCGTGCGCTCCGAGCTGACGAAGCCTGGCGCAGGAAGATCCTTCGGACGGTGATTGTAGCACATATCACAACGCACAGGATTGCGAAGACAATGTGTGTTGCTCGAAGCGAGTATGCAGACCCTGCTGACCCGCTACAAGCTTTGCTTCTGGCGCCAAGTGGGCTCGATTTGCATCCCTGTATGAGCAAGCCAGCTGGGATAGGTCATACAATGCAACCGGGTCGATCCAATGCAAGCGTGATCTGCGCAGGCAGCCCGTCTTCGCTGAACAGAGAAGAGGGTCTCAGTGAAGTCTGAAGCGGTTGAGGTCTGCGTGCGTGCGGCCCGTGTGATCGATTGATCAACTAACTGATTTTCGTGAGACGCGCGCAGCAGCAGCAGCAGCCACCAGGCAGATTTCCCCACCTCTGACATCGAGGCAGCCAGATCCCGCATTGGCTCACGTCTTCTCTCCACAATGGACAATACCCGTCTATGATCATGCGTACCCGGCTCCCCGTCCGAGGATCTGACACGGAAGCCGCTCTGCTCTCGACAACCTTGTCTTGCCAATGTGCGGTCGCACTCTGTTCTCCGTCTGAGCATATGACATGGAGGGTCGCGACAACATCACCACCTCTCCGCATTCTCCCAGACATCTACCTACACCAACAAAGCCCAGACCAGACAAGCAACATATCCTCTGAATACTCTCGATGCGCTTGACCGCCCTCGTCCGTCTCAACTTCACGTCATCGCGCGTATTGTCCGCTAAAGACGCTTAGACCAAGCTGCAGCTTGTTCGACTGCCCGCCGAACGAGTCATGGCGATGCTCGGGTGACTGCAACCTGAGCGGGCGTTAGATTGACATCGCGCATCGCGCCCGCCATCTTTTCGTCGGGCAAACGATGACACTCCTGTTGCCAAGGCTCCTTGCGTTCGGTTGTCACGCATCCGCTCTTTCGGTCCTGAGCAAATCCGCTAGTCCAACAAGTCTGCAAATAAGATGCACTTCATCAAACTCGCCTCAATGCTGTTCACCCTGCTCACTACAGCAGTCCTGTCCTCGCCTGTCGGCCCTCAAGTGGGCGGCGTGGTCACGGGCGGCATCACCGTCAACCCCCAATATTACATGGTCCTGATCTCGCGCCGCAACGATTACAAACCAAGCTTCACCTTTCAGCTCGCTTACAACTCAGTGTAAGCTCCCGATCAGCGGATAGACGACGTACTGATGAGCCTTTTCTCAGCCAATCGTACTACGGCGCCTTGCTCGTTTGCAACAACGACATCAGTACAGACACATGCGGTGCAGGGTACATCGCACATGGCGGTGTGGGCGATGCTCGATGGTCGGACTGGTTCTGTGAGCATATCGGCTCCTCACAGCAGTCCTTATTGACTTGGCGAAAATCGTAGTTACGGGAAGTTATTACGAGGTGACTGTTCGCCTTGCACACAAAGCCGACGGCACAATGACCGGCTGGACGCTCAAGAGCGGCACTGCAAACAGCCACTACCTCGTCTACGCGTATGTCTTCTTCATCAAAAAGATTGGTCGTCCACACGATTATGCAGAACAATCGAGAACCTGCAATCTCATACATTCGTTCCATATGTCAGCTAGATATAGGCTCGACGTGTCTCTGCCTCAATGCAGCGTCGTCGCAACGCCTTTGAGGAAGCGACTGGCCTCTCGCATCAGTCATGACAAAACAGCATGAGGCGACGCTCCTGTCGCATCTCACATGAAACTTGCGCTCCGTTGTCACGCATCTGCGCTTTTCTGATCCCTCTGATCTGAGCAAGTCCGCTTGTCCGACATATCTACAAGATGGGCTTCGCCACCTTCGTTTCGATGCTTGCTGCTCTGATCACTACAGTAGTACTCTCTTCGCCCGTCGGCCCTCAAGTTGGCGTCGTCACGGGCGGCATAAATGTCTTCCCTCAATACTACATGTCGCTCGCTGAGAACCGTGACTTCTACCGATCACATTTTACCTTTCAGCTTGCCTACAACTCAGCGTGCGCTGTTCATCTGGACTTGTGATTGATGTTGTTGACCTTTGTTCAGCCAAGCTTTCTACGGCGCCTTGCTCGTTTGCAATAACGACGAGAAAACCTTCACGTGCGGTGGCGGTCCCGTCGCACATGGAGGTGCGGGCGACGATCGATGGTCGGATTGGTTCTGTAGGCTTTCTTGCCTTACCAAAGCAGCTCAGGTTGATACGACGCATATCGCAGTCACGGGAACTTTCTACGAGGTCACCGTTCGCCTCACGCACAAAGCCGACGGTACCATAATCGGCTGGACGCTCAAGGGCGGCGATGAGGCCAGCCGCTTCATCGCATACGCGTATGTGCTTGTCGTCAAGCAGGTCGCCGTTCTCACGTGCCTGCAGATCGCTCGAGAACCTGCAAACTCATGCGACTATCCCATACATCTGATCCAACCGCTTGACGTGTCTTTCCCGATGCATTGTTGCAAGCGATTGAGTAGCGACTCACGTGTTGCGCCTATCATACTCAAGCAGAACATGACAGCACTCCTTTGGGGCCCATATGATTCTCTTGCGCCCTGCGGACCCACTGCCGACGCTGTCTCGCCGCTTCAAAGCCGCTTGCCAATCAATTGATCTCACGATGGGCGCTTCATCATGCTTGTGTCCACGATCATGTCTCGATAGCGATTTTGATCTGAGACAGCATGACAACTGTTGCGGCATCGCGCCGGCTTTCGTTGAGCCGGCAACGGCGCTACAGTTGCTATGCCTACTTGCGTCCCGGCATTGCGCTGCCTTGCTTCCTCTCATCTGAGCAAAATCGCTGGTCCAATCAGTCTGCAATCAAGATGCGCTTCACCATGCTCGTCTCGATGCTCTCCACCCTGCTCGCCTCGGTGGTCCTCTCTTCGCCTCTGGTCCCTCAAGCGACTGGCGTCGTCACGGACGGCAAGATTGTCGCCGCTCAATACCACATGATGCTCGGCGAGAATCGTGAGGGCCATAGGACCCAATTTACCTTTCAGCTCGCCTACAACGCAGCGTACGTGGCTAGGTCTATGCGTGTGAGATGGACTGATGACCTTTGTTCAGCCAATCGTACTACGGCGCTTTGCTTGTTTGCAATAACGACAGCGTACTGTACACTTGCGGTGCAGGGTACGTCGCACATGGAGGCGTGGGCGATGCTCGATGGTCCGATTGGGTCTGTAAGCATATCGAAGCTGCCGTAGTAATCTAGACTGACTCGGCGTACATCGTAGTCACCTCATTTTTTCCCTATAACGTGACTGTTCGTCTTTTCCACAAGGCTGACGGTACCATCACCGGCTGGACGGTCGAGAGCGGTACGATGTTTGGCCACCTCATCGAATTCAGGTATGTGCTTGTCGTCAAACAAGATTGCCGTTCTCACGATCATGTAGATCGCTCGAGAACCTGCAAACTCATGCAACCATCCAGTACATCGAGTAGGGCGGCTCGATGCCCGCGCGCCAGAGGCTTGACGTAGTAGCCTCTGATTGCATCGCTTCACTGCATCATCACGCGACTGATTTTTCGGTCTCACTCAATATGTGACAACGCCTCTGCTACGCTTCACTCGAACTCCTTGCTCGGCTGTTACGCTACCGGCGCTCCGTTGCTGTGCCAAAGTCGCTCTTGGACTGATTTCTCAACATGCGCTTCCATATGCTTGCATCGATGTTCCTCAACCTTCTCATTTTAGCAGTGCTATGCTCGCCTATCGGTGCCGATGAAGTAGGCGTGGTCACAAGCGGCATACGCGGCTCCCCAGAGTATCACATGGCGCTGGCTGACCCCGACGCTTACTGGCATTCGTGAATCACCTGTCAACTCGGCTGGGATCCTGCGTATGCTGCGTTTCAGCACATACTTTGACCGGCATCTGAAGTTTGGCAGTCAATTGTACTATGGCGCCTTGATGGTATGCCGAAACGATGTCAAGCGAACGACGTGCGGTGGAGCTTGTCTTGCTCACGGAGGTATCGGAGATGCTCGTTGGTCGGACCGGTGCTGTATACCTGCTGTCTCGCTTCAATAGACTGCCGACTGACGCTCGGATGACAGTCTTTGGTACGTTCTTCGATATCAAGGCCCGCCTGTCACACAGAGCCATGGGACCATGACCGGCTGGACGATCAAAAGCAGCGGCCTTGGTCCTCACTACATTGATGATTGGTATGAGCCGTCAACAGTACAGCTTCACCGTCTCTGAGTCAAATTCAGCTCGATTGCAAACCTCCAGAGCCACATGTTCATACCATACGTCCGTAACGAACGCAAGGTATAATGCGCCTTTCGAATGCATCGGCTGCAGATTCAGGATGCTGTACCGCGTTGGGAGAGGCGAATGCGTGCCAGGGCCGCTTGACTTCCTCGCAAAGTGCCGACTATTACTACCACTGCAGATGACGTGCGCCAGTCCACATTATCAGTCGGCACACCGAGTCATCAAAAGATGCTGGTGCTCGCTGCATCACCGAAGACCTGTAGTTATGGTAGGCCAAAGTCTGACCCGTGTCGAGGACTCCTTTCTCAGATCCTCGAAGGTCTTATCTACAGACCTGGTCGTGAAGATTCACTCTCTTCTTCGCAACAGCCAAACTACCGCCCAACTTGCCTTATTGCCCAGACCAATCGAACAAAATGCGCTTCTTCGGCATTGTATCGGCCCTCTTTGCTCTCTCCTCAGCCGTCACATGCTCTCCCGTCAAGCTGGAATCGACTGGAATTATCACCGGTAGCAAGGGTGTTCATCCCGAGTACCTCATGTGGCTTTCGGACATCGGTTACAAATGGCAAACTCACTTTACTTTCCAACTCGCTTACAACCCTGTGTACGTATGATTGACGCTGGAGATATTTGCACTCATGGACCAGCAGTGACTGCTACTATGGCGCTTTGACGGTTTGCGTGAACAAATATCCGGACCTTGTATGCAGTGCCGGCTACATGTCCCATGGTGGCACAGGCGACAACCGCTTCTCGGAGTGGCACTGTAAGCTTGCTCACCTTCACAAGGGAGCAGCTTCGGATTGAGCCAAATTTTACAGTCAAAGGTGACTTTTACGACGTCACCGTGCGCCTCGTCCACAAGGCAGATGGCGAAGTGACCAGCTGGACGATCGAGCACGGTGCTCTGGGCAACCACAACATCAAATACGTGTAAGTCGTCTTTGTCATGCAGACTGCCGTACTGACATGGCGCAGATCGCTCACAAATCTCCAGTCGCATATCGTTATACCGTACTTCGACTAATGATGCGATGCTAGCTCGTAGCTCAATGCATAGACCAGTGCCCATACCGAGCACTGCTGTTGCTCGATGGCTGGTGTTGGCATGCGCTCATCGGACTGACAGGCTCGGTGTTCAGCGTGGCGAAAGCTCAAGCGCGCGTCATGGGCATGCGCGATCATGCATACTGTACCGATACTTTCCTAAAGCTGCATCAACTCGTGCAGGGAATGTCCGCATGAGTCTGAAGATTCGTAAGGGATCTGTCGAAGCATGAGCAATGAATCCTGCTCGACAGAGACATCGTACTGGTAGTAAATGATGCCGTACTCCAACATGCCGTCCTTGATCGAGTAGCTAGTAATCGTACCATCTCCCTTGTGCCAAAGGCGAACGTAGACAATGAAGCCTGTTCCCTTGACTGCCTCCCGTTTGGTCAGTCAATATTACGCGGCAAACGCCAGAAGGCTCACACTCCCAGTACGACCAGCGGTCATCACCTACACCGCCATGGTTGAGATAGGCAGCGCCACATGTGCCCGACTTGAAGTCGTTGATGCACACGGTAAGCGCGCCGTAGTATGAGTTCCTGGAAGTGTCATCAGGTTTGTGGACACAAAGCGTCTGCAGATCTGAAGCGCACAAAGTGTTGTAAGCCAGCTGAAAGGTGAAGCCAACCGAGAAGTGACGATTGGGTGATTCGAGGGTCATGTAGTACTCGGGGTAAACGCCTCTGCCACCAGTGACGATCCCCGTTTCGACGGGCGAGCAATTGACCGTCGACGCGAAGAACGGCAGGAACATCGGAAGGACGGCGAGAAAGCGCATGTTGACGATGAGTCCGTAAAGGTAGTTCTCGCTGGATGAAGTAGCGGTATGACGACCGCCTGAGCCTCGGGTACAGATCCGCGACAGGGGCGTTGCTACGCGCTGATGCACCAAGTACCTCAAAAGGCAGCTCGAGGAGTCTAGCGGCATGTTGTCGGGGAGGAGCCAGACGTAATGTCCGACTGTACTGTTCTAGGCGCAATGCGCGCTAGCCTTTGCGCAGAGTAAGGCCTTCGCGATCGTGACATCCGTGATGGCTGACTCCACAATGCATCGATGATCAGAGCACGTACACGCTGCATCAAGGGAGGTAAGGAATCGGCGTGTGGCTCTGAACATTCGTAAGTGCCCTGCGTGGATGTGAGCGATGTATACTTGCTTTGGCAAGCAAGCCGCACATGTTTTGAATGTATCGGCCGTGCAAGGAGCCTCTTTGAAGCGTCCAACCGGTCATCGTGCCATCGGCCTTGTGCAACAGGTGGGCATTGAGATCGTAAAAGGGTCCAAAGACTGAATGGCGCCAAGCTGTCAGTTTGGATAGACAAACAAGTGTGTGTGTGTGACTTGCACCGCCAATCTGACCAGCGAGCATCACCAGTGCCACCATGACCGAGGTACACTGCGCCGCACGTAGATCCTTTGACATCGTTGTTGCAGAGCATCAATGCGCCGTAGTACGATTGCCTTTCGAAGCAGTCAGTGCATGCGATCATGCTTCAGTGTAGCGTACGCAGGGTCAAAGGCAAGTTCGAAGGTGAATCCAGTTGGCCATACGCCAGCATAGCCAGAAAGGGACATGTAATATTGCGGGCTTCCAGCTGCAGCAATCCGAACGTCACCCGTCGACTTTGCTACCGGCGAGCAGCAGACACTTGTGAAGCCCATAATCAAAACAGTCGAGGCAAAATTGACGATGCGCATCTCCGTCCGGCGTATTGCGTGTTACCGAGGCGCGATGCAGCTGACTGCCTGCCCAAGCGCGCAGTAAAGAGATGACAAAGCTTTGGGATATAAGGAAGTCGCGTGCTGCTTCGTGACAAGACCGTCGCGAAGGAGGCTTTGTGGAAGTCAAAGATGCATTGAGTGAGGTCGGACGAGCACTTTGAGCAGTTGATGGATCGGTTTCTCGAGTCGAGAAGCTTCCCGAGATGCTTTGACAGTGGACGACTCGCGGTAGCTGTCGCTGACATGCACTGACATGCTGAGCGCAGACGATGACTGATGACTTTTGAAGGAAAAATCAGTTCATGGGGGCATATTAAGCGATGACTTTGTCAGTCTGCCTCGCGGCTTTGCCTGATCGAATGCATGACGCGATAAGATAAATCTAGATCTGCACCCTCGCGATACCCGGATTGCCAGCGACTTGCTGAGCATCACGCGGCCAGAATGCGCCGCAATGTCGGCATCTCGTCACTGCAGCGACACACTGACTCGCTGACATCCTATACAAGCTTGTCAAGCGACATCACAGCAGCCCAGACAGACATCCTTTCAGCCCAATTGAGTACCTTTCAGTCGACTCTACGCAACTTTGCAACTCAGCATCGAGCAAAGATTCTCTCGGATCCCGTCTTCCGACAGCACTTTAGCGAGATGTGTGCACAGCTGGGCGTGGATCCGTTGGGCGCACCCGTACCTGCTTCCGGTCGTTCGCGTACTGCTGGTATCTGGGATATGCTAGGAATTAGCGACTGGACGTACGCATTGGCTGTACAGATTGTCGACGTCTGTTTGGCCAGTAGAGACCGTAACGGTGGTCTCATCGAGCTATCTGAGCTCATGCGCGGCATTGCCAAGCTCAGAACGGGCGCAGAACCTGCCATCGCCGCGGCGCCAAGTGCCAATGGCGATGATTCGAGCATATGGGGTAGATGGACTCGCAAAGTCACCCATGCCTCGCCCTCCCCGACGGCGATGATCACAGAATCCGATATCATCAGAGCGTTGCGCGTGCTCGAGCCGCTAGGTACAGGCTACCACCTCTTGACGATTGGCGATAGAAAGCTCGTTCGCTCACGCCCAGCCGAATTCAACACGGATGCCATCAAGCTCGTCGAGATTGCTTCTCTTTCTGGCAACGGATTCGTGTCTCATGCGTTCCTGGAGAGCCAAGCACGCTGGACGCCTCAAAAGGTCGAATCTGCCCTCGAGACGGCCCTCATGATCGATGGACTCGTCTGGATTGACACTCAGACTGACGACGGTCGTCCTCTGTACTGGGTTGCTGCGCTTTTCGATTCCGAAGCATCAAGCGTTTAGAGTCCGACTGCGAGAGCATCCTGTCGTCATCGCGACAACCTTGCGCGTCGTGTCAGACACATAGCACGCAACTTTGGCTCGAGATCATGCTGCTTCAGATGCATCGCAGCCTCGTTCGCGCACTCGTGCTGCTCTCCGCTTGCTTCATCACTGGTCAAGCACTGCCTGTGAACCAAGAAGCTGCATTCGTCAAAGGAACAACTCATTACGTCCTCAGCCTTCATGGCGATAACGACAGCGGAGCACATGTCGAGTTCGCTCTCGCTTTCGACCCTGTGTATGCCAGGAGCGAAAGTATGGGCAGCCGGGCTGACGGGACAAGCAGTGGGAAGTACTATGGCGCTCTGATGTTCGACTTTGACAACTCGCTCCAAGGTGGTGCTCGACCAGACCAGCACGGCCAGATCTCGGCTGTATCGTACTACTCCGACTGGACATGTCAGCACATTCCTGTTCTGACCGAGATAGCAAGCTCATCAGCTCGTGCAGTCTTTACAGCCGCTGCCTCTGGACCTTACTCTGCGTCTCTGCGTCTCTATCACAGCAAGACAGGTCAGCCGGTTCATCTTACATAGAAATGCAGTTGATTGTGTCAGCAGGCGTGATCGACTCGTGGCATTTCTTTGGAGCAAACAGCAATGTTCAAGGCAACCCGGTCACCAGCTCGTGAGTACGATCGGCCTGATGCGACTGCGCTGATTTGCTTGCATACAGTGCCCTGACTTACAAAGACAACAACGCTATCATCCCTCAAGTCTAGCGCACCTCATGGCTGCAAGAAGGCGCAGATCACATGACTCAGCTACAGTCTAGTCTCGCTTTTCAGTCGAGAGGAGCGTTAAGCTGGCCTTCGATGGTGACGGCAGATACTGGCTTCAATAGCGCTGCAATCATCGATCTCTTGATTGCAATGGACGAGTCAGCTGATCATAGCACGAGAAAGCGGACTGCCGAGACCCAAGTCGCGATGACAGATCGCCCTGTGAGCAAGCGCGTCCTCCCTTGCAATCTTTGCTACGGACTCGGCAACAGGTGCTGAAATTTTGTAACGCGCAAAGATCAGTGTCGCAGACATTGATCAGACCCTACGAGGCACTGCACAATGCAATGTGACCACGAAGCGACAGAGATTGCGCTTCACCATCCGCCAAAGCTACCCAGGGAAGGGATGCAGCCATGACCGAGCCAAAGACAGCCCTGAAAGTGGTCAGATACGCGATCAATACGTAGTGTCATGAGAGATCTACATTATTGGCGCAGACCTCTGCTGACTTCGTGTCGCAAGGACCATCGGGTGGGGTATCCTACCAGCCACCTCATCAGCGAGCTGAGCAAGCTGAACCGACACGCGCAGAGCCGTACAGCGAACGAGCTACCGACTGCCACGAGAGTGATGAGCGCGATGAGAACCTTGCGAAGCATGCTTTGCTTTACTGCTCCGATGGTTCCACGATTCAGACGCAGTGCGAGCACGATCGTCAAGACAGTCTGGATATTCGTTGCTATGAGAGGAAACAGTCGATAAGCTGACGAGCCTAGAATTACCGTTGTCATCCGGCCGTTGTTGCTTGTTATTGCCGCCAAAGAAGGTTGCAGAATGCATAAAAGTCCTCAAGACGGACTACCAGTCGCAAACGCCCTCGAACCACAAACAGCCCTTTGCCAGGAGTCAGCCATCATTCACTGGGAAGGATAGGTGCCGCATATCGTTCTGACAGCCCGAGGGATCATCTGAGGCCGTGTATCGATCACGGCGACGACGCTTCACAAGACGCTGCTCGTTTGTTTGGGCACGAGTCAAAGAGCAAAGCAAAACGAGTATTGCTGGCCTTTTTGTCTGCCTTGACGGCGATAACACATGCGAGGAGCACAATAAGAAGTAGCGTAGCTTTTCTGAGCATCTTGGGCTGCTATGCGTATGATTCGGAATGGAGCCGACGGGGTCTGGCCGCTCTGTAAACCCGGTCGGTGGCGCACATGGTACAGCTCGGCCAGTACTAGGGATGAACAAGAGACTTCGGGAAACGCTGATGAGCTCTGCTGGGATCAATCCTCTGTGAATCTTTGACCGACTGTTGACAATGGACAGAGGGAGCAGAGGCCGGTCAGCTCTCAGAGGAGTGACGACACGGTCGACGCGATCGCTGCATCTCGTCTTTGCGCGACATCGACATTCGCCGCTAGCAGTCGATGGGATGGACGAGCTCGATGTTGCCGCTGCCGAGCCGATGGACGACTTGCCATGGTCGGACGCTGCTCGTGCAGCCCAGCATGAGCAGACGCACGCTAGCGACGGCTGCCGCCACAGAGGGATTAGCAGGAACGGCGCCCGAAATGAAGCGACACCTCATCTTGTTCACTGGCAGAGATGACTCGACATGGCCTAGCCATATAGACAAAGTGTCTCCTCTGTACAGATCGCTCAATCGGCTCACGTCAGTGCCAGCAATGAGTCGATCTGGCACGATTTCCGTCAATATCTCCTCGACCAAATTATCTGGTTTGACGAGATCAGCGGGCAAGCCATGGGATCCAACAGTCAGCAAAGTAGACAAGGAAGTCAGTGAAGATCAAGCTGGAACAGAGGAGTACGGAGCGGTGATCTATCCGGAGATGCTCGAGGTGCCTTTTCCATTATCGATGGCGACACTCAGCGATTTCCAAGCCTTTTACGAGTCACTTGTCTTGCCAGAAGCGAGAGATGTAGACAAGAAGCATATTTTCGTCTGCACGCACAACAACAGAGATTGTCGATGCGGGGTGATCGGCTCACAGCTCTTCACTGCTTTGGCGCGTTATATTCGGCGAACGCCATCGCTTGCCAAGAACGTGCAAGTGCATCCCATTGCACATATCGGCGGTCACAAGTATGCGGGCAATGTTATCGTCTACCCGCAAGGCGACTGGTACGGTCTCATCCAGCCAACAGATGCGAGCGACTTTGTCAAGCGAGTCGTCAAGGATGACAAAGTCTGGTGGTCACGCTGGCGCGGTCGTACCGGTCTCTCAGCTCTAGAACAGAAGCAGCTCTACAACGCTTCCATCGCAACGGAAACAGTAGATCCTAAGAATGCAAAACGACTGGAACGAGTCGCCTTAGGCGACACGCTGCAGTTACGACTGACGACCCACGATGGCGAGCATGTCGATGTGACTGGCTTCGAAGGCGAGTCTGTCAAAGATGCTCTCAGGCGGCACGAGTATGTAGAGGCGACGTGCGGAGGTGCATGCGAGTGCGCTACTTGCGCAGTCGCTTTCATCGACGCTTCAGAGATTCCTCTCCCTGCTCCTGCTATCTCCGACGAAGAGCTCGACCAGCTTGAATTTGCAATCACTCGCAAAGACACTTCTCGTCTTTGCTGTCAGATACCTCTGACTAAGGAGCTTGCCGACTGGAACGAGCGCGGTGGCATCATCGAGCTACCGAGATACTAGTTTCGATGCAGATCTCGTCCGTTAACCATGCAGACGCATGCATGGCAACTCGCTGCACCTCCACAACAAGCTAGCTGCTGTACCCGAGCCATTGCAGGCCACGTCATCACGGGTCTGACTGACTAAGCACGCGTCGAGAACTTTGGATGATCTACAATTCTGGAGCACTTCGATCGACGATCACGTCTGCCCCGGCCCATTACCATCGAGTCAGCGGAATGTTCGAGTCAATTATCTAGGTCCCTGCCATGCTTCGGTCACACTCTCAGCCAACGATACCATGTTGTTTGAGAGCGCAAAGCTAGAACTGGCGATCGCTCCTTCGCTTGTCTTCGTTCATCCGAAACCACGTATGTCCCAAGGCTGTTTACGCAAAGTTTCCACGAATTTACGCAATCGCAGCACTACCGACTGATCACATTGTTGCTCCTGGCAGTGGAGATGACAGTCTTGTGCAAGGCCAGGCTACGCTTACTCTGCCCCGCGCAAGGGATCTCAAGGACGGTATCACTATCTGCTTTGTCGTACATGTAGAGCTCTACCTTCCCGGCGGTCAGCCGGCTCTTATTCGTCTTCATACACGCAGGACTGACATCAATGAATACCAGGCCCAGTCGATAAGGGCATTGTATTCGAGCGCAAAGTACACATCACGCCTGGTCACCTGGACAAGGGCGTCCATACACTTCCGTTCCAGTTCTCAATTCCTTCCAGTGTACCTTCCTACATCCTCCGATCACGACACGGCAAGGTGACTCCCAAGATTATCGCCGTCGCCGGAGGGCTGGGCAGCCTGGGTGCAGACCTGACAACAGAAATTTTCTGTCCAACAGTGCCAAACCCTTCTGGCGTAGCCGAGCTGCCGCCCGGGCTATCTCTCGATGTCATCGAGGACTCTGACGAACTTGGGCCGTATTCAATCAACGTGACGTCTGATCACATGACGCTCTCCGGCCTCATGCTCATCTCGCTCAACTTGCTAGCGCCGTCAACTGACTTTACACTATCTTCTATCTCGCTCATCGTCGAACAGACGTTTGAGCTCACACCGCTCAGATACTTCACATGGGGCGCACCGTTGAACGAACATCAGGCTGACAAGCTTGTGCGACCTGAGACGGTCATTCGGCGCGTCATCGCACACATCGACGGCAATGCTTCTCCTCACGATCCTCCCATTGTCGTATTGGGAGACTCTCCAGGAGGTACCCCGGCAAACTTGGAGCGATCCGACAGTACTCACAGCTCGGCTTCTGACAAGCAGACACCCTATAAAGCACATTTGGCGCAAATCAGAAAAGGCGAACAGTATATTTCGCCAAAGTTCGCAGTCCGGCTGCCCTGCGACGAGTCCATGTCATCAAGCACATTCCCAGGCACTCACACACCACTCCGCTTCTCACACTCGCTTCTCATAGAAATCAGATGGATCAATCCTCAGGGCCGAGCGCGTCTTCTCAAAGTAGATCATGCGCCCATGAAGCAATGCTCTCGTTGACGTCATGTCGCTGCAGGTTCGCAAGCCCATCATGTTGGCAAGCTGTTGCTGTGTCTTAGAGAGCCTCGTACTGCCGACATATGCCCAAAGCTTACGAGATAAGCAGACTGACATAGAATACCAGCGCCAACGTCGGGACCTTGCATGCGTCTGTGGCTTCAGCTTCCAATACATGCTGGATCAGGAATCTCGCTGGATCGAGAGGGAGCTAGAAGAGGCGCATAAACTGTCGCCCGAAGCACTGCCCAAGGGAACCACTTGACGACGCGTCGCTTTGGCTACGTCAAGAACCGTTGCAATGGATGGAATGAATTTGCTTGCGCGCACGCATGCTTGTATTGTACCTCGCTGCATTCATTTGCACAGCCCTGGCGTATGACCTTTGCCGTGATGCTTGCTCAGGATCTGATGGCGTTGGTAGCTCATGCTCGGAGGCGCCAATAGCAACCATCGGCAAGGTCAATATTTATTGCCCTTCTGCTTTCGAGGGCGGCGAAAAGGTGTCGGCAAAGCTCAAATCATTCGGCATCATGTCCATATCAACTTGCAAACACCTCTCTAGTCTGCCCGACTGTACGCTCCCTCTTCATTCCTGCACATGCATGCTGAGACGTTTGCAGTCACGATCGAATGCGATTACACTCGGTTGACAGACATACCGTTGATGCTTTGCAATGCTCGTGATCCAGATGCAGAAGTCGTCCACTGTGGTAATGGCTACATGGCTCGTTGTTGCAGGGTGAGTCCGACATAGCAGCCTGACGATGCTGCTCACACACAGTTACATAGGACGAGGGGAGATGAGCAACCGTTTGAGCAGCATGGCGCGGTGCGTAGCATGGACGGACCGCAACTCGGCTAGAGCGGGCGTTGCAATGTCGGGGTATCTTTCCGATCGTATTGCATCCTTCCTTCCGCTGCGTCGAGACTTGCTTATAAGGCTTCGTTGACCACTGGCTCAGTCCTGATCACCAAGCAGCAGACACGATGAACAACAAATGCCTTTCGATTGCGATCTTCTTCGCCATGCTTGCATTGGCCATGAGCCGCGCTATAGCTACAGGCGCCCATGTTGGTTGACAACGCCCGCTGTGATGCCGTTGGCTGATGGACATCGTCGGACAGGAACTGCACGTGCGTGCTGTCGACTGTCCCGGCATCACAGACGAAGATTACTGCACGGAGGCAGGCGTGAGCTCTCATCGGACCTTTCGGCGCAGCTGCTGACGTGCTCCTCAAGCCGTGGTGCTATTGGCAACGCGGGATTTGTCATACGGCGGTGCCCCGCTCATGATAGGTCGAGCGTTCTAGCCTTGCATCTGATAAGCTATGCATGTACCGATAATGGTATTGTCAGGACTATCTAAGCATCGATGGGACGATGACGGCGCAGACTCAGGATTGTGACTCCGTTGCAAGATGAAGGGGTCTGTTGATGAGGAAGGATGAAGGGGTGAGGCGTGTGCGAGCCAGATTAAATTCGATTGGCCATCTTTCGAATTCTCGGCAAGCGCGATCACTTCGATCACCGTGTCATCATTGGCCTGGCTTTGCGTCGACGATGGCGACATGCTCACACGACCAGCTTGGGCAGCAACACTCGCAGTAGCAACACTAGCCTCCATCATCCTCTCCCGGATCAACATGGCAGCCAAGCCCGCTCCACAGAATGGCAGACCGCCCGCAGGACTGCTAGGCGAAGACTTGGACGACTATGTGCCTGCTGGCCTGCGACTACTGCAAGCCCACCTCTTTGTTCGTCATGGCGAGCGCACGCCCGTCAGACGGCGTATGCAGAATGTAGGCATGCCCGATGATTGGATCCTGTGCCATCTCGCCGGCCAATTCGATGCTGCCGTTGCGAACAGTCAAGGCACTCTGACTTCCTTTCCCATGGTCGTCAAAGCACAACGACAAGACCAAGTGAACTCGCCCCGTGTTGCACCCGAAGGAGCTTGTCATTCAGGCCAACCGACCGATCTCGGCCGTTCGTCCTTGCTATCCGTCGGCGAACAGCTACGAGCGACCTATATCGATCGATTAGGCTTCCTGCCGTCTATGATGACCGCCAAAGACGAAGGTGTTGTCACTTTTCGCACGACGCCAATACAGCGTACCATAGAATCCTTACAACAGACGATACAGGGCCTGTATCCCCGTCAGCAAATGGATGGCTGGAAGCCAACGATCATGATCCGAGATATTCACGAAGAGAGCCTATGGCCGAACCCATCGGCTTGCAAGAGACTGTACAGACTCGATAAAGAAGCTCAGCAGCTTGCAAAAGTAGAGCACGAAGAAGCCTTGGCAGGCCTCGATGACAAGATTGCGAGGTTCTTTCCCAATCCCATCAGAGTCGATTCCCATCCTCGTGCAAACGGTGAGCTCTCCCTGCCATGAGACACTTGCAAGTCTCTTAGCCGGACACGACCTTGCAGGCATACTCGATACCATCAATGCAGCACGAAGTCACGGTATGCACGTCCCGGAGCCGTTCCTCGATCCTGTCGTCTTGCGCACGCTCGAACGAGCAGTCCTGGCGGAGTTCTTCAACGGATACCGCTCACCAGAGTTCAAGCGGTTAGCCATGGGCAGACTGACAGGCGATATGCTCGAGAGCTTCAAGAGAAAGGCTGCACAGCCTACATCTGAAAAACTGCGATTGGCTCTGCACTCTTGTCACGATACCACGCTTGGCGGTCTGACGAGGACGTTTGGCGTAGAGGAAGAAGCTTGGCCGCCGTTCTCCTCCCACGTCGGCTTTGAGCTCTTCGAGACGCCATCCACGCAGGGCAGCCTGTCCTTCTTTTCGACTTTCTTTCGCTCACAGTCTCGATCGGATCATTTCGTCAGAATGAGATATAACGGCAAGACGATGAAGATACCCGCATGTCAAGCGCAAGGGCAGCATCTACAAGGCAGCTCGGGCGAAGTCTGTACACTTGCAGGATTTGAGAAAGCGCTAGAAGGCATATCGATCACCAAAGCAGACTGGGAACGAGAATGTAATGCTTGATTGTACTAGCCCTGTGTCTGTCAAAAGAGACTGCATGGAGTACATAGCAACCTAGTAGGTAGGCTTCTTGCTCGTCAGGGCCAGGTAAGACGAGAATTCGTCCACTGGCGGCTGGCTGAGCGCGAATTGAGGCCACAAGTCGGGTGTGAGCACGGCATACTGCAGAGCGACTCGCAGCATCAGCAGGTGCACCGTCGGAATCTACGAAGAAGCTCACAGTCGCGGTAATGGCAGCATAAGTGGCCTTGATGAAATTGCCAATCGTCGATGTGTTACCTCTCGACTGGGTGTAGCAATCGGCCACACCGGCAAGCTGGAGCATTCGCTTCGAAGCCGGTGCAGCGACGAGTCCGGTACCGCGAGGAGCAGGCACGAGCTTGACGTAGACCGAACCGGTCTTTCCGCTGACTTTGCAAGGTACAGTGTGGGGTTCACCGAGCTTGGCACCCCAGTAGCCTCGACGGACGGGTACGGTGGACAGTTTGGCGAGGATGATGGCGCCTCGGATGGCTGTTGCGACTTCTTTGGCGCACTTGACGCCCAACCCGACATGGCCGTCAAAATCGCCGATAGCGACAAACGCCTTGAAGCGAGTACGTTGACCGGCGCGAGTCTCTGTGGGGGCAAACGACTTGAGCGTACCGTCGACGCTGCGGGCGACGAGTCACTCACGCTTCTGTACGGGGTGGATGCTCACTGAAGAGCGAACGAGATGAGTCCAAGGGAGCGAGCGGTCTCCCGGAGAGAGTACGTACTGACTTCATCCTTGAGCTTGGGCAGAAGGATGTCGATGATCTGGTACTCCTTGATGGGCAGCGAGAACAAGTAGAGCTCCTCAATCGACTTGATCTTTCCATCCTTTACAAGTCTTCCCAGCTTCGTCACTGGCTGCCACACTTGCTCGTCATTCTTAGGGCCACGGCGAGCTCCCCGACGTCCACGACCACGATCTCCACGACCTCTCGGGCCACCAAATCCTCCTCGTTCTGCCATTGCGATTCTCTCTGAGCCACTCGATTTTTGAGAAATGGTGGCTGCAATCCGCGAGCCGAGTGGGGAGCTTTACCAGCGCGTCCTGTTCAGTGACGTGTCACACTCGAGAGCGTTCAAAGTCGAGAGGCGAGCTGCTCAAGGCTTGCTCACTGCGAGCATGTCGAGTGCGGACTCGCGCTCGGCCAGTGACTCGCCGACGACAGCACCACAGTCCTTGATCGGATCAAGGCAAAGCTCTCCTCTCGTACCGACGCAATCATCCAATGAGCCAAGCAAGACGAGCATCGTCCTGTGCTCTGCTTGTCAGCAGCCCGTGCTCGCCATCAGCCTGAGAGATCACCAAGGTCGATTCGTGTCGCTCTCAGCTTGACTGTTGCTGAGAGCTGGGCGCATGTCACAGCCAATTGCGATAAGGTCAAGGCGTTGCAAGCTCCTGGTCAGAGTCAAGACGCGAGTCTCAAGCGAAGGCTGAGCGATGGTCAGCATGGCGCGCATCTGCATCAGATTTGATAATACTGATGCTCTTGCTTCTAGTCTCTACTGCATCGACACAGTCCAAGAAAGCGCGGAAGAGTAGCGTGGGTGCTGAATCGATCAAGTCCAAAGCAGCACGGACCAGCCCGAGCAGTACTTCCCTCGCACCCAAGAGCAAAGTCTTTGATATCAACCGCCATGTCAGTTCTGTACGAAGCTCACCGCTTTCGGCACTGAGCCGAACATGGTGTTGACAGTGCGGCGTGATCAATGACAAGAATACACCGTGCTGTCGCTCGTTGACCTGCAAGACCCACTCGATGGGCGCCAAGCGAGCAGTACGAGGAAGAAGAGACACATTCGACGCTTTGCTGCTCGAATGGCAACGAGCAACGAATCCTAACTTTGTCGAGAGACGCGCTGTGCAGCCTCGAGACCCAAACGACAAGACGGTAGGCAAGAAGAAGCGCAAAGATGGCGATCCGATGCGGTATCGCAAGAAACAAGCCATGACCATTGTGGGCGAGCTGTCGGGGTCAGATCATTCGGACGGGGCTCAGCAAGCTTTCGACTCGGAAGAAGAGGTCGAGCTGGTCTTTGAGGGCATCCAGCGATCACGAGCAAGACCACTTGCCGTACCAGATTCGTCCGCTTGGGCATCACATGATCGCAAAGTCCAGCGATTCAGGAATCTGATCAGTGTATCTTTTCTCAACCACGCAAAGCAGGCTGCGCAGGCGCAAGCTACATGACATTATGTTGATTGTACGACAACACTGCATACGGAATCTACTCGATTCTCATTGTCACTGATTGCTGAACGTGAGGAGCGTTTGAGAAGTACCCCAGAAAGTCTTTTCGTGGTACTTGAAGAGCATTGCCAATCGGTCAACTGTATTCTTCGCGGAAGCCCGCAAAGGACTCGTCTGTCTGACATCCGATCGCAAAGAGGTGTCAAACGATCTCAGGCTATTGATGCATCGCGCGAGTGCGCGCTTCAGCTGAGCTGAATTTGTCGTCTTCGTACGCATCAATTCGTCGAGGCCACTTGTGGCAGTAAAGAGAATGTCGATCGTAGCCCGCAAGTCGACATCGTTCATCTCCCTCAACGCCTTTGCGCTCTCGCCTGTCATCAGGCCTGACAATTGCTCGAGATCGACGACTTGCAGTCCAAGCAGGTCTGCACGAGGCGCATCGGCGGGTGATGACAGAAGCAGATCATGAGCAAGTCGACGCCGAAGGTGCCTCTGTGCAGTCGTTCGATGCGGCAAGACTTTGAGCATGGCAAGCCAATGCGATCTCGGCCGTGCCGAACACTCGTTCTTGAGCGCATCGTATAGAATCCAGATCTGTCATTCCGAGCTGCATGCGTCAGTTGAGCCAGTCTGGCGAGTCCTCGGACTGACCTCGGAGGACCCGGCGTCCAATGCGCATGCCGCCAAGCATTCTTTGAGCTGGAAAGTGAGCGACAGACTGGTTGGATCGAGCATGACGCGCACGAGTACGACAAACAGCTTGACCGTCAAGCGTTGCTTTGGATCGGCGAGGAAGGCTAGCATGATATCGAGCACAGTAGCCAGCGAGTCACAACGACTGACTGCTTGCTCTACTGATATACTTTTGCAGGGCAGCTTCGAAGACGTTCGGGGCGATTCGGGCAGCTCAATGTATCCGCCAAGTCGATCGAAAGCTGCTAGAAACCGGATGTGCCATCTTTCGATGTCCTTTGGCTCTTCATAGCGCGTACTGCGGAGCATGGCACACAGCGCATTTGCTGCTATTCTAGATTTGTTGGGCGTCTCTGCCGCTACGTAAGGATCCAAAGCGACACGCCAGAGCCACTTCTCGGCTAGCATGTTGTCCCGCCTTGAGCCAAGCAGGGAGAGCGACCACAATGTCGTCGATACTGCCAGCTCGCTGATCTCCAGTCGATCTGCGGCAATCTTCAGCAACGGCCTTATTTTTCACAGTGCACCGACCTGTGAAGAGCTTGTCTAGGACTTCCAATTGCCTCTCTTTGCCCGCATAGGGCTGCATCATTATACGCTCGCCGATCTCTGGCGGGCGTATCCAGAATCGCCTCTGTTCCGGCGGTGGAACGAGATCTCGTTCGGTTTCGAAGCCAGTACGTGACGAGACAATGCCGGCAATATCGACAGCGCCCTGACGCTCTTCCTCGTCGTTGTCCTCGTCGATCTCCGCAGCATCTCGATGGATGGCCTCGAGGAGCTTGCGACCCGTTTCTGTCACTGCAGTCGTTGCGCCTTCTGCTTCTCTCGAAAGTCGCGTTTCCGGTGGCTTTTCAGGCGAGCTCTGTGGCAACTCAGGCAGCTGTGACGAAGTATCAGCCGGGCTGAAGCGCATACTGTCGAGGCCGCACCTCTTGACGCATGAGTGCAAGAGACTCTTCGAGGTCATAACGTGAGCGATTCCGTCTGGCTTCTTTTGCAAGTGACGCCAAGCTGAGCGGATCTTTATCGTCCGCTCTCGCCCGTTTAGCGTTCGCGCTTCTCGCCGTCAGGGGTTTGACGGATTGTACGGGCTTAGATTCTCGTGTAGACCGCCGCAAAGAGGCGCTATCTGTCGAAAGCTCCTTTGACGCGCGAAGACTAGCATCTCGTAACGCTCGCTCTCGTGCGTTGCGCACTTTTGCAAGGGCAGCAGCCATAGCTGTGTCTGGGTCGATCAAATCCTCTTCATCCGAGTCGGTATCAGCTCTCGTTCGGATCTCGGGTGTACTCGCGCCTGCTTCGCCTGCCAGTGCAGCTTTACGCTGTCTTGCTTGGAGCCACAGCTTCTCGCTAATCGTGAGCGGCTTGGGAGGTTCCTCTTCAGCATGGTCATCGCTCGGTGGAGATTGTGCTGCTTCTGGCTCGCGCGTGTTGGCACTTGTAGGACTGTTGAAGCCATCAAGTGTTGAAGTACGCCGAGGGATGAGCTGCGCGGCTACAATGGCATCCGAGGATTGAGATGTGTCACCCTCGCTGCCCGCCGCGTCGACCGTTCCATCAAGGGCCTCGGAGTCGAGTGACATGATGCCAGTCGACTGCGCACGAGCCACAGAGCGTCTCGCTAGTGCTCCGTCGTGGAAGCCAATCTATCTCTACGGCGACCTGTCATCGCGGAGCAATCACCAAGGTCATCGCGGGTTTCTCTCAAATCCTTCGCGTCGTCGGTCGTCGCGTTTTGCTGTCCTGGCGACCTCCCATGGCCAATCTCCTTCCTTCCTGCCCTCCTCTGGTCATACAAAGAGCTCCATTCAGCCAGTATGCGCTTGCTTTGCGGGACGCTATTGGGACTCTCTGCGCTCACGGCATTTGCAATGGCCTCGCCCGTCAAATCGGCCGCAAATAGTCTTGCGGAGCGTGGCAACGACCTCGTCGAGCGTAACGTCCTGGAACCGCATGGCAAAGATGCTCTGGTCGAACTCTACCTCCAGTATGGCAAAGGCTCACAGGACCATTTCATGGTCATAGCAAAACTGTCCTGGAACGCGTGGGGATCTATCTGGTTCGACGAAGGCGAAGGGCTGACCCAGCGTTCGAAGCGATGGCTATTTCGATCAGGCCACATCGACCGGAGACGTACTAGCGACATTCGATGTCTCTGGAACCATCGGAGGCCAGCCCTTTTCAGGATTCACGTGTGCGTTTCCGGTGATTGCTCTCAATCGAACTTTGACCCCCGTAACCCCCATATCAGTCTTGAGCCACGCCGCGGACTATCTGCTACTCGTCAACTTCATCCATGATAAGAACGGCAAGATCCAGAGTGAGCTGCACGATGCATCCATCGAAACGCCATGTGTCTGACTCGTCCGCAGGTTGCGCGCCTGTCAACGGATATGCTCAGTGGTTGGCCCCTCACAACATCGAGATCAGTCCATCGATGCACCAGTAAGCACACCCTATTTTGCATGTCAGCAAAAATGCCAATAGCTTCGAAACAGCCTGTGCTTTGTCAACGGCATGCAAGTCGGACCATAGTCTCGCCTCGACTCGATAATGTACAGTTCCAGCAGAAGCTCGGCTTAGATGCACTGTTAGCTCCGCTCTCGGAAGTCACGATCGCTTCACTGCTCTTGCACGAGAACCACGAATGAGCTTCATCATCACGAGCAGCGAGACGACAGCTTGCACGGCGCAAGCTCGCTCGAGATCACGTAACATGCCACAAACACTGCTCCAATTACGGGCCGTCATGACGACTGAGTCAGAGATCTGACATTCATCTCGAGCAATTGGTTGCCTTGCCCCCTAGCCGCTTTTCTCTGCTGCATCCCGTCGACCAGCTCTCTGCTTTGGTACTTGTCCGAACGCACGCAAAGCTCGACAAGTATGCGTTCATTCCCTGTGGCAATCGCAGCTCTCTTCGCAGCCTTTTCGCTGGCAACCGCTTCCCCCGTGGCTGTAGCTGCAAACGCTCCGCTCACCGAGAGTAGCAACGGCTTGACCAAGCGCAACGACTTTATCCCGCACGGTAAAGACGCTCTGATCGATTTCTATGTCGAGTATGGCTCTGGCGCCAATGACTACTTCAATCTGATCTCCAAACTCTCTTGGAATCCGTACGCGCTACTAATCTGATCAGTAAAACGAGCTGAATGGGCCTCGTAGTGCTGGCTACTTCGATCGCGCTTCGAATGCCGGCAGTCTTGCAGCCAATCTCGATAATCACGGCACACTGGAAGGTGTCCTGAGCTCCAGATTCACTTGTACGTCGGGCATGTTTGCCCCCAAAGCAGTGTTGACCCTCTCGCCAGTCCTGGACCGTGTCGTTGACTTCATCGTTGACGTCGAGTTCTTCTACGATACCAATGGCAAAATCTACAGTACGCTTGACATATCATGACTTCTGACTCGGCTGATCACCCCGCAGGATGTGCGCTCGTCACTGGCAGGGCACAGTGGCAAACACCCCATAGCATCCCGCTCGATCAGTCGACACACCAGTGAGTATATGCCGACTTTGCTCGAACGTGCTCATCAACGCTTGCAGCCGATGCTTCGTCAACGGTATCCAGGTTCAGCCTTGATGTTGCGCTCAACAAGCGCAATTGTGTTTGCAGTCTATGCATTGTTGGCTCTCGCCTCGGCCTCTACGATCGCACTCGCACTTGCTACTTACTAATATGGCTGCCGTCCTCATCAACAGACCGATCAAGTCTGCATGACGCGATCTCAGCCCCAGAGGCACGTATCAGCAGGCTCTCAACGCCACGGACGATCTCAGTGCAATGATCAGTCATGACAACTGACGCGAGTCACATCATCATCCTTCCTGTAGCGTTGTTGCGTTTCGTCTCGACCTACAACAAACCCTCCTCTGCCCATCTTCGTTCTGTCCCTTGCACGAACAGACAGGGAAGCTATTCGCCCTTCGCTGCCAGTATGCGTTCTTTTTTTGCAGCGATCCTGGCTTTTTACGCCTTTGTGTCCCTCGCAATCGCCTCGCCGATCGAGTCGGCTGTCGATAGTGATGTACAGCGTGACATGACAATCGCCAAACGTAGCGATCTGGTACCGCATGGCAAAGACGCCCTCGTCGTATTCCATGTTGAGTACGGCTCAGGCGTCAACGACTATTTCACCCTGGTCTCGAAGCTTTCCTGGAATCCGTGCGAGCTCACCTCGTAAGCTGCGCGATGCGACCTGTCTGATGAGCTTCACAGAGAAAAGTACTTCGATGCAGCTACGCATGATGGTAATTTGAAAGTCGAATTCAACGGCCATGGCGCAGAGGCCAGCAAGAACTACTATTCAGAATTCACTTGTGCGTCAAACGTGATCGCACTCGCGGTAGCTCAGACACCCTGAGCAGTCCTCGATCGCGTCGTCGGCATGGTCGTCACTATACAGTTCTTCCACAACGACGCTGGCAGGATCAACAGTATGTTCAATTGTAAGCGTACCGATCGACCAGCTTATTGTGCTGCAGGATGCGCTCTCCTCATTGGAAGCGCCCGTTGGCCAGGTGATCAGAGCGTCGGGCTCGACGAGACGACGACGCAGTGAGTTTATGCTTCTCCATCGATCCGATGTGCTCACACTCGCGTCGCAGCCGATGTTATGTCAACGGCATCCAGGTCAAGCCTTGATTCCACGACCAGCAGACACGATCTGTCTCGATCATTCGACCGTCTTAATTGCATCCTTGCTTCAGTGTCAGTCTTTGTGGTCGTGGCGTTTGAAACGTTATTTGACATGATCGCTGCAATGGAAGCACGGCAGAGTGACAACGCAGGGCATCTCTAATTGTAGCAGTACTCCGTTCCGAAGAGCGCGATGCGCCGCGTGTGCCACCTGCGCAACACCGCGCAGGAGCTCGGTCCGCTGCTTGCTCGGACTGCCAGAGAATCCTCCCACTGCAATCAATCGTCGACTGCTTGCACATTGGCCCTCAATATTCTGGTCACGTTGCAGCAATTGGTCGCCTTCATTCATCGCAATGACCGTCGCGTTTCGCTTTGGCGCAACACTTTGGCCCACGTTTCTTACCTCTCTCCCTCCTGCTCTCTACGTCTGCAAGACATCCAGCAAGCAGTCGATCGAGTATGCGTTCCACTTTCGCCACGATTCTTGTTCTCGCTGGTAGCGCCTTGTTCGCTACCGCCTCACCTGTTGGCGCGAGTCCCAATGCTCTCGAGGGACGTGACAACGGCCTCGTCGAGCGCAACGACTTTATCCCGCACGGTAAAGACGCTCTGATCGATTTCTATGTCGAATACGGCACCGGTGCTGAGGACTACATCAATTTGGTCTCAAAGTTGTCATGGAACTCGTAAGTTTTTGTTTAAGCGTAAGCTTGGGTAGATTGATCTCTAGCGCAGTGCTGGCTATTTCGACAAGGCTGGTACCGAGGGCACTTTGGAGACGGTGTTCAACGGCAACGGTGAGAAAGACGGAAAGACCTTTTCCCAGTTCACCTGTGGGTCGGCCATGCTCTCACCGAGCGTAGCACCAGGTTTGACGGTCACTGCAGTTGCCGATGCCGCTTACGACTTCATCATGGCCGTTGAGTTCTTCCACAACGAGGAGGGCGTGATCGGATGTAAGCCACGACTTTCAGCTGCTCTTTGGGTGTCTCACAGGTTCGCAGCATGTCATCTGGTACTAGGCACAGCCCATGTACAGCTTTCTACGAGCGTTCCGCTGAGCGAGAAGACGCATCAGTGAGTGTTGCGCGAGCAAACGCCTCCATCGCTGAGCTTGCTTACAGCCGATGCTTTGTCAATGGCAATCAAGTCAATGCCTAGTCCGGCTACCTTTGTACGACCGGCCCGTCAGTGCCAGCGACAGCCCTCGATGGATGCAGTCTTTCTTGCACAATGTTTCGCAGATCGCGCTCGTCAACTAATGGATGTATCCCCGATCGGACTTACAGCAAATTATTGCGCCCTTTCCACTGCCCTGATATCCTGCTCGACTATCCCAGGCCCGTCGCTATGAGAAACACTAACACGGACACGGCTACTTTTCGGTATCTGCGTTATGCCCCTGCGCCTCGATGTGACAGAAGTCTGCTGTTTCCTCCCAACTGCCATCTCGCTTGGTCTGAGGTGATCATCACATCAACAGAAAAAGCATCGCAAACATGCGTCTCTCGCTCGCCAACTTTGTATTGCTGTTTGCCCTCTTGACTATGGCTGTAGCCTCACCGATCGAACCTCTCGATCCCGATCTTGCCAACCGCGAGTCCGGTCACTCAGAGCGTAGCGTACTTGCCAAACGGGATGCTGACATTACCTTGTCCATCATCTACGGTTCGGCAATCGGCGAGAATCTCATCCTTACCGTTCCTTTGATCTGGAATCCGCATGTCTCTTCCTCGGTCTAGCATCCGCCGGACTGATCGCGTTGACAGGCACGGCTTCTATGATGGCGCTGGCGACTTTGGTAGCGGAAAGGCGACTTTCAGCGGTCATGGTGTAATGGGCGGTCATGCCTTCTCGGAATTCACATGCGAGCCACTTTTTCGAATGCGGAGAAGTGCGCTCATGCCATCACGCAGTCTCGAATCCCTACATCGGTTATACGGTCACGGTGCTATTCTTTCATACTGGCTCTGGCTCGATCATAAGTGAGCGGCTGATCAAAGAACTCGTTCAAGTTTTAATGCCTGGGCAGGATGCGCAACCGTGCTTGGGACCATACAAGGCATCAAGGTCACCGAGTCAACCTTGCAGTGCGTCCTCTCAGGCTCTAGAACGCTCGCGCTCATGCAATGCGTAGCACATGCACCGTCAATGGCAAAAACGTGATGCCTTAGCCGATAGCGATGTTGGACCTGGCCAAACTGCAGCGCAGTCTTGCAAAATCACGGCAATCATTTCTGTATTGATACGATTGAGTATGCTGTTCAGCGCAGCGACGGTCGCTACAAGTAGTAGGGAACCACCGAGATAAGTCGGGCCGGACAAGCGCTATCAGCATTGAGAGCTCTGACCGATCGCTGCTGAGACTGCACTATCGAGCGTCAATGAGCGGTGAGGCTGACGTCGCGAAAGCGAGCAAAAGCGTAGGGGCGCTGCGATCAGCATCATTGCAGACAGTTCGAAGGCTCGCCGGTGATCGAGGAGCAATAGAGAAACGGATCAGGAATCGGTTGCACGCTCGCTGCTGACGACGCATCCTCGCGACGTGAAGGAGAAGATGGGACGAGGCGTCGATTGGCTGCAAGACGAATGACAATGCAGTCGAGATCGCATTGCGGGTTGGAGGAGTGACGATGGATCAGTTGATCTTCCAGACATTACCAGAATGCGGACCGTCAGCATACATGAATCCATGAGCACTGTGACCATCGACACCAAGTGCTGCTGAGACGCATGCATCTAGCTCCTCTTGTACAGGCATTTGCGGCCTGTTATGGAACGACATCGTGCCAGAGCAGGCGCATGTCAAGAGTAGTACGGCACTGAGGTGATCGTTGCGCTGCGAGCCGGAAATCAGTTCTGTGGATCTCAAGACTTGATACTAACGGTGTGCTCGTTTGGACGCAATCCTCAAAGGAGAACCAAGCCTGCGGAGGGCGGTTGAGGATCTCGTAGCAAGACTGGCCAAATTTGGATTTGCCAGTAATATGACAAAGACCTGAAAATCCTTGCAGACCCTCATGATCTATGACGCCTTGACCCGTGTGAGGATTGAGGTAGAAGCCAACGTTGAGGGCAACATCACAGCTGCGCGGATGTTCAGTCGGGATGACATACCATTCACAAAGAAAATGACTTGCCATCCTGCTACTTTGCTTCCATCGAATTCGACAGTGAAATCCCAGAGTGGCACCGAGTAATAATCTGGAGAGGGCGGATGCTCCTTGCGGTTGTCCTTGTCGTAAGTGATGTCTCTACAGGCACCCCTGACGCAGGTAGGCTCTTCATTCTTATCGATCGGTACCTTCCAAGACACATCCGTGGACACCCATGTGCGCACCTCATGCTTGAAGACTACAGCTCCTGATCAGATCGACTGCGGTATGCTCGAGGGATGGCACGGACTGTTGTACTTGTTGCCGACGACGCTGCAGAAGCCAACGTTGGCCCAGTGCAAGTTAAAAACATAGCCCAAAGGGGTCGCTCGTTCGTTCAAGCTTGTTGCGGTCTCATTGACGACTGGCGAAGCTGAGGTCACGATTGCGAGTGCGAGTATCGTGGGCAGCGCTCTCGAAAACATCTCTCAATCGCCTTGAATCAGTGTTCAGGGTATAAGGAGCGACCTTGGATGTTCCTGAGAGGG